CAGCAGGAACACCGTATTCCACTATATAGGTTACTTTAATCCGAATTGCACTCGATATTTTGTACAACTTACACATTTACATTTAATTACGCCGAAATAGTATACACGTGTGTGTGTGTGTGTATATATACACACCGCCATTCCCAGATCCGAGGCACCAATCAGGAAATAAACAGGCGAATGTAGAACTTACATAGGTTATGAAACTTTTTTTTATCCTTTGGTCAAGATACGACCGTACTTTATCGTGATTTTACAGTGACCAGGAATATTCCATTGAACGAAGATTGGATTTCAAACAAGTTAATTCCTGTTTCATCCTGTTCTTTAGTTACGTTCACCATTATCCGTTGTGTAATTGGTCGCTTTTATACAGATTCGTATTTGCGTATGTTGCTTGCTATCGAACGACAAACCTGACGCGGCCAATTAAAAAAATGAACTCGCCCATCTATTGAATATACCAGTCTCGATTGAACGTGAACGTAACGTTGCTGTTGTGGATACTAAAAAAAAAAAAAAAATTGAAGAAAAAGAAACCAAATGTATGGGAAAAAAAGAAAATAAAATTCCTTGAACACTGGCAGTTATGCATAAACTTGTCTTTATCCGTAATCGACAAACGACGATCGTCTCGAATGAAAATTCGTTTAATGTGTACTATCGACGCACACTGGCCGGATTCCCACCACAGCGGATTAAATCCTAGGGGGAGATATAATAATGCGTTCTCGAGAACCGTTTCGTCGGATTCCCCTTATTCGGACACATAATATATATAAGTGAATTCTCACGAATTACCTAAGGATCGCGTGTCCGAATTTTTCGAAATAATGTTATTGCAGCCTTTCAGTACTGTGCGCTTCTCAAGTTAAATAAAAATTGATCCACTGTGTGTAACACAACTGAGATTGCAACGTCTCGAATGTTAACAATGCCCGTGAAGTCCTCCCTAAACGCAAATGTACCGATGTGAACGACGCTATCGATCGATCGAATCACTTGACGTTACATTTCGATTCTCTTTTTCGTCATTCGATATCACATCGTGTCACGTGTTCTCGTTCGTTTTTCACTATGCACTATACACAACACTGAACGATCGATGTACGTAATACACCCCGTTCCTTACTCCCTCTTATAAATAAATAAAGAACCCACTTTTTCTTTGTCTCTCGCACACGATACATCGATATCATTGACCACTTTAACACCGGCAACAATCGGGACCCCTTTAAAATCGCATTCTTTGTATTGACAGAAAAAGCACAAAGCCGTTGCGTTCTCGTGGATCTTCTCGGGTATATGTTTATAACTTCATGGAAGATATTGATGCATTTTTTTTTCGTAAGGAATAGCTGACAGATTGACTGTAGAATGATGCCACAATGACGAGTACAGGTATTATACTACCAATGCTCGCAAATCGCTGCGCTGACGTACAATCTTGCGCGGAATCGATCGATCGTTCAAAACGAGATATCGAAAAATCGGAACTAATACTTTTAATGATTAATAGGGTTAGAATGATATAGTTCGGTACCTATAGTTTAATAATTATAGACTACAAATTAGACTTCGTGATATTTTAAGACCTGAATTCGTAAATAAACTACAGAAAGGATTTTTAAATTTTATTTTAAAAAATATTCTATTTTCAACAGAAATTATAAAATAGTATTTTTAATTATTTTGAATTTCACGAATAATTTCAAAATCTGTTAAAACAACAGGCATTTTTTTTTTTCTTAGGAGAATCTTCGATTATATCGCATTATGTTATCTGAGTATCGATCGATCTCGCTTCGAGAATCGTTTCGCGAAAGGCGCATGCGAAAAGTTTCGACCGTTTCAATGGGAACATCAAAGATCTAGTTTCATTTATATTTAGAACCGACACTTCTATAAAATTGATTGAAATCAATAAAACATGTTCTATTTTACTCAATAAATTATTTTCTCTCGAAAATACACGTATATATACGTATATGTACACGTATAAAAATGACATTGTGGTAAGTGTACACTTGATATATGTACTGGAATCGATCATTATTCTACTGTTAAAACACAATGGATTTATGGTGCCGGAAAATGTATTATGTATTACATAATTTTTTTTCCTATTTTTGCATTAAATTTAGCTTATCACAGTCACCTGTTTTTCGTTAATTTCATACGCTGAAACTATTCGCCATGCACAGACGACTGAGGAAACCGATGAAACGTCACTCAAGTATACTCCATGAATACATGAAAATCAAACCGAAGGTTCCGAAGAGAACAGACGGGACGGGAGTTGACTACTACTCCCCTTTATAAAAACATCACACATACTGCTTAAACGTTTCTCGAACTGTACAAAAAATATAGAGTTTTCTATCAACTTAGGGCCAATAAGGAAGCACTTATTATTATCTTTTTTTTTTTCAGGAAACAAAACCAAGGTCCCTAAGAGAGTAGGAGGCGATGTGGGAGTTTAAAAAGATCATTACCGTTCCATGTAAAGAGAAAATGACGCTATAATGAATTCACCTGCGTCACATGCAGATAACATTGGACATTCGAGTCTTCTTCAATATAATATGAAGGTCAGACCGATTTTGAGTATTACTTGAAAGAGAAAAACGCTTGGAAACGTAATTTTTGAAGATCACGCGTAATACCAAATTCACATTTTTATAGCCTGATATTTGTTTCTTCCAAAACTCGAATGTTTCCTTCGTGTGATATTTCAAGACACTGGAGACATCTGGAATTTGTAACTACTTACAAAACACGAATGTCATCGATCGACGATGATTTGAGATGACTGATATGTACGTATGGAGCCATTTCTAAGAATGTACGTCAACGCGAAATTACGAAAGATTTTGCATGAAACAGTGCTCTCTGAAGATTTGATAATTCTTACTTTAATTGGTTAGGTCTTTCCCATAACCAGAAAGGGATGAAAAAATCATGGGACGTGGCCCCCTCACTTCGCAAAGATAGAAAAGATTTCTCTAATCTCTACATAACACTTGTGCACTTTTCTTACGGAGCTCAATTCTCTTCATCTTTTTTTTTGTATTTTTAAAACTTTTTTTCTGTCTCTGTACGCTCTGTAAGTGCCTCCACTCGAAGAGGGTTGGGGTAGTGAAAGGAGGAAGATAATCATGGAGTACAAGTGCAGTGAGGAGAGTTTTGGGATTCAATGGGAGAGAGAAAGAGAGAAAAAGAGAGAGAAAAGAGAGAGAGAGAGAGAGAGAGAGAGAGAAAGAGGGGAATCGATTTGCGATTTGTTTTTTTTTTAAAACGTTAGTTTGGTCTCAGGGCCCAACGACTCGTGAAGAGTTATTGTATGTAATAATCGGGGTGATCTGAGTCCTTTTCAAACCTCTTCGCCTCTTCCTGCATGCTCTCCTTGATCTTGAGTATGGCCGCTGACTCAGTCTGATCCTGTGAATCAACCAACACCAGGCCGGTTACACGAAAGAGGTTAGGCAAGTTCACCATTAGGCGATACCTTGCCCACTTTGTTTTGGACTGGTTTCAGCGTTTCATCAGCGAGCTGAGAAAGTTTCCTCTTGTAGGTATATTTAAATATTTCTAAATGTTCTAATTTTAGAATATATCTGCAAACACTGAACAATGTTGTTTGATATTCTTTTATGTTACCGTTGAAGCATATAATTGGTATTAAAAATTATTTCAGAAAAACAATCGAACCCAGTCGCACTAAAGGTGCTGCAAAGAAATTTATGTGGCGGAGGAAAACTTATCGCAGTTCGCTGATCCCAAGTGAACTCTTGGGGGAAAAAACGCTGACATGCTGCGTAAAGTGATTGCGCAGCGCGGTGACGGTGCGTCGTGAAGGGGCTGGGCTCGTGAAACGCAAAACTTAAAGACAGGATGTATATGAAAGAACTAGGAAGAAATTTGGTTTTGATTTTGGGAACCGCGAGTGAAGAAGAGAGAAGTGTGGTTCCACATCTCCAGGGCGCTCTGACCCACAACACATGGACGTTATATAAAAAAGAAGCCCGTATCGAGCAAAAGAAAAAAAAACAAAACAAAAAAGTAAATAAATAAATAAAAGAAAATACGGATGTAAACAAAATTTCTTGCGCATTCCGTGTGCGCCGCCTGCCCCCCACTCACGCACACCTCACCGAGTAAACCAACAATGAAAAATTCTTATTTAGAGATTAAGAAAAAATTGTAACAGAGAAACTCGACGTGTCATTCCTCACGGGTTCTTAAAATAATTTTTTTTTCACTTTTTGTTGATTGATTGAAGTACTTTTTTTTCGTTTGAATCGTTTCTCGATACGATCTCGCAATCCACCAATCGCTTTGCGCTCACGCATCCATGTGCTACAGGTCAGTACAGGCTAGTACTATATACAGCTATCAGATTTCACTGTTTTTCTTTCGTACGGTTCTTCGACGAAAAGACAAAACACAAAAATTGAAAATATTCGTCTTTCGATTAGGACCGTTAAGTATATCACAAACATTGTGTTCCACAATATACAACAGCATTCTTTTATCACCTCTTAATGCATATCAGATATTGGAAGAATTGATCGAAGTCGCGATTGCAACGAAATCGTAATTTACATAATTATGCAATGTATATACGTGCTTCGTGTTAGTTTCTGAGTTTCTTGTTTCTAATTATGTAAGCAAGTGTTCTCGATGTTAATATTAGTGGCAATTTGTATGACGTAGACCACGTTGAAGCGACGTTAAGACAGGTATTTCAATTGCACATATATTTAACGTAAAAGCAACAAATGTTAACGTCTTTCGTTTGTGTATGTTAGAACAAATAACGCATAGATTAGGAAAAAAAAAAAAAAGAAAGTATATAAGAAACGTGTAGTAACTACAATGTCTTATAACGCAACTCTTTTGCAAAGGTATAGATTTCTATGGTAAGATATCAATTGAATTGGCTTAGAGTCGATTTCGGTGAGCTCAACTAACGTGAAAACATGAGGATAACGAGCGAAAACATTCGTTCGGCATCGAAGTCTCAATGTGAAACACAAGTGACATGTGATTACCAGCGTGTGATTACCACTTAAATCGATCGCGCGAAAAAAGAAGACAAAGTGTATATGAAAACAGATAGTCATATATAAATGTTCTAGTAGCCAGCACCCTGCGGATTTGAACGCAAATAAAAAAGAAAAACGCAGTATTCTCAGTGTAACAGGTTTACATTTATTGTCTCGATCTCCCCTGGTTTAGGCATATATTAATAAATGTAATGTTCATTGCCATTCGTTTATGTGGCTTACAACGTGGGGTTGTATTAAAAGTAAATCGACGATTTTCTTTTAAAAGTACCATCATGGTGCGCTTCACGTCATATATATATACATATACATCTATATATATGTATATATGTATGTATATTCGTATATTATACATATGTATATATTCGATCGAAACACGCTCTCTCTCGAAATATATTGAAATTTCTTTGAACAACGCACGACGACGAGTCGTGTTACAAGCAACGAAAAGACTACTGCTCTTATCATCGTTAACAATTCCGCGTTTACTCTCTTTATTTTGGCTTATTTCTCCATTATGAACTTCGAACCCTGACCGCGTGCTATCACCAACTTTTTCGTATTCTCGAATAGATTAAACGAATGTCTCTTCGTATTCTGAGAAACTCGCACCCTTCAAAAGTTGGTACAAGCGGATATTTTGTTATCTCCTGTTGTATATATGTATGTGTGTGTGCTTCCTTTTTCCCAATTAAAAGTACGCTCTTTATTGGCACGGTGAATACTCCGGAACAACGGCAAGCAGCAGTCATATTTGTATAACGACATCTTTATAAAGTATCGAAATAAAACAGTCTTCTTTCACCATAAAGTGTCAGTTTCAAGTTGTAGAATAATATGTGTATGTATATGATTCAACTAACGTTTACTGATTCTTCCGTATAGTGAAAACCTTGAAAATTATCCTCATGAAGTAACTATGTATATAACTATGGTTATAGAAGAACAGCAAAATATGCCATGATTCTTATACTCGACATCGCTATTCCTTTATTCCTTGTAGCCATCGGATTCTTTTTCTTATTATGGTATAACGTATAAATTAAAGTATTGATGCGTATTTCTAGAAATATTATAAATGTATATATGTATATAAAAAAAGAGAGAATATATTATGTAAAACTAAAAGTAACAAAAACGTGGCAGTCAAATGTGACACATAGTACCAAAAGAACTGAATCCATTCTCGAGAAGTCGCAATAAGTATACGTAAAAAAAAACCTGTATTCGATCATCCTCGAGATCATAATCGATCTTGCCGATGCTCTCAGAGCATGCACTTGCAATTGGCGCTCTCTCTCCCTCCCTCTCTCTCCCTCTCTCTCGCTCTTTCTTTCTCTCCTCTCTTATATCGTTTTACATAATTCGATCAATACCTCTTCATTTTTTTTTCTTTTTTTTTTAATATTTTTTTATTTTTTTTTTCAATATTTTAAGTTAATTTAAACACAACTAACAGCAGCACAGCATAGTCCGGTACTGACCTATAACCATTACGGACGGATGGATTCCGGGAGGTTCGCACGATATATTTTTCTTCGTTATCGGCCCGTATATCTTTTTCTCTTTCTTTGTATCTTTGTCGCACTCATTCATGTAGGTTCAGTACTTACACCGTCTATGACTTTTATTTGATACAAAAATAATTACGTTATATATATATCGTCTATTGCCATGCATACGTTATATATATAACATCTTTCTTTATATGTTTTTGTCCAAGTACTTTTTGTTAAGTTAATCGCAACGCCATTCACCTCGCAATACTCGCTAGTACAGGATATTACCGTTCGCGTAGGAAGTCGATGTCGCTGTACATCAATTCCAGTTAAGAAAGGAAAGCAAGGAACTTACTGCTGAAGTTTTTCGTAGTTATTTCGTTTAAATTAAATCTTAATAGGAACTTTCTTGCAAACTAAGCATCTGAATCATTGAATATTTGAAGTTTGAAAAATGCTATAACTGGAACAAGTGGTCAAAAGTAAAATACAACGGACATGAAATTGAGGTTATGTTCTATATGCTCTAATTCGCACAGGTTGACAATAGTCGATAAAATCGCTATTTTCAAAACGTGTTCGATTGTGTAATCGAATGACTAGATTTGTACGCTTTATTTGTTTCCAGTTCACCAAGATGTCGGTGTTTTGCATTAAAGTACACAATGACACATATGTTATTTTTTTTACAAACATGATCCATTAATTTTAATCAAGCGACGAATATATTTGTGCGAAGTATTGCGATGTCAATGGCTGCGAATAAATGGTGCACAAACTTGCTTTTCTATCGATAAAGTGAATTCTGAGCAAACAGTGGAGGGACTCGGTCTGAGTTCGGCTAATTTAATCACCTCATTACAGAGTATCGTTACTTCATTAAAAAGAAATTTGATTCAAGCGATTAGACAAGTGTCTGTATGTCTGTCGACGTGGAAAGAAACATCTGAATTCATGCTTAATGCTTTGAGGGATTTGAAATCGTAAACCGGTCATTTATTAAGCCTTTTTGCAAAAATTTCATCGCAAAAGTAAAAAAATTTGGTTTTATCTTTTAACAATTGTCACGTCTTACCTGTTATGAACTTAATATAGCGTATATTGTTCTCTAATCTAATACTGCTTAGAATCCTAACTCTATAATGGGATGAAAAACAAGCCAATTAGCTAGCGGCGGGCTAGCGGTGCAATTAAGAAGAGGAAAAATAGTAGATAAAACAAGGATTAAAAAAAAGTAATGGTAAGAAGAAAGATAGGATAGAGAAGAAAATTAGAAATCGATTAACAATTATGCGATTGATAATCACAGTAGTTCGTGTTTTTCAGGCACCTTTGCTTACAAGCTAATGTTCAAATAAATATAAATAAACGTTGGCGTTGACACGAGTCGATAAAAAAGACATCGTACTGTCCATTATATACTTTTAAATATTTATATAGTGTATTTTGCGCGCGCGCATGTTATAAATGATTCAAATATTATAGTTTCATAAGAATAGCGTAATGAGCACTTAAATGCTAACCTAACTGATTAGGAGCGATTAATTAACGAACGCAAGTCGAGATGCGTCGACGCGAATGTATGTGTGTATATTTTTTCTCTTTTCGTTTTCTTTTCGTTCTCTATCTTGCAACGAGCGAGTAATCGTGCTTGAGCCATTGACGAAATCGTTATGAACCGCGTACCACGTGACGATTGCACGTGCACATAAAACTCAGGGTTTGTGTATGATCCTTTTCCACATTGCGTGATTAACCGGGAAATCTACGGCATCTACGAACTCGGGGCTGGATCCAAGGCGACTTGACTTTTTAAAAAAACTGTCGGGAATACAGAAGGCGCACGTGCGAGATTACTGATTATTTTTTTAATTCAGAATCCTACTCACAATCCGAAATAATAACGTAAGATTAAAAAGGTATACCGTTTGTGCGCGCTCGTTAAAGAAATCGATTATTTTATGCTATATTATATATAACTTCCCGTAAGGCGTATCGTACTTGAAAAAAATAATAAGAGACACAGTCGTAGACGAGAGGATCTTTGATTCGAAATAATTGTAGATATTTTACTATTTAAATAACAACCACGGAGTTTTACCTTTAAACGTGTATCATATGCAAATGTCACATCGAAGCTGCCATGTAACCATTCATACACATTTGTAATTACGATGCTATTCACACATACGCACTATTTCTCGTGAATTTTTGTTATATATATTTTTGTATTTTAAACGAAGGTTACTTCTTAACTGTTTCATTCAAATTTTTATACAAAAAACATTGTTTATTTAATCAAAATATCGTTTAAACAAATGAATATCAATAAATTATATAATTTGTAAAGAAAATTAATTTTGCATGTCTATTGTAAATAATCGAAAAGAAATTTAAAACTGATAATTGATAAATAAAGAAATGTTATCAAAAATCATCATCTTGACTCGAGACTCTCTATGTTATCGTATGCGATACACCTTATGGAATATCTTGTGTATTATTGTATGAAAATTGATTCATACTTTTCTATATAAAGTGGGTAAAAAAGGACTTGAAACATTTTATTATAGAATGTTTAACCATGATTTCGATAATTCGAATTAACGAAACTCCATAATTTATGAAATTCATTGTATTACTAGTTTTTAATTTTTTATAAATAACGAAATTTCATTTTTAGTAAATAAGAAATATTTTTTTTAGACACATTTTTTAAACGTTTCATGATTTTTATACCCACTTCACGTTTCATCATTAGCCCTACTGTTAGTATGATAATAGTTAGACACAATCTGAGCCAAACAGTTACATTAGATGCAAGTGAATAATCTAAATTAAATTTCCCAAGAAGCCTAAATTATAAATAAGGCATTTTGAATTTTTGTCAAATGTCGATACTTTTTAGGTTAAGCATTAACCAGGTGGTTGGAGTAAGCTTGAGGATAAGCCCTCTAAATGTAATAAAACCCAAATTATTTTAATAGAATAATTAACTAATTGACACATTGATGAAAGCGCCTGAATCTGTTAATTGCTGAATAATTAGAAGAAAAATCAGTTATAATATGGACTTATATTTTAAATAAAAAATTTCAATAATCAATGATAATTTTTTTTAGATTATTATCTTATAAGTGTATATATTTATTAATTACATACATTTACCAAATTATATAAAGCAGGTGATTTATGACAATATTATAAAAATGATAACATATAAGTCCATACTAACACGTCGAGTGACTGTCATAAGGAGTCGTTACGAAAAACTTACTAATACTTACATTTTCTCCAGGACCTCCAAAACCACTCAGATTATAATCACCCATTCCACTTCCACTATCTTCCCGTGGTGTTCCAGGACCACCATTTGCCGGACTGTTTTTCATTCCATCAAGGCCATCACCATTTAGAACTGGACCCATTGTATTTGGTCCCATAGGACCCATTGGACCACCTTCTGGCCCACCACTCATTGGAAAATCCTGATACAATTGAACAAATTATTATTATCATCATGTTTCTGTATATGTTATTATTAAATAAAAATAAATATTAACAAAATATATATTTCATGATAAATCATCGTACTTGATATTAATTGGATGACCGACGTGGTACAAAAGTAATTAGTAAAAAGTAAGACATGATTACTTACACCAGGCATATTTCCTCCAGGTACAGGTTTCATCATGGTATACATATTTTCCCCACCGCTATTACTACTATCTTGTGGACTGGGCATAATTGGTGTACCTGGGCCTGGAGGTCCTGTTGAACCGGGTGGTCCTCCGTAATTACCCGGCGACGATGACGAATAATTCATTGGCTAAGATAAAAATTAAATTTTCTATTATAATTCAGATATTTACTTACAATAATATCATTGATAATACAGAAATAAATTATATAAATAAATTTTTTTAATATAAACAGATTATAATCGTACCGTTGATGTGTTAGGTTGCCACTGTTGTCTACCGCCTGCTCCAGCCATACTCATTGGTGGCATACCAGGACCTCCTGGACCTCCTGGACCTAAACTACTGTTAGGAGGTGGTCCTCTCATTCCAGGTCCATAACTTCCTGGTCCCATTGGACCCATTCCTGGTCCTCGCGGAGGATTCATCCTTGGGTTCATGGGATTCATGCCTGGAGGAGCTAGTAATAAAAACAATTCTTGATGCATTTTCCTAAAGACACAAGGATTAATACTATTCTAGTTTTATGTTAATACTAAACGCTAATCGTGAATCTCTGGATCAACGGCAAATCATGTAACTGTAAAATACTTCCATATTATAAAGAGTATTTTAATTTATTTAGTCACTCATCTCCTTTTATTCTTACATTAAAAAATTTAAATCATGTTTTGCCGAAGTCGTATATAATAGTAAAGCGAGTGGATGGCATGCTAAATTGATAATTTGCATCTACACAAATTAATGAAATAACAAAGCTCATGCAAAGGATGAAAATCAGCGCTACTAAGTAACTTTTACAGACGTCTGAGCTTCAAACTTGACAACAAAAAGATAAAATAATGCATTATGTGCCAAATACACAACAAACAATCATTCATTTGATGCCTAATCAAAAAATATCATACAGCAATATTTGTATATATGACATAAAATTAATTATATAATATTATAAAGATGTCTTGTATGTAAGTTAAAAAATAGTACTTTTTTTTTTAAATTACATGAATTTTTTTTCTAAATCCATGTTATGATGAAACTATGCTTCAAATGGGAGAAAGTAACTGCATTACATTTCTTAATATATGTTAAGTTCATCCTATAATTCCTCATAATGAAAATACAAACGGGTCAATTTTGTTAGCCACAAGCTAATGTATTATATGTAATGAAAAAATTTAATATGTTAAAACAACTATTTTTTAATTTTTTAGAAATGTAAATATATCTATGTTAATTCGTTTCACACACACACACACACACACGCACACGCACACGCACACGCACGCACGCACGCACGCACGCACGCACGCACGCACGCACGCACGCACCCACGCACACGCACACACACAAAATAGATTTTTCTTTAAATATGAGTATTTTTAAACATATTTTTAAACTGTTCTCATAGCGAAGTTGAACACACTTATTTTAATATATTAAATTGCCATTGACATACTGGATGCAAGATCGGGTGAGCAAGTATTGCACAAAGAAACGAAGCTAGTGCAATTATTCATAAAAAGTGAGAACAGAAACTTTAAAACGAGCAGGAGAAAAAATAAAAGTTAGGCTTGACTAAGTCATGTGAGTGTGATTTGGTTGCTGGGTTGCTTCCTACCTTGCCACCCTACAAATTCTCCAGCTTCGCCTGAGGAACACAAGAGCACACATTAGTACGGCAGGTAGGTAAGGTCAGGTTGATGGCGGTAAGGTCTAGTTACTTTGCGGTCGCATAGTGAATAAAGTTGTAAATACTATTTTAATGCTAAGAAAATATATCGTTGTATTATATATAGAAAAATTTTATGTAAAAATACTAGTTTAACAAAAATTATTCCTGAATACTAATTATTTTACAATACAGTGTTAGATTTCTTTTTACTAATATCTTTATTTATATGACACAATGAGATCATTCAAAACAGTATTTAACACTTAATGTTTTATGTTTGATACTTTGAAGGAGATAGATAGAAAAAGAATATTAAATATTTTCTAAGATTCTTAAACAATAAAAATAATTATAAAAAGATTTACATTAGTTTACTTTATATTATTATTAAGATGTACAATCTAATTAACACTGGAATTTATATCGTCATATTGAATGCAACAAAGGAAAGCAAGAAAATTTTACTTATATATAAAATTATGTAAATGTATTATACTAATCATGATTATTTAACTTGAAAACTACACCACTGCACGTAACTAGACAATTCAAAAACCAATCCACTCCACATCACAGCAATCCAATCCACTTTTAATAATTACTGATTTATTTATTGCTGTGTGGTTTTTGGTATGCATGCGTCTATGCCATTCTCCTCTCGCAATTATTGTCAATGCCAGAAAAAAAATCAATGTGAATCTAGCATATAACTGAGCCCTTACCTTGCCTAGTTGGATCCATACTATTTGGCATCATTGGTTGTCCAGGTGGCTAAATAAAAATATTAATATACCAATAATTATTTGTAATTCAGACTATATCTCTTATAGTCCTATGAATTGATAAAATAATTATACATACCCCATTAAAATCATTTCCCATTTGTGGCATACGTACTCCGGGTCTTGGCCCAGCAGGATACCGAGGACCCATAAACTGTAACAATTCAGAAATTGACACCATTAAATAAGAAACTATTTTCAGTGCAATAACGTAGATAAAACCAGAAAATATGTTATAACTATTATATATCACAAAACTGATACATCAGGCAGCCGCGACAAGCAGTTGATCACATATTAGGCCATATAACATATGCATTTTAATGAAAATCATCATACTGCACTTCAGGAACTTATGTTATATTAATATGCAAATAGGATTGCAAACAATAGGGATTTATATTCAACAAAGGACAGATTAAAGTGAATCAAAGTATGATGTGCATTTAATACATTTCTTACCTTAAAGTAAGCCCATTATAAACATAAATGGTAATCTAACACTTTTACAAAGTATAATATTAAGAAATCCTTTTTCCTTACCTTAGAATTTTTGCTGTTACACACATTCAATAAAACTACTTTATCTTTTTATCTATAATAAACATAATGTTGCAAAATATGTTAATTTCAATCATCAATGTATTTAAGTGTGTAAAAAATACAGAAAATTTGTGCTTCGACCGATTTATATCCACTTTAACAAATCCTATTTGTGTTCTATATAATATTTAGAAACTAACAGGTTAAAAATTGTACAGTAGAAATAACTCTGGTAGGAAAAGAAGCGATTTCGAGCAAACAGTCATAGGTACACGATGATATGGTGTAATGAGAGTGGATCGAGTGATTCTCCATGAGTGATAGTGTGTGTCGAATGAGGCTTACCTGAGTGGACATCATCTGCGAGTGTGGGGGCGGGGGTGGCTGGGGGGGCTGGGGGGATGGCTGTGATGAGGGGTGTGTGGGCGGAGATGGTCGCATTGTCGAGTTGTTCTGCAACAAGCAACGCAAACGACAGACATGTAGCAACACTGCGATCCAGGCAACAGCTAGACTAGAAGGCTTGGGTATGATTGTGTTAATACTATGTTGATCAGCATCTTAAAAATCTAGAAGTTATAATTACGAAAATACAATGTTATAAATATTGTTTTCAATAAAAATTAAATTTATAACACTTGATTACGCCTATATAGTGAACTCAACATTATTTCGTAATTACGACTTTGTACGTGAATTAAAATTTGATATTGAATGTCATGAAGACAACCCACTCCACTTTGAAACAAAATTTTAATAAAAAATTAAAATATATTCTTTTTCAAACAATATATATAGATGTTTCAAAGTAAAACCGCGTTATTTCTACTTGAACTTATACATTGTTAAATATATAAGTAATGTATAAGTAAAATGATTTGGAGGATAATAAACGTTCAAACAAGCAATAAAAGTATGCATAACTAGAAATCGTTTTTCACATACTTATATTGTTATTTAGATGTAATGCTAAGCGGTCAACGAGAATACATTTTTCTCGTAAAGTAATTATACTATCCATTCATACAGGATACAGTGTTTTAAATACCTAAAGATACACTTATCATACTATATGGAATATATGTGATACATATTATTTATATGTACATAATATATATAACATGTACATAATTTACATATATATATATATACACATATTAGTTTCATTACATTCGTAGACCGCTTGTATTGAATGCTAGACTACTATCTAAGCAGGCTTTTATATTAAATATATTAAAAATCCTAAAAAGTGTGACCTTAGCTGACATTCATCACTTTTATAGTATTTGATATTTTAAGTACTAGACAAAATATATCCACTTTGAAATATCATCTTCATATATTGAAATATACTCTAAGAGCAAATACATGCTTTTATTTACAAAACTTAGATTCAGAATTATAATATTAAGATACCAAGGTAGATTAAAAATATTGATAAGTGAAAGAATACAAATGTTGTAAATATAGTTTAGTAAACAATATTTTTTATGGTCTATTACTCTGTGACATTCTTGCACAAAACTAAAGTCAGCACAAGGTAGAACACTATCAATTGTAGACCTACTATATAAAATTATTAGAACTAGAACTATTCTCTAACATCTAAACAAAAATTTTTTCTGGTAATTTTCTGAAATCTGCTTTATGCAGAGAGGAGATCAGACAGTGAAAATGGTAGAGGAACGCACATACAAGTGTTAGATACATAGCAGAGAGAAAATAAGTACATAGATACAGTATAGACAAGCATGGCATGAGAATCTTATTCAAATGTACACTTGTTTCAAAACCAATATATGTTTAAATGTTATTGTGTACATTTATAGTAATCAGCTGAGTCAAATTGAACAGGACTATGACATCACATGTACAAAATGTTAGTACTAACTAATAACATTAATATTTGATTATACACAAATTAGATACAAACGATTTCTTACAACTAATATATAAATAATTGTGTTTATAGAATTTTTTGGACAAAATATAGCTTTATTTGTTATGAGATTTTGTTATAAACAATTCAATTATGTACTATTACTCCATCTTTAATGTTTTATTATATGATCTTTACCAACAATGTAATAATTAAAGATTATTTAAATTAAAAATTACTAGTAATTAATCTAAATTAATAACAACGTATAAAACATTTTGGATGGTTTTTATTTACTAAAAGCTTATCTTATTTAATGAATTCAAGAGAATGTTAAGAGCTTTGAATCAAGTGTAGAATTATAATGCATGAGAATCGTAACTAGGCATAACAATGATAACAGATATTTATATATATTTATGTATATACATATAAATATTTGTGATATGTGTTTATATATAATTAATATGATTAATTATTTCATAGTATAAATTGTAATAATTATTATATTTTCATAACTTTTAGAATTACCAAATGAATTAAGTTTAGAAATTTTAATGATTCGCCCTAAATTGCGTTTATATATATATATATATATTATATTATATATAGTTATTATATATATATATAGTTGTGTATAGTGAAAGTTGTTTTTATTTCCCTTCTTCATATACATACACGTATGTATGTATATATGCACATATAGACATAAAAGATATATTTTACAATAACTTATTAATTATGTTATGTACCATAGGAGAAGAATTTACAAGTTTATAATTAAATGTAAGAAAAAAGAAGATAATAATAATAATAAAAAAAAGAGTAATTAATAAATAATATCTTGTATCCAAAATGGATATTTATATAACTCTTCTTGTTTGTTTAAATAATAAAAAAACTTATACATAATAATCATTAATAAAATTTATAAATATACACAAGTGACCCAAGTACTATTTAACTTTTTAGATGTAAATTATATATTTAAAATGAAATAAAAAAAAAAAACAATAAAATTGTTATCAGAATAAAGATATAAAAAAACTTACTGGAAAGAAAGCAGGAGGCATTGGACCGCCAGGCATACCATCATTGGGTGGCATTTGCCCTATGGGAGAAGGCGCTGGACCAGCATTCTGTAATCATCTGATAGTTATCTAACAGCTAAATTATATCCGATGATTAAAAAGAATATCAGTTAAATACTACTTCCACATACAAACAAATGCAATTTAAAGAATCAATTTTAATTTAGAAATACATGAAATTAAATCATGTTAAAATACTTATGTAAAATATGTAACTGAATAAATAAGATTAGTAAGTATCAACATTAATGCAACTTAACTTACATGAGCAATGCCATTAACACCATAACCACTATTCACAAATCCCTAATAACAAAAAGAATTTCTTGTAAATTTTCATATATTTACAATAAATACAATTTTTTATTTTAAAACTATACTAACATAATCATGGAAAGCTTTGGCTTCACTGCTATGTTCACAGGAATCCCGTCGTTCTGGTGCTGCTGAATATAGGTCCCAGAATACACTAAAATTTTGTAATAATTATTTAATGATTATTTTTTTATATATGTAAGCATATAATGAAATATTTTAAAATAACAATTAAAGACAAAAAATATTTAAAAAAATACTTTAAATTATGAGTTTCTATCATTTCTATTTTCTAAAAAAATTTAACATTTCCAAAATAAAAGATAATTTTTCCTACAGACAATAAAACAATGCATAATATGCTTACCACCACCAAGAGTGTAAAAATCCAGGTGGTTCACCAAGAGTAATATTTTTTTCCCATCGTATCTACACATATAATAAAGTAAGACATAATTATTTTTTCCTAGGATTTGTAAAATTTTTAAAGAAGTTTAAAATTATTACCTCTGATAAAAATGTCTGTGCTGCTTTTTGTGCACCAACATGCAATAAATACTCATACACGTACAAGGCTAACCTGAAATATTGTAAATAATTTTCAAATAAATGCAAGATAAAATTTATGTAGAATGCAAATATATTTGTTATTAAAGTATTCTGGTATTACATATAACACAGTTTTTATATAATAAAAGTATTATTTAGCATTTCAAAAGAAAAAAAATATTCGAAATAATAAATATTTTCTTCTGTAAGTAGTTATATTGAATTTCAAATATATGATATGCAAACTTATAAATATAAATATAAATATTTATATTTTCATATCATCAAAAAACCAAATGATATTTCTATAAATAATTAGTATTATACCAAACGTATAATGTTTAAAAAAATGTTTTTAAATACAACAAGTTTACTATTGTATTCAAAGACTAATATTTTTTAAATAAAAAAAATAAAATTTCAGTTGGTTATCGACATAAGGAAGGAATATTTTTTCATATTTATTACATCGTATAAACAAAACAATCTTGTCTTGCAAGGTGTTATGATAATAATATTTAGCGTAAACTGCTTCTTGGTTGCAAACGATAAAAACATGGCGCCCGATCGGCCTGCTTTGCGAAACAAGTACTTTAGTGAGTCATAGCATACAGTTCAGTTGAATTTACGAGAAAGCAGATTGCAAAGAACATTGTCAGGTAAACAATTAATAAATGTTTTACAAGAACTAATTTCGTAAAATTCATTTTAATGCGATTTTTTAAAAATTAATTAAAATTAGATCAACTATCATTTCACTTTTTTTTATAAATCGCGAAGAACTTTACAAGAGTACATATTAAATTTGTTCTATCTCATTCATATTAGCATTAGGAACAAATTTGTTCACATTCATATTATAGGTAATAAAGTATACGAATATTATAATCAGGAAGCCGTAATTATTCGACGAATCTGATTCTCCGGTTTCGAACAGACTAATGTCTATACGCACGCTTGGTGTAAAGAAAAAAAAATGGAGTCACTGGTCGATCAATCGGTAAATTTTTTCTTCGACTTTTTGTCTCCTTCGGCACAATAGTATATTTTTTAATACCAAATAATACGTACTTTTCTCTTGCTTGCGAGTCCGAGGGTACTGTAGACCCCTTCCCCTTCGCGTACATCCTCGAAGACTGTCAATTTTTCCAGTGTAAACAGAACCACCGTTTCGTTCCACAGATAGTAATGTCCGACACCGTCGTAGTCCCACACGAATAAGGAAAGGGAAGAATTGAATGTACTCTTGAATGTTTTTAACTTATAAGGAACAATTAATAAATCGTATACACTTATTTTCACGGGAAAAAACCGAAACTTATTGAATTGAAAAATTATTTTCTATCAGTCACACACACGTCACGAACACGTACCACTGCTGCGGCCAGCAGCCTATACTAGATACAGTACTCCGCATCATGGCTTGACGAATTGTGGACGCATGACCGCGGAACGAACGCGCGTCGTCATCGTTCGCAGACTTCCCACTATATTCTTTGTCCCCCCTAATGCAGTTCACTTTGCCTCACGTCCTCTTTTCTTTTCTTCAATTTTTTCACTGATTATCGAAAGCTATGCGTCTAAACCGTTGCGTCTTGTAATTCAATATAAACGACCGTGCGTCCTCTCACCGTGATGCTCAAGTTGCGCTCGGTCACTTCACTCTCTTCACTCTCTTTAGCTTCGGCTTGCCACTCACCTTACCTCACCTCACCTCACCAAGCTTCACGTCGTCCCACCTCGCCAAGCTTCACCTCGTCCCACCTCGCCAAGCTTCACCTCGTCCCACCTCACCTCATTAAAGATATGGACAGACAGACAGACACATTCGTATTTCACCTTGTGTGAAGTTCACTTTAGCGACATGTACTTCCACAATCCTTGATGCGTATGCACACGTCCTCGTTTCTATCGTTCCGTGTGTAGACGATTTTGTTTCTACTTTGTTCTTTTTTTCTTGTTCTATCACACCTACCTATCCGGTAGTGAACGAGAAATACGGTGTCAGTTTTCACACATGCGCAAGCACACAAGTGAACTTATTTTTACATAAACACGCACAAGTTTGCAAGTGTGTTTCGTTAAGCATACGCGCAGCTCGTACCATATACACAATACGGGAAATACTGTCATCTCCTTCACTCTTATTCTCACTATCCGTCTTTGTCTCATCTATGGCTCATAAAAGCTGCGCACGCAGCTATTGCTTTCCACATCAGGACCGTACGTAAGTTAGTTTTTACTACCCATTTTATCATCTCACTTGGATACTTTTACATTTTTGGCCAATTACATTCATTAAATTACATATCGAATAGCTCGAATTCAGTAAAAATTTCCTACATTGTTTTGATCTAATTTATTTTTTACTACTTTTTTTTATGTATTATGTATTAAATATGTAATATGTATTAAATTAAGATTTTTCGTGCAATATATTTCTAAGGATACATTCATGTCGTAAAATAAGTGTTTATTTATTTAAATCATAGAATTAATTTTCCAGTTATTAATATAACAGGAATGTAGAATAATTATATAAAAAGTAGATATCAGTATAAAATATTTGTCAAAAATGTTTTTCGCAAATTAGTAATAGGGAGAGATATGTATGTGCAATTGCACAATTATTGTTACGTTCCTGGTTGCAACTCTACGTGCTATTGGACGCCGATCGTTGCATGTGAGGTATATCTGTATATACTCTGCGCGTGCATTATACAGCTATCGGCGCATGTTACCGATAGCGGGGATAACCGAACACGACCGAATAGTGCCGAACATTGCCGATGCAAAATAGCCGACAATTGACTGAGCGTCGAGGGGTCGGACAGAAAAGAGACAAGCCATTCCTTCGGGTGTACAGCTTCCCCTTTCTCAACCTTGTTATGGAATTAACGTATCATTGATTTTTATAAATCATGAACAATTGTTTCTAAAGGTCTTTCGTTTTAGGAAAAAAGTAGAAGTAATTATAATTAAATATCTTCAGTCATTTTGTGTACTATAAATTAGTTTAAACTTTTCTAGCTAATAAAGACGATTATAAAATACCGAGTCCCTAAAGGCAATTTTATCTTTAATTCTGTTACTGACTAAGTATTCGATTTTCATAGTATTAAGCAAAGAAATTTCTTGATTTATAGCTTATTTTTATCATTTGTTACTAAATAAATACTTATATATTTTATATAATGAATTGTGTAATGCATAAGGCTGTATTTAGAATTAAATGCATTAAATTTATTACAATATAAATTAAAGTTAAATATATACATGATTATGATTACATAATAAACATAGTGCAATTTTAATTCAATTTTTCACGTTTAATTTTTATCTTTTATGTGAATTTTGTACTTGTCATTAAGAATGTGAATTCTTAGGAGCATGAAATTGCATTAAAATTTATAAATTGCAAAAAATTATTAGAAATAATTGCTATTATTCTTCTATAGTTTGAGGAATATCAATGGATGGCCCAGGTACGATTACATGGGAAGAATTTCTCGAAAATGCCGAGGGATTTATAAACCTGTCGACTCAGATTTCTGACGGATGGGAACTGCATGGTAACAAGGTGGCTGTTATTTTTTAACGTTTTTAAATCCACAAATAAAAAGAAAAATAACAAATTTTTTTTAAAATAGCAAATACCTATATATGATTTTTAGAATATACCGGGAGGGGCATACATTGTCCGACAACAGAAACAATATATTTCCAATAGTTGTAACTCAAACAATTATTTAGTACCGGAAAGTAATGTCTCCGACGATGATTTCAACTTTGTGCTAAGACAAGATCCATTTGAAGCTATTCATCCTATAGAGAAACCATTAGTTACAGAACATCATGTATTGTGGTCGATGAGTTATAGCGTCCCAGTGCTTTATTTTAATGGATGGAAATCAGGTGAACGCGCCATATTCATTCGAATTATAACCAAGTTCTAAAGAAGTTCTATAAAAAAAAAAGATCATCTTGGTGATTCATTTTTAATAATATCTTGTGAATGTCGTTAATTTTATAATGTCTATTCATTAAAATACGGACCGTCTATTACAATCGTTCTCTGATCACCTCTAGACCTTAATCTGGTATGTACAGCCTGTTGAAAGTGGCAGGCGACATAATGCTGATTGTTCCTTCGATTGTAGCCTATCTCGAACTAGGCTAAGAAGTCAGCAAAGAGATCAAGAGTGACTGAAGTAGAGAGATACGAGAAACAAAGGAAATCTATGTTTTATAGCAATGCATGTATTCAGGAACAAATTTTCAATATTGTTCATCATTTAGATTTTGATTATTGCAAACTTTTTATTGTCGTATTTTCAAATTACTTAATTTCTTTGACTAAAATTATTTACTTCTATTATTATTTTTATGAATTCCTTCATAAAAGTCTCAGTAGTATCTTTTTATATAAATATTTAATGTTATACATATTCAAACATGTTGTATATGATTAATTTTTTTAGATTTTGCAGGTATGAATCCCGTATCCGTGGAAGAAGCACAGTTATTGGTTTATAATACGGAGATGAGATACAAAGAGTTATCTCAAGCAATACATCCTATTTTAGGTACACCTTTTTTATATTTGCATCCTTGTATGTCTCATGAGCTTTTACAAATTACAAGTAAGAGGTAAGAAACATAAAAATACATTCGTCCTGTAAATATTTAGTAACATTGAAACGAATAAATTATTTTCTTTTATTTTAGTAAAAATAAATTAGTTAGTTGGTTGAGTACTGTTGCTCCTGCTGCTCTTAACCTTAAACTACGTTCTGAATATTATCAACTAACTATCTGATATGGAAGTTTTAAGACATTATAATTAAAGTGTAACATATTTTATAGTTTTAAAAGAATGCAACAAATAAAAATAATTAATAAAAGTATTCTTATTTCAGTACAAAATTTTACTTTGCTTTCCTTATATTTTTAAATTTTCATTTCATTCTTAACAATTGTAATTATCAAAGAGATTACTATTTTGTTAGAATCGCTTACGGTTTACCGCCTCTGCGCAGAAAATGTGCGTCAATTGGTAGAATTTCGATTCAAGTAGAGCAATATGATTGGTCAAGCCAACAGTTAAAAGTTATCCGAGCACCAATCACATTACATGACTTATAGAACTCGCTCCTTTCACCCTTCCTTTTAATTTCCCCACCACCCGCGCGCTTTTCGAACATTTGACTGAAATGACATGCTTCGAGTTGTAGTACAGTCCCGCGACTGTCATCGTATGGTGTACACGAAAACGTGATATAACGTGTGGATCGTCGTGTTTGCTCTTTTGTTCTTCCTATTTCCTGAGCTAAAACAAATTCGTTATAATTTTGTCAATTAACTGTTAGAATCATTTCTATGATAACATTCTATTATGAATAAAATCGGTGCGTATTTAATGTGCACGCGAAGTGTTTTGTTTTAAATATAGAAATCAAGCAAAATCAACATCACAGTTGGTCCAGGTAAGAAATTGAATTACTATTTTAATGTTATATTGTATGATTTGTTTTACTCATTCTAATTTTCACGATTACATTAATGTATAAGTAGTAGCTAACATTAGAATGTAACACCTTATTTCTTAAAATTGCAATTTATAAAGAGAAATGTCTACAAAGCAAGAAATAGAGATAAATTTCATAATTTGTGGGTAGGAGAGAATGTACAATGGGTACTTAATATGACAGATACAAAAAAATATAAGAAACAAATTAAAGTGTCAATCGAAAAATAATTACGAAAAAGAATTAAAATCTATTTCCTATTGACTGTAATTTTTGTTAATTATAACGACTAGATGCAAAACATTAAATTTAATTTCAAATAAAAATTTGCCAATTATATTATGCAAAATATGCGATATATTTACCTATATCTGTGTACATTTGAAAAATTATATCATCATAGACGTAAATTTAAGTATTATGTAAGAATAATGAAATTATTCTCATATTTATTAAAAAAAGAGGTGTATGTTTTATAGTTATTTTTCATTACAAATATAAAATGCAAGACAATAAATTTATCTTTATTTTCGATACGGCATTATAGAAAGAACTTTATGATTTAATTATTGATGATGCTATCGAAATTATGACAGGATTTACAGAGACTGTACATTCGTAATTGATTAGAAGTTGTAAATATCACCAATAGTTAAATAATTCAATGATAAAATATATAAATTATAATGTTATTATTAATTTCACTTATCATTAAATGTTTTGCAATATAACCATATTGTGTTATGGAAACTAATGACAAACAGTGTTAGTACGAAATGGGTATAAAATGTAATGTTTTTTATCTCAATAAATTGGGAAGCATTTTATAATACTTATTTAAGAAATACATTAATTATAATATACACAAACACAATGAACAAAATATAGAACATCGGAACGTAGTTTGACTTTCATACAATGTTTTTCAACAAATAGTTATTTACTGACAAAAATAAAACTTGGAGAGTACTCTCTGCTACCTGCTCAATCATGGCACTGACATTCTTACCGCGTAATAATTTCATTGTTGAATGCAGACAAGTGGTTCTCGTATAAATCTTTTCTTACTTCATTGTCGGTATGTTTACAACTAAGAATAATACAATGTGCAATATAAGATACATTAGGAATTTCGGTATCAATTGCTTTAAATTGCTCATGCTTTCAGTAATTTTTTTATTTACTAAAAAGATATTGAAAAGTACTGTGATTTCTTTTATACATTTTCGAAAATTTCTTTTTATTCTGTGATAGAAAATCAATTTTTAAAGATAATTTTTTATTTCGTTCCTACAATAATTATCGTGCCTACAATAATTGTCACTTGTATTTAATTCTTTGACTTATTTATTGCTGCAGCTTCATCTTTCTAAATGAAAAAATTCAGATTGTTCATCGAAACTTATAACAGAATCAAAATATCAGTATTATGTAAGTAAATAAGTAGGAACGAAACTGTGGTTTGTTCGACCGCATATGTTTCTCTTAAGATCATAATATATAACACAAGAAAGGAGACCATGTTGTAAATATATTTCCAGCCAAGACGTACTTATTGTTAGTTAGAGAAAAACTGACGACAGTGACATTTGATTTTGATTTGTTGAAAGGACAATTATATTAGTATCAAAAAATAATGATTCTGATCAAAGACAAATAATCGAAAATAGATGTAATCGTGAATAGATACAACTTTAGATAACTCCATCGACAATAGATACATCTTTTATTATTTGCTTCTTATTTTTTTAATTTTATAGATTATGCTACACTATCGATTACGGTTATGTAACGTTGTTATTCTTGGTTTTATTAAACAATGTTATTCCTTGCATTTTTTTAGAAAAATAAGACATCTTCAATAAATAAAAAAAAATTTGAAGTAAAAAGTCATCAAAGTTATGTATGTTTGAAATTTACCATTTAAAAAAAGCTTTTTAACATACGTTAAAAATTAAAATTGGCATCGTTTATAGTTGCATTACATAAGAATGTAATTACGTTTTTGAATCACATTTATCAGTGTATTCCATTAATATGTAGTGTTGACTCCATCCTGTCTGAGAATTACATAAATTGCATGTTATTGGTGATATATAGTTTCATTTTGAAATTTGTATTTGTATATTTGTTGCACATTACCTTTTAACATCAAGGTATCAACTTGTAATAATCAATATAGCTCAATAATTGTATACCTATTTTATTGATAATATTTCAAATAAAAATTTAGAACATTTAGTTCACTTAGTTCTGTGGAAAAAAATTATTAATTTTTATTCAGTACCAAAAATATGATGGATCCTCTTGCATAAACCATTTTTTCAATTTTCAAATGATATTTTGTCACTATTATTCAACTGAACTGAAAATATCGATAATAAAAACTCGATTGTTATTTGAATTGATAAACACAGTTTTCCTAACCTTTTTCCTAGATTTCGGAGGTTCAGTGGAGATCAAGGTTATCATTATCTCCAACAAGAACAAGGACAGTCATTTTCGAAATGCAAACTATCTTTTTCAGTTTGCTTCACTTTCATAGAAGTCCTTCAATAGTAAATTTATTTTAAATGATATTCATCATTTAAAATAAATGGTTTTGTAAATTATAATAATCGTATTATTTTACTCAATTGGATAACTTAAGATTTATAACAAAATTAAAGATCATTAATCACAGTTAATCAGTAAGAAAAGTATATTAATTGTATAGCATTTAAAACAGTTGCAAAATTTAGTGCGTCGCTATTATTAAGGGAAGTTCAAAGCAGAGAACAAACTGCGCGTGTGCTAAAGTCCAGATCGTATTAAAACTATAACCGCGCGAAATTTAATTTTACTCCGCGGGAATATGAATTCTGTAACAAAGAAAGACTATTAATTTTCAAAACTTTTTGAATAAAAAGTATGGAAATTTTTACTACCGTATAAAAAATACCATTCAGTTTCTGTTTATTACATTTCTTGATGTTTCTGAGCACATTACGAAACTTCATTTAGATCACGTAGGATGAACAATTTACTGATATAATTGCACGTAATGAGAGAAGGGTGATGCGTTCTCGTTTGGTTAAATATACCGGCAAAAGTAGTCCATTTACCTGGTTAAATGTTACAATAAAGCGTTTACCATGTGTGCTTAACGTAATAATGAAAATACCCTTCTTGTTTAACATAATGGTAAAAGCAATCTCCATTTCATTAAACCTACTACTACTAACTGAGCGTTAAGAAGTAGAATACTAAGTAATTCGACTTTCAATACATCCTAATTATCATTTTTACTGTTTTTCGATTTCAGACGAAGATTTTTACATATTGTTTATTTTATTTCATAAAACAATAAGATAAATGCTTAAGATACCATTATTGGTCAATTTGACAAACTGAAGGCCAACATGATGGACTAATATGACTGGTACACGTTTACTTCAAACGAAGAAACGTTTTGATCCCATCGCTACTTGTATATCATCAGCTGATTGCGTCACGGTCTGGTTTTATAATAGTTCATTAAATTGCCGGTAATTCGTAGTTGTGGGGCTATTTTATGTAGTATAAATGAATGAACATTATCGTGCAACACTTTGATGCCGGTCTAGGTTAAAGTCAATTTACATGTCCGTTGATCTATGATTTTTCATTTTCAATGTGTATTTTTCTTGTTTCTTTATTTTTATACCTGTATGAAAACCTTTTTTGCTCATAATGTGGCTAGTTCACCTTGAAATTTGAGCAAGTCTTGCAATCAGATAAGATAATTAACGGTCTTTTCTCTTAAGCTTCTCTTGCTCATTGAATTATACAGAATTATTACCACGTAACGTACGTTATGATCAGGTAATAAATACGCGTCTGAAACGAATGTCGAATGTATATTTTCGCAAATACACGATTGTTTCATTTATTATTGGTCGTGCCTCTTTATGGGTGAATACGTAATCGTTTCGATGACGCATTGCCATAGAATGACGTAATGCGGTCGAGAAATGGTTATTTTTTATTTCCTTTTATTATCTCTTTAATATTAACAGTTTCTTTAATTATTCTTTACGCCCTTCTTCGTTATATATAGTTATACAAGACAATTATTAACATTATATTAACAAAATTTAACAGCGCGTCGTTCGAATTAATATAAGTTAATATACACGCGTTCACGCAAAATTTCGTGAATTCGAAAAAAAAATCAGCTAAGAATAACGCATCTTCTACAAATGGAACGCATAACCTCCAGATTTGGGTTACGTCGAATGGCAGAAACGATCTAATGGCTCCAATAACCGTGAAGATTGTCGTATCGTGCGAATAACCTGTTAATACTTGTTTGCTCTCGACACGAAACAGCAAAAATGACGCTATCCGTCACTCTTTGGCCTCGAAATCCTACTTAAAAGGACTTTCTGCAATTTGGGACTCTCAGATGCGAGATCTACAAGTTTACGAGTAACCATTCTTCATTCAATTTGGCACACGAATCAAGCGAAATCAATTATAAACTTGACCCATCTCGACCCTCTTTGTCAACGAGGAACGCTCAAAAGTATTACAACTTCCTTCCTCCTTTCGAACGACCGCCTACCGAAAAGGAACTGCCATTTTTGTTTCTGCCATTCTCTTTACCAATCAACGTCTAACTGAAGAAACACAGGGAATGTTTGAAATCCAATGTAACTCAGCACGTGTTAATTCGTCTAATTCTCCTTATAATCTGTGTGCTAAAGTATAACGGAGGAAAAAAGAAATTCAAAACTAAAATATTCTTCGACACTAATCCGTCAATTTTTTTTGCAGTTAATCAAAGAACCAGGAATATTAAGAAGACCCACATCGCGACTCACTCTTCAATCGAAGATCCAAGAGCATCATCATCATCGTCATCGGCATCGTCATCGTCGTCATCACCATCATCATCATCATCATCATCATTATCATCATCATTATCATCATCATCATCATCATCATTATCATCATCATTATTATTATCGTCGTCGATTTAATCCTGTTACGAAAAGAGACGCCGGAGGAAGAGGAGGTTTATTGTGGAAGTCAGAAGGGAGGGATCGGTGTGCATGATCGGAGGAAGGTGATTTGAGAAGAGAGATAGAGAGAGAGAAAAAGAGAGCTGATCAGAAACGAGAGAGTCAGGCCAGACAACAAACAATAGACGCGTAACCTGGTGCTCCCGATGGGGTCGTAGTTGCACGTGTTTGTAATGTATCTGACGATGATAGGCCAGCACGGCAGGAAGAGATCGTCGTAGGGGGATCGCCATAGCTAATCGTACCACCCAAGGTGGCATAGATTGAGAGCTCACATCCTCTCCTGGCCGAGCACGAGTACCCATCGACGTGCAGCTAGTACGCGCGCACCTAACTACGTACGTACATTTTCATTAAAATCTAGCTTCGCTTTGATTCACTCTCTCCCCATGTGTTTACACTGCACAAACTCTGCCCTTCTTTGCCTTTCTTTTGCTAGTTGGTGCGACCTTTGGCACATTCATGGATACAGAGTAAGATGGTGTGAAGAACTTGAAGATTTGAGGGTGCAATTATTGCTCGTTTGGATTGGCGAATACATTCTATTGGATTATCTGTATTGGGTACAAATTGGATTATAATGGATTATGACTGAATGTTTCTGAAACATTTTGAAAGCTTCTATTAAGCTTTAATTAAAACCACTTCTGTCAATACATTCATTGCATTCGTATTCAAAATACTTTGCAAGCTTCTAGACATTAATTATATTGCTTTGGATGAGTGGTGATCATTTTTTAGGGGCTGATTGTGATGTAGATAGGGATGAGAGCTGAAAGTTTTGACTTCACGTGTAATTTGTCTCCATATAAACAATGACAATTAAATGACGTTATTATTCGAATGAAATTATTTGTATTATTGTAATATCATGATTATGACACGGTTGTGAAATATTTGGTGCAAATAATTAGAATAGTTTGTTGTGTAGAGATAGTAACTAGTTATTCTAGGATTTCGTAAAATCATACTCTAAATATTCTTCATACTTATATTTCCTATGAAACTTCATAATATGCACTCATTATTGCTGTAATATCAATATCAACCCCTAAAGTAAGCGTGCACTTCGATACCAGTACTATCACGCGACTTACACTTGTAGTGCCATTATTATCATCCCTGTGTAAATAAATTCCACGTATATTTTAATCGTTTATCATTCTTTTTTCCCGATAACAGCCATCCAAGGAGTCAGAAACCGAAGCCAATACCACTGTCGGCGATCAACAGATCAACGAATCAACGGATCTGATATCGTCGATCCCTTTCGAGCCTCTCGACCTCTCCTACTCGTTCCACGCCGCCTTCCCTTCCCCATTGGGGCGCGACACACAGCAGCCGCTTCCGGCTAACCGGAAGTGACGCTCTATGCGAACGGGTGACCACCGTCTTTCGTCGGGATACCAACACCACGCAAACGTAGGCCAGCACTCCAGACAGGCATCATGGAAGTCGCTACTGAACTGTATGTATCACGTTTTCTCTCCATTAATCTTTCTTGCTTACTGTTGCTTTTTGTTGCCATCGTTGCCTTCGCTTCTCATCTAGTACCGTAAGTTTGGATTTCTTTTTTCATTATGAAACTTTGAGTTTGTTTCTACTGGGTTTTATCATTAAAATTGAATTATTAGAATGCAATTCATTTTGAAAGGTGGACCTTGCTTTTGGATTCCATCACTGAAATGTGATTTATGTTGGAGTATCGGATATTGGACAGTGTTGGTAACTTGGTAATACTAATAGATTATTTTGACATTTTTTTTCATAAACTCTTTGACAACATTTTTTATCGTTATGAATTTTATTGAGACTTTTAGAGACATAAAGGTTGTTTGGATTTGTCAATCTGCGCTAAAATCGTGCGAGACGCGGGCCCATTAAGGCGACATTGACAGGCAGATGAAGTTTCTCCTTCGCGTAATTCAGTTGCATCACCAGTTCAGCTAATGAATTCGCGTAAAAGGATACACTTGCGAAACCGAACGTCGGTTTACTCGGTGTTTCTATTAAACCCATTAAATTTCTTGGATTACATTATCCGTCCGAAGAGTAAACAATCCTTTCACTTTTGCCATCCATTTCCTTTTCCAGTATCCCAAACGACTGCGCCAAAGGATAATAAGTGATGCTAGAAAGCATTGGAACTGATCCAGAATTTTCGCGGCGATCCAACCAGTTACTCCAGAAGACGTACCGTGAAAGTATACAATTTGATAATTGCCGGATCAGTTAAGATTAATCCTGGCTAACGTCGATGCCAGTTTGTTGAAATGCTTCATGGTAGTGTGACCTTGTCTACGAATATTTCATTTAATTTTCACAATGTTCAAATGTTAAGGTTTGAGAAATTTTATATCAATTTGGTTTCTATCGAATTATTATATAATTTAATATCACATATCGCTTAAGTGTTGCATTTATTACGAAAGAGATAACAAACAGTTACAGGACTAGCAGCAAATAAAGAAATGGAAGGAACATCGTTATCTAAACTGATACTACACTAATACCACAAAGTATATGGGATATGAAGTAGCAAAAGCCGTAATTTGAAATAAGTTGATTGATAAGTCTGCTGAGCCATGTTTGCACGATTCAATAGGAAATTCTTGATGTTTCGAAAATTCACGTGATCGGGCTAGGACAGTCAAGACACGTGGCTGAAAGGGCGACGACGTATCGCCCGGCAAGGTCATCGACAAGCGAGCAACAAGACTTTCAAGAGTGATCAGGAGCTCTCTTGAGGCCTACTTAACACGAGGTCACTCGTAAAGACTCAATCAAATCATAACGAAGACTACTGACCCTTGGTTCAAGTGATGGGTTACGATAAGTATCGGCGCCTTTTGCTTTGTTCTGAATTCGTGAAACACACGAGGAAAATCTTGATCGAAACGAGCTAACTGGTAAACTCTTCAGGGTCACTGTAAATGGTGTGTCACGGTTTGACATAGAACGCGATTTTATGAGAATGGGACCTTAGTAAAAATTCAATTTTTAATCGAAAAATCTCTGCCTGTTGTGTAACGATAATTTTCTTGAATGATCGTTTCCTTTTATAATAACGAACAACTTTGGATAACGTTGGCAAATATGTGAGATTGATAAAGATAAGATTGCTCGAGTAAGCAGTTAAATATCAATTAGCATATTTCTTTATGCATTTGACATGTGACTAAGGAAATGAGCGATTCATATTGCAAATTTAAAATAACAAAATAATAAAATAAGGAATGAAGAAATTTGTGAAAAGAAATAACATTAAGATAATAACATTAAGTTGCTATCTTAAGTCTTCATTCAATAATCGTTGAAAATTTGTCGAATTACTATTAACTATTTAAGTAATATGTAATTCTATGTGTCAGACAAGTTGTCTGATTATTTAATTCGATTAGAATCAAACGTTATTCGTGCATGGCTGAATTAAGACGGAGCGAAACGTGTGCGGGGATACAATAATAGAGCTAGAAGAAATCATTGTCAATCATCGTGCTTTCCTGTACACCCGCAACGCATGTAGTTTCAAGTACTTAGTGTTCTATTAATCACGATCAATAAATAATGTAAATAATGTAAGCGAAGATGTTGAGAAGTTTAAGCAGATTCTTGAAAGAGAACAAAAGTTTTTGAAAGATTTTAGAGATCATTATATATATTTTAAGAGTGAATTGTTAGCGTTTACTGAGTGAATAACGCTTTTCATGAATTCATTTTTAAGACTTTTATGTCTAATGTAATAAACAGATGATACTTACTTTAGTAGTATACTTTCCAATAGTAAGTGAAAAATATTAATGTAATTAGACACTAATATATAGAATCAAAATTCTATTATGTCTATTACCTGTATATTCAAAAGTGTATATTCCAAAATGTTACTCTATAAAAAATATTGTTACTACATGTTCGTATACATTATACAAATATTGCTTTACGAAAATAGAAACTGCTTATACAATTTATGAAACAGAATACTTATTCCATTAAAAAATTGGGGAATAGGGAAACTATTAATCGATCTTTAATTATCTTCATCTAACTTTTAATTACATAAATAATTTAAATGAGTTACCTTCAGAAACTCAAGCGATTTGAATAATTCAAGCTACACGATTTGCATAACTTAAATAATTTACTTTAAACAACTTCGGTAATCTAAGTAACAATTTTTTATATTAACTTAATTATCTACATAAACACTACTGAAATGATTTTTCCAAGAGCACTCTGATGTATCGATTAAACATATTGGAATTCCAAACTCGATCTTAGATTCATGAATTGAATAGAAATATAAAATTCATTGCAGCTCTATCCTTTCATCACACGTAGTCAATGCCAATGTAAATTCAAATAGATAATGACGCATCATATCTAGAAGAAAAATAGGAAACTATAACTAGTTTACAATTACAATGTAAAAATATAATTGTACAGAATGTCACGCTATAGAAGAGTCATATATTAAGGACATTGTCGTTTTTTCGCAAATATCATGCATTTTTTTTTTGTAATAGTCGCTGTGACTAGTTAGTTGTCATCAACTAGTCAAACTGACCGAGTTATCAGACTCGTTAACACCGTTAAGGGATTAACTCTTGCAATTAACCCCTTAAAGCAGCGAATAGACTTATTTCGGAATAGTTGCTTCTCTTTCGAAAATTTTTGTTTCCTTGACGATAATTTATTTGCGTTAGAAAACTGGAAACGATGTATATGCTAAATGTTACACGCTGCAATGAAACCTCATTTGCAATTCCTCCGTGTTTTTACTTCATGTAATAGAAACAGAATTCATACCTTTATTCGCATGAATCAGCTTTTATCGCTTCTTCTTTCTATTTGCTAACAAAGATATAGTTTTGAATTAACAGTTTGTATACTAGTCTAACTTTACAAAGAATCATTTCTTCAATCATAAATCCTACTGTTTTAGGTCGCCGTTATCAGAATCGGACACACAATGCAAAATCGTCGAACGAACTTCATATTATCCTCAAGAGCCGAACAAGAGGCCGAAGACCAGACAGGAGAAGATTCGAGCATGTTTCAGACACAATTTCCTGACCATTTTAACAGTCGGTGGTGTGTTTGGAGGTGTGATCCTCGGTATTTTCTTGCGGAGCATTCGGACCCAAGGATGGACACCCCGCGAGATCATGTACATCAATTACATAGGAGATCTGTTTCTGAGGATGCTAAAGAGCTTGATCTTGCCGCTGATTATATCTAGTTTGGTTTCTGCCATTGGATCTCTTGATTTGTCATTGAGTGGCAAAATTGGTGCTCGTGCTATAGCGTACTATATGGTGACTACTGTTAGCGCTGTTATACTAGGTCAGTAACAGATTTTGGTGTTGCAAAATAATATAATAGAGGTACTGAAATGATAAAGTAGTAGTAATAGAGCAGATACATTTTACTATTTCATATAATATGACATAATGCTATAATAACACTATAGCAATAATATATTGGAAATGTAATGACAAGAAAGCAGTAATATTGTGGCAATACACGTGGTGTATAGTAAAAGTATAGCATCAATATACAAGGATATCGTAATAATATATAACAGTATACGCTTTCAGCACTATTCAAAAAGTAAATCATTATTTTGAATTATATTTTCAGGTATAATTTTGGTAATCACTATACAGCCAGGTGTAGGTAACAATCCGGAAATCAAAACGAAAGAACAACCTCAAAACGTATCGACTATTGATACCTTGATGGATCTGATTCGGAACATGTTTCCTCCAAATTTAGTAGAGGCATGTATCTCTCAACATAGAACGGAAATGCAGAAACCGGAAAACAGTACATCAGGTTGAAATTTTTCCTAAATAAATCACATGTTTTTATTGACAACGTCCAGTAAGGTATAATGATATAAATGATATAATATCAATTATTCTTTTGCTGGCACAGATAATATGGATGAGTGGGAACCAGTACAAAAGATTGTATCTGGAACTAACATCATGGGCTTGGTCGTCTTTGCCACAGCGCTAGGTATAACATTAGGAAAAATGGAACAACAAGGCAAACCACTACTCGTATTTTTTGAATCTTTGTCTGGCGCCATGATGTTGATTACTCATTGGGTGATTTGGTAAATTTCAATTGTTCATATTAAATATTATATAAACTTGTTAAAGGCATATTTAATTGTAGATTACACTATTTTCAATTATATCTGTATCAATAATGATATCTTTTTCTTCAGGTTGTCGCCTATAGGTGTACTGTTTCTGGTAGCAGCCAAGATAACGGAGATGCAATCTTTAGACGAAGTAGTTGCTCAGTTAGGAATGTACTTCCTTACTGTCTTATTAGGTCTCTTTATACATGGTTTCGTAGTTCTACCTCTGTTATATTTTCTAATAACAAAAAAGAACCCATATGTGTACATATCCAATATGGCTCAAGCGTTAGTCACTGCGTTTGGTACATCCTCGAGTTCTGCCACGCTTCCGATTGCAATTAATTGTTTAGAAGAGCGAAACCATGTTGATCCACGAATTACCAGATTTGTCCTACCAATTGGTGCCACTATCAATATGGATGGCACTGCCTTGTATGAAGCTGTAGCTGCAATTTTTATTGCACAAGTACGCCAAGTTAGTCTTACTTTTGGACAGCTGGTAGCAGTCAGGTAGGCAGAAGAAAAAAAGTACAATTTTTATTTAGTTAAAAAACATTACTATTTATACTGAAGTTTCTATTTAGTATTACAGCAACTGCTGCAAGTATTGGAGCAGCTGGAATTCCACAGGCAGGTTTGGTAACGATGGTAATGGTATTAGATACAGTTCGTCTTCCGGCTGATGATGTCTTTTTAGTTATCGCTGTTGATTGGTTATTGTAAGTTTTCCGTTAGAATCATTCGTATAACTCACCTTTAAGATAATATCAAATTTATATGACATGTTAATCCTTGAATTTTCAGAGATCGCTGTAGAACAACGGTGAACGTAGTGGGCGATTCGCTTGGAGCGGGGATTTTAAACTATTTAAGCAGAAACGAGCTGGCTTCGTTACCACATAATTCACAGTCTCAGAATGGAGCGGATCATCACACCACGACCTCTATATGAGAATGAAGTTGTTAGTAATTGGCAGAACTTATAAATGTTGGCAGGAACAATGAACGTTCGCTTTTTTCCAATACTTTGCTCGTTAAATGTTGCACACTCCCATTGAACTTTAAATTTTAAAGTCGAAGACGAAGTTCAGTAAGCATAATAATTCAGTAAGCAAGCAACGATAATACACACTAGCACAGTATTGCTACTATATTGCGTTCTGTTTGTAGCAATCAGTCTTCCATTCTTTAAGAAGAGACTTTGATGATTCTTGTATAACATTATTAGAAGAATTAGAGCAATATTTTTTGTATTTAACTGCACCGCTGCCAGATTCGTTCGATTAGAGTACAAAAATAATCAAATGATCTGATCATGTTTTAATGATCATTTTCAATTGATTTTATGATAAGTTGCTAAGTCCAATTAAAATGATGCCAAACAACGGAATAGGAAAATCTATATCTGTTCAAGTTTGAACATATAGATATTCTGAGAAAAATGTGAGTCAAAATAAATCGAGCTTTTAATCGATTTGTCTAATTAATTGATTACGTGCCATATGCTTCAAAATGTTAGAAGACGCAATTGTAGCTTAACGTTGTTAAATTTTAAACTGTTCTAACATTTAGAAACTTGTAAAATCTCTTTTCCTGCGAATAATTATTTCTTATTCAAAAGAATTTATTTGTTGTTATATAAAAGCGTAAAAAAAAGCTAGCGGTATAATGAATATGTTACTGCCTTAGTGTTCTAATTTATTCTAAAAGTATTCTTTTTTATCTTATTACTTCTGAACTCGTTTACGGCGAAACATCATTCTCTTCTCGCAAAGTATTAAAATTACTATGCAAACATTTAATTCCAAAAGAATTGTTTTAGTGGAAAATTTTCTTAAATATACTTAGAAAATTTGATGGTACTTTAAGGTAATACCGAAACGGTATAAATGTAGTAGATATATATAAAATCCCATTGTATATGATTGTTTTAGACATAACACTAGTAGTAACCGATAGTTATACATATGGAAGTATTATCTATATCTTAATCTTTGTCTTCCACTACTACGTTATTATCTATAATCTTTTTATCGTTTTCTAAAATCCTTAGAAATACACCAAAATATTCATAATTGTGTTCAATACCCTATAGATTTATATGTCTGTAAAAAATTACAGAAAAATGCAGAAGAGAAGTTGTTTCCAACTAGTACTATCTATAGAGAGCCAGTAACAAGATTATGGATTCAAAATACCTCACTGCATTAGATGAAGAAGTGTTCAGTTATTAAATAGAAAGTGGAAAAATGTATTTTATTACTCTCTAACAAGAAATGATTGAAAATGTACCCTTTTATAGTTACATTGGTGCATGCAATGAACGTAACTGAATAGTCAACTTATATTTGTAATTTATTTACTACATTATCCTTGTGTAGGTATAATTTATGTGAATTGAAAGATAATTAAGTACTATACCGATATCTTTTCCTACTCGGAAATTTTACACCTTTTTTTAACGGCAATTAAAATAAGAATATGAAGGCGACATTATTAAATAAATTGATAAATTACTTAAAAAATTTGACGAATATGCATACTAATCTTTCAATCATACAAAATTTTATATAAAGGAAAAATAATTATCATTTACTAATGTCCAGGAAAAATTTAATTTCTCCTCAATATTATAACATAGAAATGAAATGAAGTTACAATACATGTTTATTATTAAGGCATGATTTAAACTAATACTCGTATTATCATAATTAATCCCGTGAATTGATGTACAGTTACACTTTGTAATCAAATTCTACTAGTGGAATTTATGTACCTGTACGTAATTAAGTAATTGCCATAGTTGCTTAAAAGTATATTGTATAATATTTATTTGTACAATAAATGTACAAACTGACACAACAATAAAGTTATTGCTTATTTCTAAACAAAGTCTAAACAAAGATATTTATATAAAAATGTTAAAATTCTTATAACTTCTTCATTTTCTACCAAAAAATACATTCAACAATATTGTGCCAGCAAAATCAGTATAAATTTTGCCATAAACAATATAGTTAAGAGGAATTATTTAGAATATTTTATGTTATAAAAGAACACATATTTTTAACACCTAATTTTTAAATATAATTCTTTAATACGTGAAAAATATTTGGGTTAATCTGGAATATAAATTAATTTATTAAGATAATTACTGAAAATTATTTATTTCAATCGTAGTTCTATCTGTGCATATTATAACATTTTTTGGTTTCATCAGTTACATTTCGATTTACGTTGTCATGAGTAATATTAAGTGGTAGTTGCAGAAAAATAAATGTATATTTGGGATCTTAAAAATCTGAAGTATATGTTGCAAAGAATCTTTGAGAAATATTAAATACATGTAAGAAAATAATAGTACTGCAACGTTTTCTATCACATTTTAAACACAACTTATAGTCATCTATTACTATTGTTTTAATTACAAATGGATATGCAACATTAATTCATATTGTAGATCACTGATCAATATTATTGTAAATTAATGCACTATTTGTATTAAAAAAAAAAAAACAAAAAAACAGAAAATATTTTTGTTGCGTATTTAAAACTATAATGCTTAATAACACAATATGACTAGATAAAATGCACATTGATATAATACTTTGAAGTAACAATGCATAAGAATACGAATAAGAAGAAAGGAATTCAATTGAAATAACAATCGACAATTTCGGAATTTTTGCATAATTTTGCTATTTTTCCCTTTATCGTATATGTATAATGACAAATTATATATGCATACAATCAATGTGATTAAATTTGTTATGCAGATATAAATATTTCATTTCAATTTTTGCCAAATTAAAATCATATTGTACTAATTTTATTTCGTCTATTATTTTATGAATGGAAATCAATTCAACATTCGATGTAATATTTAACAATTACGGACGTCTGACTCAATTTCTATCAAAGATAAAAAGCACTTCCAACGGCATTAAATATATAAAATTTGTATAATTGATGTTAGATGATCCCATAAAATGAAGCATTTTTTGCGATACGATTTTAAAACTGTCATCCCTTTCTTGATTATTTAAAGAGAGAAGAATGATAGTGAATAAAATCGTAAAATACATATTTATGATATTTTAAAACCTTAAACAGGCATTATTATGTACATAATATAAACAATTCGCTATAATATATACAAAATTAAAACAGTTCACAAGATTTTGCGTTAATACTAAACATCTATAAATCACAATTGTCATCGACTTTGACAGCGTGTAAAATATCCTTCGTACCACGATAATAAATTGTGCTCAATTGTGTGAAAATTTCAATATAGAGAACAACTTCTGATTCGCCTTTTTATTTTAAGTAGCTCTTAATGTTTAATTTAAGGAAATTCCTTGTATCCACGAACTAAGATCACTTGTGTCTTCGCAACTCAGACTCAACGAATTTTTTTCGTTCTTTCTCGATTCTAAAAGAGTTTGAGCAGCAGTTCGGCCGGTCAAATATGCTCCGTGTACTGTACTATAAAAGGAAGAATGCGTATGTTCACCTGCAAATGCTATTACAATCTTTGAAGGATCATCCTCTTGTATTATAGGCTCAGCCAAACAATTAATGTCTAATTGACTTGCACCAACAGCCATAGCAGTATAGGAACCACGTGTGTATGGCTGTGAGTGCCATGAAGTGCGCAAACAATTTTTTGGTGCTGGCACAAATGGATCATTAAGAAATCTCCTCAATATTGTTGTGCATATATCTGCGACTTCTGCTCCACTTAATTTTTCCATGTATTCAGCAGCTTTTCCTGATATCCAACCCAGCAACAGAGTTTCAGAAATTTTCGTAAAAGAATATATTTTTCTGAACCATGTTTTACTGATGTCTTGTTTCTCTTCTTCTAGTAGTCCTCTGTCATCCCATAAAAGCATTACTTCTGACACACCAGGATTTAAAAATGGTCTTTCATATTCTAAAAATATCTTATCTACAGCACCAAATAGAAGTCTATTTATAGCTTTAAGTTTGTAATTTGGTAAAGGTGGTTCAAATATATCATTAGCTTTTTCCTTAAGTACTCCTAATGGCAATGTACAAATCAAATGTTCAGCTAATATTGTTTTCCCATTTTCACATTGTACTTCAACAGATGGGTTTGTGTTAGGACAATTATTAAAATTTTTGTTGTCCATACATTTATTTCTTTGCCACCTATAATTAATATACTTGTGTAAGAATCCACAGCATAAATTTAATATTGATAAGAAACCAATTTCAAGCTCTGTTTACCTAATTTTAGTGACAGCATGTCTAGTCAGAATGCTAGTTTTTGGTATGTGTTTTGAAACTGGTTCTAATATAGCACTGTATCCATCTGGAAGACTAATATTTCCACCTTGAAGTTCTGCATATGAGCCCATTTCCAATAAATCAACATCTTCCATGCTATCACAGCCAGTAATACAGGTTTCTCTTTTAAGTAAACAATCAAACAATAGCTGCCTAATTTTTCTTTCTTCAACTGGTAAAGTTGATAAGTAAATCTTAGCCTCTAGTGCCACATGTGCTCCAACACTATTTATTCCATCTGGGGGACTATAAGTACTTAAAAAATATTCCTCACATCTTCTTAAAAAACACACATAAGCTTCATAAATTTCTTGCAAAACTGGAAAAGGTAATTGTTTTCCATCTTCCATTGCAGCTACAACTTTATGAGGCCTTGGTACATGTACAATATCTATTAATCCATTTGCCATAGCTAATTCAAACATTGGGTTCCCTAGGACTCCATGGATCCAATTTGCTCCTAATTCTACCTTTTCATTGCCTGTATATTTAAAATTCAAAGTTTTTTAAGTAATTATTTCCATAATTATAACTGGATATTTATCATATAACTTAAATATTTATTGTTTAATTTTATTATAATTTATTATATTAAAATTTAATTTCTTGTAATAGAATTATCATCCTTATTTAGTTCAACAAATCATTTTTAAAAATTAATATGAATAAAATAGAAACAAAATGAAAAAACCTTTAACATACATTTTCTGTCATAAAAGTAAGATATGCATATAAGAAATTAACAATTTAAATATATATAATAATGCAAAAAATATATTACAAAAACAGATAAATCTACCTATAAAAATCAAAAATTAAGATGAGGAAACGAATACTTATTGATTAACAAAATTTTGAAATAGGTTAAGTATAAACTCACCGATTTTAGTAGCGACTATACGACCACCTATTCGACCCCGTGCTTCGACAATCAAAAAATCAGTTTCGTGGTTTTTCAATAAATGGTTTGCGGCCGACAATCCAGCCATTCCAGCCCCGACGATTAAAATTTTACACTTAACTTTATCATCCTCTGTCTTCTTCGTAGTCTCCGCCATGATCATATCATATCAGTTGTCAATAGTAAAACTTGCATAGCTTATTAATTTTTATTTAGGAAAAAACAATTACAAAAGCTCTTTTTAATTTTGACCAAACCACCTTATTTTTTAGCGTTATTACTTGAAAGTACATTTTTGAAATCTATTCAAAGATCATTTTAATGTACATCAGAGAATACGGGAACACAAATTCGTACTAGTTACTTTTATTTTTTACCACTTAATTCTTAGCATGTCATAGTTTAGGGGATATAATTCAAAAATATATCACGTAAATAATTCTTTTCTAATTATAAGGAATAATTCTATTCACTATCTAAGCATGTTTAAAAACAAGATATAAAAAAATCACCGACACAACATTTTTTATTTATTTACATTAAAAATTTCTATCGAATTACAAACATTACCTTTATTATTAATTTGAGTTGTATCTTGCATTAACAGATTAAATGTTTTAAATATGTGCACAATTCCTTGCACTTAAGTAAATTTATTGCATTTCTACTCCTTTCTTACACCACTTTATCAATTAAAGCGATTTTCAGAAAAGTTTTTGTAACAAAAGCAATAAAAAATAAGAATCTATTTTTCAAACATATGGATTTCTTTTTTCAAAATATTTAATAACAATTATAAACATTTATATGGTGACGACAATCATATTCAGTATAACAATTGAGACAACCTGCATCTTTTCTTGTTCCACTAATTAAAATTGGACATCTTTATTGTAAACTTTTGGTATTTCAGTAAATTTGTGTTTATATACCTACCATTTATCCGGTAAAGCATAAAATTCTATAATGTAACTGAACTTACTAAAATATAAGATGGCGCAAAAATCGTTGAAAAATTAAGTCACAAAAATACTATATTCTAAACCAAAAGTTTTTAATTTAGTAATTACTGTTAATTATTTCTAAAAACAAAATCTATAATGTAACAATAAAACAGATATAATATTCAATTTTTATACATATTTACAGAATATTATTAGTAATTATTATAAATGTATTCACGTTATAAATATTTTTATATTTAGATTATTTCTTTTAACATATCGTAAATTTTATTTCTCTGCTAAAATCAACTTAAAATAGAAAATTTGGATTGATATAAAAATTACCAAACTTGATAGAACATTTAAATACAAAATTAAGTTCGAAAAAAGATTCTCTGAATTATTTTCTTATTTTCAGTATACGATTGTGTAAATTATACTGAATCAAATTACATGATTTTTCGTATCATGAATGTGGTATTTAAATTAGCTTTAAACCTTAAGTCCTTAAATTTTTTAAAATACAAAAATTCGATATCTTGCTGTCAAAATATTTAATATATATTAATAACATATATTTATCTTAAACAATTTTTGCAATTTAGGACTTCGTTTGCTTATTATAATACGGAAAGATAAATAAAAGTTTTAATTGATTATATTAATTTTTTTTAATACTCTTTTGACAAAAAGTACTATTAACTATTATTATACACATATTACACAAATAACAATAAAACAAATATATTTACATAATAACAGATAATGGTATTTCATTTTGATTTTGGTCGCAAAAGATTTTTCGTCAATTTCTTTTTTTTTTTTTATATAAAATGTATATGTATATATAACATACAAAAAATGTGGTATTATCAATATTTCCCTTCATAAAAAGCAAACAGATTCAAGTTCCAGAACCCAAAGGATTAAAGCTAATATAATTAAAAGCAACCTCTATTATCTAGCTTTAAATTTCACAATTTCTTTTTTTATCATTTGTTATAATTATATTCGAATATAATTTGATATATTTTTATAATGTAAGCGTTGTTTTTTTTTTTGTATTTCATTATTTATATAGATGGTTAGTACTCAGATAGAAAATATTTCCTTCCTAAAAGATCTATTTTTCAGTGGTTTCACGAGTTTTTAAATTGTACATTTCGGGCGTGTACTGTATCGTGACCTGTATACTTCTATTATATTATTTTAGTAAAATTGTTAACAAAACAAGAGTGAACGGAGCAAGATTTTAATCATCGAGTATGTAAAAAATTAATTCAAGCACAGTATGCGTATCTTGACTGCTTTGCGCTGCTTTGTGTAAAACTTGAATTAATTCATTGTCCAAACTGTTCATGTAGATTGGAGGCAACTTCATACCCTCACTACCAGCTTCATATCCCACCTAGTATTATAACAATTTAATTATATTTCTCGTCTCGGAGGAGATTATATTAAATTGTTAAAAACTATCTAATAAAAGTTAAAGATTGATTAAGTTATATATTTTCTCAGAGCATATACAGGTATTAAATTACACCATAGTAAACTTACGTTGTCGGGATGGATAGTTGTTCTTACACCAAGTTTCATTAAACCAGCATTAGCTAATAAATCTAGTAGCTTCACTAAAGCTGTACATGTTGCTTTCGCTATGTTTCCTGATAATTTATTTATATCTACCGGGTCGTAAACGCCATTCGGATGATCATCAGACTTTAAAAAAAGACGTTTGATGTTACTTAATATTATTAATATTATAAGCAATCGAGAATTTAAATTATATTCTTTTTTAAACGTACATTAATAATAAATACTTCTGTCCACCGAATAAATCTACTCGTTCCCTTATAATCAATACCATTATGTACTCTGATTGATGGAATACCATCCATTGATTGCCCATCAATAGGACTTTTAACTCTGAAAATAAATAATAAACTTGAATAACAAGCTATAAATAACAATCATAAGAACACTTACCCTAGGTTAAACTGCACGTCATTATCGACCCATTTTATATTCACTGTTTCATCTGGCTCCGGTGCTCCTTGTCGACCACATCCGATAGAGAAATCCTGCATATTTTTTAAAGCCGCTTTCAAGGCTTCCATTTTTTCTGGCATTATTTCTACCATCAGTCCATCCTCAACTATACTAGATTTTGCTGAGAGACCCATTGATGATTTTAAAGCTCCGTTAATAACAATAAAACTGGTACCTGTTACTGTATCGATTAAACAACTTTTTTTAAAGTATTCAAAGAAATGATGTATATATTTATAAATCGAATACCTACTTGTTCTCAGATTATTGTTTATGCTTATAGCTTGTGTTTGATAACTGCTTTCATCACCAGTGTTAGTTTGTATACAGACTAAATGAGAATCAGCAGCGATGCTAAAATTTGAAGCGTATGCTAGTACGTGATCATTCGAATTATTTAAACCTTTGATCACTTGATCATATCGATTTTTCGGGAACATCACATCCGTCATTCTGTTTCTCAAATGAATAGTTAGTCCTCTTACTCCTGGTAACGTGTATGCAAAATTTCTGAAATCCGCTAAAACTTTCATAACTGTATGACCTATTTCAAAGTATAACGCATCTCGAAATCGAACAGAGAACAATGGACAGGGATAGTAACGATATTCTGCTCCAAGTCGTAAAATAAGACGTAATGGAAATACCTTTGCCCATGGTGTTTCCCATCTATATATATGAAAAAAAATTAAAAGTTGTAAATTAGTAAATTTCAATAATCATTAAATTTATATACTTATTATAAAAAAATAATAAAATACATATTATATCCTTAAGAAAACAAACCTGTGAACTAAAAGACCAATTAAATATGGGGCAGGAGGTAATATAATTTTTTGTAAGCATTGCAATGTTTGTCGAATAAATAAGAATCCGGCATGTTCTCGAGAATCTAAGAAATTTCCTCCTTGATAGATTGAGAAGCCCAATTCAGATATAGTATTTCCTGAATAAGAACACAATGACATAACATTGTAAGTTAATAAGAATAAAATGTAAGCAATACCTTTCATAGCTTCAAGATGTAACTGATTAATAAATAGAAGAAGATCCTTGGGTATCCGGGTTTCATCAGGTAGCACTTCAATTAACAAGATAACTTCATCCTGTCCAACACAATCCAAACCTTTCGACGTTACATTCCAACACGTTTTATTAACACAACAGTTTACTAGAAATGATGCATTCATTAATAACTTTGTATACACCTTTATTCTATTATATATACTTACAGGTCACTATTTTGACATAAGCATAAAGATTTCGATTGACCGCAAACATAACAGGTGGTTCACATTCATTTTTCAATGTCTTATAAAGAAGATTCTCATCCGTTACAGCATGGTATGATACTTCTATTTTATATAATTAAATAAATTCATGTAATGCAATATTAACAAGTTGTTATCCTGTGAATAAAATCATTGCTTACGTCCTTTATGTATCGTTACAGTTGGTGGAAGAGCACTAGGATCCTGTGGCACATAGCTATCAGTATTTGGGTCCATACGAGGTAAATTCTGTTTCTTAACAGAAGTACTTGGCACAGATGTGCCAGGTGTTGATATCCTCTTGCTGCCAGATTTCCGGTATGGTGGTTTCAAGTCCCACGACATGTCTAGTTCTGTCAGGTCACAGCCAGGCCTTATTCCTGTGTTTTAGTTAGAGGTGCATAAAACCAAAACAAACAGGAGGGAACAGGTCCAATGAAGGGGTAAAATATTTGAAGGAGTCGAAAAATAAAAAATAATATGGCTTGGATATAGGAGTATAACTTGAACTCAAAAAACTAAAAATATTATAATACAGTGTGATAAGAGTGAAGTGTAGTGTTACTACATAAAGTTGCAGTACATTTGTTTAGTACTGTAATATATTAACTACTAAATATTGAATGTTATAAAGTGGATTACAGGCACAGAGTATAATTCTGCAAATTTTTTCTATAATATTTGACTAAAAGCAATTTTCATAATAAATCAAATCATATCATTATACAACATCAAAACTAAAATATTTTGACTGATTCTCTATGCAGTTAATTCCTCTGTTTCAGTAAAACTCATTAATATAATATGAATAGCTTTTACCTACCATCACTGAACATAACAGATTTTGAAATTTCAGGCCGACTTTTTGTACCATCTTCCCTTTTAAGGACTCCAACCGGTACCATAACTGTAGGAGGTGGAGGCAATCCGCCAGCTAACTGTTGCAAGGGTGGTATAGTTGAACAATACTCCATGGGATTATTTGGATTAGGCTGTCTCCCCTATAACCATTTGTCGAATACTCCTAACATTCACATTTATTTCTTTATCCAGTAAACACATATCATGCACATAAAGTAGCATAGTACTTCTTTTGTTAATTATACTTTAATTACATTTTAATGCAGCAAGGTAATGATATTATACATTGCCAAATACCTTAAAATTATGTTCAATCAATATTCTTTAATATAAAAATATTAATTTTAAAAAATTATCTTATTTAGTTTTAACAAAATTCCCAAGAAGCTTAATAAGATATACAAGCAATATTAGCAATAAAATCAATAAAATGGTAAAAGGTATATACTTTTAAGAAATCTTAATATAGAATTCCAAGCAACTACTGTTAATAAATTTGTACAACTGAAATAATGCAAATAATAAAAAATTTTCTGTGTTTACTGGACATTAATTGCTATTAAATTATAAAGCAAACAAATAATTTTTTCATGAAAATACTACAATTATTCAAACGCATGCCTTGTGTTTGCAATGCATGGCAAAAGAAATAACAAATGTTCATAATGTATAAGGAATATAATGCAAATAGGTAATTACTGTAAATTTATGATTATAATGACGTAAAAATAAATTTTAAACAGCAAAATTTATTTTCTTTTCATAATTAGAAAAATATTATAAAATATTTATATTAAGTTAATATAATCTTGTAAATTTATTTTAAATAGCAAGAAAGAAGTATTCAACAAGTTGTTATAGGTGGTCATAAAACTTATACTAATATTTAAATTAATTCATAAAGTGGAAAATATTTAAATTTAATTTATATCTTTATTCAATAAATTTAATAAAGAATCAATACTTGCAAATTAGAAAAAAATTGTTTAAATAACGCGATCAAAACCGATCAAATATAAAAACTTAATGTCTTACAAGTTTCCATTGCAAATGTGCTGTTTTCAATAGAAATTAAGAAATTAATAAACAAAAATTTATTAAATATTTGTATTTATAGAAATGTAATAGAATTCACAATTAAAGATTTAATGTTATAATATTTCATTTTGTAATTTTTGTAGACAATTGGACCAGATTAAAGAAACAAAAAAATTATAAACATCTGAAAGTATTGAATGCTACATTAAAATAAAACAAATATGGCAAGCTACTATTGGTATATACTTTGTGTTGATAAAGGGAGCTCTAAAAGTATTGCCCTCAATTATTATATTAAAACTATTTTGCAGAATTCACCAATATGAAAATGTAGACAAACAAATAAAAAATGTAAATAAACAAAATGCAAGCATACAAACCTGGAATGTAAACAAATAATCCAAAATATAAATAAACAGATGTAATGTATATAAACTAATTAAGAAAATAAGCAAATAGCATGAAAATATAAATAAATAAATTGAAAATGTTTATAAATAAATCAAAAATTTTTTGACACGTTTTAAGAGCTGTTAACAGCTGATTACAAAGCAAGAATAATATTCAAGATATTTTCTTGAATAGAATGATAGATATATACACAAGAAGGGTACATAACAACATTTTAGAAAATTATATCCAACATACCTGAGGTGAATTGATATCATTATTATTAACACACATAGAATAATCAGAAAACCATTCTCCCACACCTTGTTCTGTTTCAGCTAAAAATGAAAAGATCAAATTTTTAATATTTTAAAATGATAAAATATTTAAATAACTAAAATAATATTAAAATAAAGAAATTACCTTTAGTAAGAAGCTGATAACAGGAAACACAAACGCGTGAATCAATGTTTCCTTGATATTCTAATTTATACTTCATATTGCAACATTTATTACATAACACTTTTCCACATGCACGACAGTGATGTCGTCTTTTGAGTACTGTAAACTTAACATCACAGAGCATACAACTAGGTGCATCACTATCAGGAACCCAGAATGGCGGTTGTTTCCCCAAAACTAAACTAGATTCTGGTAAAGAATTCTCTAAAATATCTGGTGAAGATCCTTGTTCTTCCTTCGGACCATCAACATCTGACTGCACTTGATAGGATGGTGTATCATTTATAGAACTAAGTGCTTGGTGTTCATTACTGTTATTTGTCAAAACAATATCTAATGTTTGGGGGCGTACTGGCTTCTCTAAATCACTGATGTCACTTACATTTGGCCTTGTATAAACTTCCATAGATGTAGGGATTACATCATCATTATCTTTTGTTTCATCATTTAATATTTTTACTTCAGGTGTCACTAAAGTTCTTTGTTCAGAAATGCTATCAATTTCACTTGGCATTTTTAATTCACAAGCTTGACTATATTGTGTACAACTTGTTTTCTGTTCTTTTAATTGTATTTCTGTTTTGCTATTACTTAGTGATCCCTGGTTAATATTTAAGCTATACATAGAATTTTCTTGACTGTCTTTAGTATTTTTTGCATTAGGCACACATTCATTTTCTAATTTCACTTCGTCATCTTGCGTTATGTTAGCCACATGCAATAATTTTAATTCTTTATTACTTGAATTATTTAAAATATCTCTGTGTTTATCATCATTTAATTGATCATCATGATGTTGTACATTTTGTTTTCTTAATGTATTATCTAGTAATTCTGCATCTGTTTTTTCATTCTTATAACCAGATACCGAAATGCTTTCTGCCTTTTCATTTAATTCTGATTCTATAACATTGGAAGATTCTATAACAGTATCTGTACAAATTTGAACATTCTGTTTATTTTCATTCTTTTGATCTTGAGAAATATTCTGTGTTGTATTTGTAATATTTTCATGTTTGTTACAACTTTCTCTTAATTTTTCCTCTTCTTCTAATTCAGTTAAATACTTGGTCAATTCATCCTCTGATAAATTATCAATATTACTAAATCCTATTGGTTTATGTTCTGGTTTTAAACTATTTTCATATTTATCAACTGTACTAATATTTTCCATACTTAATTTTTTGTCACTATTTTGTAATTGTATTGTAGACTCATTTCCATAATAATTATCTTGAGTGTAGGTACACTCAAGCATAGAATTATTTTCTTGATCCACATTATCAAAATTATAATTATTTGTTTTTTCGTTTGTAATTTCTGCTTTATCACTTAATTCGGTACAAGCTTCATTTGTTGTAACATCCTTAGAAAGTTCAGTTTCACTTTCCAAAGTTTTGAAATTTGTTACATGAACATCATTTACATTTTCTTTAATGCTAGTTTCACATGTAATAGGTAACTCTGTTAGTGTTATGGGTACTGTAACATCTTCATGACTTGAAACAGAAACTTCTCGAATTGAATCAATTATGTCAGTTGTTTCTTTAAGCATTACATTTTTATCACTATCTTTAGTGGTGCTCTGGATTAATTGAGGTACCTCATTCACATGATAAATAGTTTTAGCTTCTATATTAGGTTGTATTTCTGAATCATCCAGTACAGAATGAATACAATCTGAACTTCCAGGTGGAGCATTAATATATTCATTCAGACTACTGAAAACATTACTAACACTAGGCTTCAAATTAGATTGATTTAATTTCTTATCATACCTATTGTCAATCTTTGGACTACTGCTGGTATTTTGTTGTTTTTGCATTAATTTTTGTGATATGTCATTATATATTGCCAAAGGAACCTGTTCAGAATCATAAGATGGGACAGATTGCTTTTGTATCGATTTATTATCATTTGTGCATTCCTGTGTGTAAAATTGATTTACATCTGTATTCTCAAATGTTGACTTTTCTGCACTATAATTCAGGTTCTCAGAAATTGTATCTTTCTCATTAACACATTTAATTTTTGTATCTATCTGTTGTAAATCTTTGCGTCTTTCTAGAGGTAATATAATATCAAACTCTGTATTAGCTTTTTTAGGCTCTATTAGAAGATAATTGTAAGTTTTTAAAGCTGAAGATTCCAAATTACACTTAACAGAAGAAGATGATGCATTATTCGTTGAAGGATTAACAGATGCTATTTGCTCTGCACAATCTGCAAAATAATTCATTGTATTAAGATTTAACATATAATTCCAACAATATTAAAAAATAAAAATAACTGTTTTAACACATTATTGTTTAAATATCAATAAATTATTTTGTCATCAAATTTGATTATATATTTTACATTAAAATTATTTGGTTATTTGAGAAAAGATAAAAACACAAATTTTTTAAAACATCAAATATATTAGAATAAAAATAAGAACAAATGTTAATTTTTACCTTCGTTAAATTCGAAATCATCTAAAACTTTGTCCAAATCAATAGCAAATTTTTCCATTGCGTCGTTAAAATTAGTTACGCAAATTGTGAAGTCATTTAATAAACATTCCTATCCAACTTCTGATAAAAGTAAATATGATTCCATTAATGGTATCCGTCCGAACGAAAAATACGACGTAATTTTAGAATTTCCCGCTAACTATTCGTCGAAAATGTATTTAAATACAAAATGTCAAATAATGATTAGCTGACACGTTATTTGTACAACATACTCAATTTTTCAAAAAAACTTCTTACAATGAATAAGTCATTCTGCGTAACGAAAGAATCACTTTGCATTAGTTGTGTCTTCAATCAGTACATATATCTTCGTAAATCGGTTTCCTTTTACAATCCATGATATGCAATCATGACATCAATAGAAAAGACAATGATTAGAATGCTTTGAATCACACTCGAGTAAAGAAAACGTAAAAATCAAGAAAATAACCATAAATTTTTGATCATCACGTGGATTAATTGACAGTGGAATAAGTACTTGTACATACTTGCACACTACTTGCCTATAGAACTGTCATTCTCTGCAAGCGCAGAGCAACTGTTTTTCTATCGATAAGTCGAAAGTTATATCTTACTTTCGATTAATCGATTATTTTCATACATAAAAATATCTAAAAAAAAATAATTACATAAGTTTAATATTTGGTATTTTTGATTTTATTATAAGATAATATGATAACATAAACTATAATTTTAAAATAATCTAACTTATCGTAATAAAAATTTATTATTAAAAATTACTATAAAAAGATTCCTATTTTACCGAATATTTTTTCTACATTCTATAATATTATGAAATTTTATATACTTCACATATAAAATTATTTTAATTATGATTGGTTAAATATTTTTCTAAATATTCTAAATTATTAATAAAATATGTGTGTACTTAATATTACTATAAAACTTTAATTTACATTAGTTACGGTTGCCTACCTTGATTTGTCATATTATGGATATTGCTTTAATGCACATGTGCAGTTTGTGGTTAATATACATACATGGATATATGTTTGAATTTAATAAACAATACTTTACTTCTTTTTCACAGGGAAATAAATAAATGATTTAAATATATTTTTGTATAACAAAAGAAACAATATGTTGACAACAAAAATATTTTTTAGAAAAACTAAAGGAGGAAATGTGTTTAAGGTAAATTATAAACAAAATCAAAAGTACTTAACTCTCTGATATTTTTATTAAATTATATGTTTTTATAACTAATGATATTATTAAGATGATTATAAAAATATAATTTATATGAAATTTTCTTTAGACGGTTAGAGAACATTATCTCAGAGATGATATTCACTGTGGATTTAAAGCCTGTAAAAAGTGCATTTATAAAACCAGAAACATAGTTTTAGATGACGATAATTCCAACATAAATTGTTCTAAAATAATGCAACCTTACTACCTATTAATTGATACTAACATTATTTTAGATCAGGTTAGTGAATTTAAATAATATGATCTTAATTATGAATTTTTGTTCTTCCTAATATAATTACAATAATATACTGTTATAAAGTTTTTAACATATATAAGTACAATTTCAGATTGATATTTTGGAAGAAGATGTTATTCGTAATGCTATAATTGTACAAACTGTGTTAGAAGAAGTAAAACATAAAAGTTCTAATGTATATAAAAGATTAAAGACTATCATCAGTAATACGCAAAGGAAATTTTATATATTTGTCAATGAGCATCATAAGTATGCTAAGAAAATTATATTTGTAGATGTCATTCGTATTATTTGTCTTTTTATTAATTTTTTTTTTTATTAATTTGGTATAGAGACACTTATGTAGAACGTAATCCTGGTGAAAGCACAAATGATAGAAATGATAGAGCAATTAGGGTTGCAACAAAGTGGTATAATGCACATCTAGATATAGATGGTAATAAAATCAAAACTATATTATTAACAGATGATGCACGGAATAGAGAGTTAGCAGAAAAAGAAGGAATTCCAACTATTACAAGTAAAATTCTTTTGTTTAATAATTTAAATAATAATTTAAATAATACATTAATATCATTCTTTAGTGGAAGATTATATATTATCGCTAGAAAACTCAGGTTTTTTAGTTGATAAATTATGCAAAAAAAGTTATGGAATCATATCTGATGGTCCAGAACTTTTTCCATGTCATTTTACACCATCTGAGATACATGATGGTATAAAAAATAGAAAACTTCTACAGGGAACATTTACAGCTTCAAGAGAAAACTTTCTTGAAGGATTTGTGAATGTGGATGGAGTTGAAAAAACTGCAAGTATTTGTTCCCTATATTTTCTGTATATGTATAAATATATAAATAAACATATGTATTTATTACATATATTTAATTGTAGATTTTCATCCAAGGACGTAGTAACCTTAATAGAGCTGTTGATGGTGATGTAGTTGCATTAGAACTCTTACCAGAGGATCAGTGGTCATCTCCTAGTGATATTGTTTTGCAAGATGAAGAAGAGATAGGTGTTGATGATATTTTAGAAAAAAAGACAGTGTTGGATAAATCTGTTTCATCAAACAAAATGGAAAGGACATCTACTGGTAAAATTGTTGGTATTATTAGAAGAAATTGGAGACAATATTGTGGAATATTACAGCCTAGCAATATAGAAGGGGTAAACTGCCATAATTAGCACATGCTTATAATATCATTGTATACACATATACATGTATATATACATATACACGCATGTATATACATATACATATATATTCATATAAATATACATGCACACATACATATGTATATACAATATATATATTTTATAATCTTCTCTTCCTTTAGAACGTACGACATTTATTTGTGCCGGCCGAACGAAAAATACCTAAAATAAGAATCGAAACTAGGCAATATACAGTGTTAAGCAAACAGAGAATTATTGTAGCCATTGATTCATGGCCTCGCAATTCTAGATATCCTCTTGGTCATTTTGTACGTGCATTAGGTGAAATAGGAGATAAAACTACGGAAAATGAAGTAATTTTATTAGAGCATGATATTCCTCATAGTCGATTTTCTAACGATGTTCTTAGTTCATTGCCAAAAATTCCATGGCGAATTCCGGAAGCTGTATGTATTAATATGGAAAAAATAATTTGTCTAAATTTTATTGCAATTGAATTAATAATTTTTAGGAATTAGTACAAAGAGAAGATTTGAGAAATTTAGATATATGTTCAGTGGATCCACCAGGATGCACAGACATCGATGATGCGCTTCATTGTAGAGATCTACCAAATGGTAATCTAGAAGTAGGTGTACATATTGCAGATGTAACATATTTTATGAAACCTGGAACAGCATTAGATAAGGAAGCAGCATTGCGAACTAGAACTATATACTTGGTTGATACGAGAATTCACATGCTTCCTGGTAGAACTTATTTAAATAATATTTTCATTGAATACAATTTTAAAGATATTGTTATACCGTGTAATATTAACAATTAACAATTGTAGATATATTAAGTGGAAATCTTTGCTCTTTACGAGAAAAGCAGGATAGATTAACATTTTCTTGTATATGGGAAATGGATAGAGACGCAAATGTAATTAATGTTAAATATTGTAAGTCTGTAATTTGTTCACGAGCAGAATTGACTTATGAAGAAGCTCAACTAAAGATTGACGATGTTACTCAGCAAGATTCACTTGCAAAATCGTTAAGGATACTTAACAACTTAGCTAAAAAATTGAAAGCAAAACGTCTAGAAAATGGGTATGTATGGTAATCCCACAATAATAATGTAATGATAAAAAGTACATAATATCCTCTTTATTGTAGGGCATTAGTATTAGCATCTCCAGAAATTCGTTTTCAAGTTGATTGCGAAACATGCGATCCTATCGAAGTAGAAGTGAAAAAATTGCGAGATACTAATTCGATGGTGGAAGAATTTATGTTGCTTGCAAATATTTCGGTTGCTAAAAAAATTGTAGAAGAATTCCCAGAGTTTGCTGTATTAAGGAGGCATCCTGAACCACCATCTGCTAATTTTGAGCCTCTCATAAAAGCTGGAAAGAATCAGGTATGGGAAACCTACTTAAAAGTGATCATTTAGATAAAGAATAATAAAATGTTCTAATTATAATTTTATTTCGACAGGGTTTCATTATAAATGTTAATAGCGGTAAAGAATTAGCAGAATCATTGGATAAATGTCATAAAGAAAGTAATCCTTATTTTAACACTATGTTAAGAATACTTGCTACACGTTGTATGATGCAAGCTGTATATTTTGTTAGTGGAATGCATCAACCATGTGACTACTATCATTATGGTTTAGCATGTCCTATTTATACTCACTTTACATCACCTATTCGTAGGTAAGAAAATTTATTATATAAATAAATAATATTCAATTTAAATGCATTTATTTACGTAATTTCATAGATATGCAGATGTGTTGGTTCATCGTTTATTGGCAGTTTGTATTGGAAGTGATACAACATATCCCGATTTGTTAGACAAAAAGAAAATTCACGCGCTTTGTAATTATATGAATTATCGTAATAAAATGGCTCAATATGCTCATCGTGCATCTGTTGCTCTATATACACACGTTTGTATTTGGTTATATTTTTGAAATTATTATTTAATTAATTATATATATTTTATTATATTTCTCTTCTGTTTCAGATATTCTTTAGAGAAAAATTTGAAGACGAAGAAGGATATATACTTTTTGTACGAAAAAATGCGCTGCAAATATTGATTCCAAAATATGGTTTGGAGGGAACATTGTATTTAAACACAAACAAAGAATCATCTGTTACATTTATATATAATAGCGAAAATCATTCACAAACTTGTGGAAACGTGGTATTTCGCACTTTTGATCCCGTCATAGTGCAAATAAGTTTAGACAGAGTCAATGTGCAGCATGAAAAATTGATATTTAAATTGGTTAATCCATTTGTAAGTAAATTATAATAACTTTAAACAAATAAATATTAATTGTTTTATACATTTCAATACTTATAAAATTATGTTCGGATAGATTTCAGGTTTCAGTGTAACTCCAGTAAGTGCAAAATCTTCTAACATTATGTTAGAAGAAAATGCGAAAGAAGCGGTAAAACGAAAGATAGAAACAAAGAAAGTATCAGACGATAATACTAAAAGTAAAGCACACAAAAAAAAGCAAAAAAAAAGGAAACATTAGCTCTATTATACATTTTACTTTTAAAGATAAATATATAAAAACTAATAAATATATATATATATATGTGTGTGTGTGTGTGTGTGTATATATATATATATATATTTATATATATTTATGTATGATAAAAAATATAAATGGTAAAAAAGAATATTTTTATTGTGAATAAAAAATGACTAAGAAATATAAAAAACAGAATCTTTTTAATAAAAATATTTTTCTAGTTTAAAAATAAAAGATTAAATATTATTTTTTATAACATAAATGTGTCGATTACTCATAAGTTGATAAGAAAATTTACACGTATACGTATACATATATATATATATATATGTATATGCGTGCGTACACCGCACATAAGTAACTTAATTTTGATGTCACATTGTAAAATTAAACTATATTGTCTTGAAATTAAAATATATGAAAAAGTCTTTATTTTTCCAGCAAAATGCAGTGTCGTAAAAAGGAGATGTTTCTTTTCCTATATATTTTTGTGGAAACTTCCACCTTATTATGATACTTTTTGGATACGCTAAGAATGGAATTTCGTAGTACCAACATTATCGCGTGACTAGAGATATTTTAGCAAAATCGAACTTAAAAATTAGAACGTCATTTGTTGTGCTGGCGTAGTACGTGCCACTTATTTCTTGTCGATTTGTGGCGACGGTAATTCGGTTGAATGCGGTAAAACGACGGAACGTTCTCGAGTTGAAAGTTGGTGTTTTGATGTTTGCAGTTCCGGCGAAGTAGAACAACGAAACAGACCACGGGGGTCGCACGCGGAGTACCGATACGCGTGTACGGTGTGCGCGGATATCATAAATAATTATTTTTTTAAACCCCGTCCCAATTGTAATTGCGGTTTAATCGAAATCCTGCACGTAGCGTAGCGTGATTTCCGTATTCGATTAATCTACAAGGCCGGCTTGACTACTGAACTCTAATAAATATGGCGAACAGTGTAGCACCAGATTCATGGGAACAGCAGGCGGATAACGGAGACATCGCTCCACCACAGGATAAGTCCATCGAAAGTAAATTTTCTACCCTGAACGTAAATGCTGCGGAATTCGTGCCTTCCTTCTGCATTAATTCTTCATCGCGGAACAGTAATACGGCCGACAGTTCCTGCAATGTCGATGTCATGATGAATACTGTAACCACTTCTATGCCTCCTGAAATACATCATGGTTAGTCTTGAGATAAAACTCGATTAACCATGAATTATGTCTTTTTAAACAATTTACAGGGTTTTAACATAAAGAGTTAGCATTAAGCTTATTATTATTATAAGTCATCTGTAATATAACTGTTGCGGCTAACCCCCAATACTTAACTCGCATACTAGTTTTGACCATTTATATATTTGTTAATATAGAATATAAGTTGACAGATGATCTTTAGATTTAGAATAATGTCTATACTCCCATTGTAAGTTGTCATTACTAACATGCTTTTGGAAAAAGGACAAATGTAAATGTAAAATGTTTAGGCATGATACATATATGTTTAACATTAACCCAATATTGTGCAATGCTTAAACTAATACTAAATTCACAGCATTTATTCATGCCATCAAGGGCATGAAAATGAGTTACCTATGTATAGTATAATGACTTTTTCCTATGTAATGAAATTGCTACTAATCAAAACATTTATGTACCAATTCTAATACTTCATCAATAAAAATACCTCGGATAGATAAGAAAAGGTATTATGTATAGTAACAAAATATTAATGATGAACTTAAAAAAATATCTTGATTAACATAATCCTATATTATTTATGAATGTATTTTATTAGTAAATTTATTGATTTATTTACATTTGGATAAAAAAGAAGTTTTGATAATTATTAAATAAGATATAAATTCTAAAATGCTATTTTCAATACAATCAATTTTAAAATATTTTGCAAACTTTAGATTTCAATAAAGTATTATATTTTGATTTTGTTTCAAGTATTTTTTCAAAAAAATGTATTATTTTTGTGATCAATAAATAAATAAGTATTAGCAATGACAACAACTTACTATATTAGGTGTTCCATTAACATTAATGAAAATGGAAAGTTAATTGTGTAAAATGATATGGAATATTTTATAGAAATAGTGTGAAGTATAAAAAACATTTTTAATGTTTTTCTAACTTGTTAAGAATAAGTAAACATATTTTTATTTTTATTTTAGTCAAAAAATTTTACATTTATTTAAACTTTGTGTATGTTTATTGCAGGCAATACTACACCAGAGGTTCTATTAGATCCAGTGGGTAGTCGTGTAGAAGAACCACCTGCTGGAGGAGGGGCACCACCTCCGAATGTTACTGATCAAATAAATAGTAGCCCTGAACATCAACCAGCTGATTCATGGGAAGAAGCAGCAGTAGATGGTGATCCTCTCTTAACTCCTGAAAATGAAGAAGTATGCTAAAGCTTTTATAAATAACTTAACATATGTACTAGGTACTTTTTAAAAACTTTCGTTTATTTAAATTTTATTGTGATATAGATTTATTTCTGTTATTGTTTCTAACAACAATAGAAAAAAATATATACTATATTGCAAAAAATAGTACTTTTTCGAAAATAAATGCAATATAAATTATATTTTGTTGGAAATTTAGAAAAGAATTGCTTAGAAAACACCTTTGAATAAATAATTAAATATTTATCACTTTGTTTATTAATTACATTTGACTTTGTTTATTTGGACTGTTTTTAGGCTGAAAATGAAGAAGATGAAGAAATGGTTGTTAAAGTACCTAAGAAAAAGCCTGTTAAAGTAACAGAGGATACTAAAAGTAAAAAGGAACATGTTAATGTTGTTTTTATAGGACATGTTGGTATGTACTGATTCTATGAAAAGGTAAAGAAAAAATAAATAAAAATAAGTTTGAATAAACATTAATCATTTTTTTATTTGTACTACAGATGCAGGAAAATCAACAATTGGAGGTCAAATTATGGCATTAACGGGAATGGTTGATAAAAGAACTTTAGAAAAATATGAAAGAGAAGCAAAAGAAAGAAGTAGAGAAACGTGGTACTTGAGTTGGGCTCTAGATACAAATCAAGAGGAACGAGAAAAAGGAAAAACGGTGGAAGTCGGTAGAGCGTACTTTGAAACTGAACGAAAGCATTTCACAATTTTAGATGCACCTGGTCATAAGAGTTTTGTACCTAATATGATTGGTGGCGCGGCACAAGCTGATCTTGCGGTATTAGTTATTTCCGCGCGAAAAGGGGAATTCGAAACTGGTTTCGATAGAGGCGGTCAAACGAGAGAACATGCTATGCTGGCTAAAACTGCTGGTGTTAAACATCTGGTTGTGCTAGTAAATAAAATGGACGATCCAACTGTAGAATGGGATGAAAGAAGATACAATGAGTGCAGGTTTGTTGTATAAAACTTGGGATATTAATACTCCTTTATAATAGTAAACTAATTATTTTATTCTTTAGGGACAAAATACTGCCATACCTTCGTAAACTGGGATTCAATCCTGCAAAGGATCTGACATTTATGCCAGTCTCAGGGCAACTTGGATATGGTTTGAAAGATCCAATACCAGAACACCTTTGTACGTGGTACACTGGTCCACCATTCATATCTTTCATAGATTCTCTACCCTCACTTAATCGTAAAAATAACGGACCTTTCATTATGCCAATCGTTGATAAGTATAAGGATATGGGAACAGTGGTAATGGGAAAGGTCGAAGCTGGAGAAGCAAAGAAAGGACAGTCGTTATTGGTTATGCCAAACAGGGTATACATTCTTTATTTTAATATATATTTCTTTGAATATTATTCAATCATAACTTATGTTTCATTATATTTTATTAGACGGCAGTGACGGTAGATCAATTGTGGTCGGATGATGAAGAAGTAACATCAGTTGGACCTGGAGAAAATGTAAAGATCAAGTTAAAAGGTATCGAAGAAGAAGACGTAAGTCCTGGATTTGTTCTGTGTGACAGTAACAATCCGATAAAAACAGGAAAAGTGTTTGACGCTCAAGTTGTAATTTTGGAGCATAAGAGCATTATTTGTGCTGGTTATAGTGCTGTAATGCATATTCATTGTGCCGCAGAAGAAGTTAGAGTAAAAGCATTGATCTGTTTGGTCGATAAAAAAACCGGCGATAAAAGTAAAACCAGGCCAAGGTTTGTCAAACAGGATCAAGTTGCAATAATGAGAATCGAATGTGCAGGTGTCATATGCCTTGAAAAATTTAAACTGTTTCCACAGATGGGACGTTTCACCCTTAGGGATGAAAGTAAGTTTTTATCATTAATTATTGAATAAAATTGATATATTTTAACTTTAAGCTGATTACATGTCTTCCTATCAATGATCAACTTTTAACCGGTTTGATTTTGCAATTTTCAGATAAGACTATTGCAATTGGCAAGGTGCTGAAAGTGGTGGAGTAAAGTTGCTCAACTGTGACCACAGATTGGGATAATAATCAACTTTGATAACGAAGAATACGCAAAAGACGCAAGCCGAATACAGTACGCACGAGAAAAAAACGGAACTAGCGTGATTACTCGCGAACTACTGTTAATGTAACATACACTCATCTTACACAAGAAGCAAAAAAAGTTCTACATCAAAGAAAAGCACATACATCGTATGCACAGACAGTTGGGTCGGGGTTTGGGGTTACGGGGGGAGGGTGGGTATTTATAACCTGAAATAAAAAAGCAAATAGATTTGATTATATAGATAAGGAGACAAAACCACTAAAAAAAACTCAAGAGCGCGTGTTCCTTCTAACTAGGTAAGCCGAACGACAGCACTCATGTTGAGTTCATTACAAATGAATTAATGATCAAATGACGAACAGTGTCTCCTTAATATTGTAAAACACGATATTTTTATTCTTCTGAGGTGCGAGACATTAATGAACGTAAAAGAAGAGGATACCGATTACGAGATAAAAACTAAGGAAAAATATTAATATTATTATAATGATTATTGAATAATTATTATTAAATTGGTGGTAAGAAGTGAAGGAATGAAAAAAAAAAAAACAGAAATTTATTAAATCAGCCAGATAGTGTTACACGACAATTTATAATTATAAAATTAATATTATTATTACTATTATTATACTGTTTCTTATTACATTGTCATTAAAAACAAATTTGCAACAAAAATGTGCTCTACTAATTTTGATAAGAGGTTTCATGTGTATGGTTGATTTGCTTTTTCTTGCACGTACTGTTTCTGTTAATATGATTGGTGTTTGACAGCGCCAAGGTTCGTGTATTGTATCGATGTACTACGTGTCTATAACACCAGATATTCTTACACTGTGCTTTTTCAGAAAAAAGTTTCGATGATTTATAGTGTTATATGCGATAAAAGAAAATTAATGTCGAGATTTAATCGAAAGGAAGTTAATATAGAGAATTTTCAAAGCAGACATTTTGTGAGTGCTTTCTTTACATGTATTATTGCTTCTTTTTTTCTTTGCTGCTAGTTTCTATGGATACTAAACATCTATATCTTTTGTCCTATTCTTTTTACTTTTTACGTTTATTATATTTTATTTCACGTTCTGTATCAAATCTGTTTACTAACAAAACATATTTCAAAAGCAATTAATTTTATTTCTATAAATTGATCGGCAACGTTTGTTTTATGGTTGTTACATTTTTTAAATTGTTAATATTATTACAGTCGAAACATTAAACAAAAATGCTAATACATTTTTCTTTTCTCTTATTTACCATAATTTTAGTAATACAAAGTAGAAATGGTAGCATGGAATACATTACGTTCTACATCGAAGGTGACGAATTTTATAGGACTAGTTTTTTGTTTTCTTTTCTTTTATAATATTAGAACAATTTGAAAAATCAGTTCTAGTTAGATTTTTTATAATTGAAAATACATTATATTTGCTATTTAATGAAAATTATAATTGCAGCAAAGACCTAACGGTGAGTGAGACTATATAGGTTGCTTAGATTTCAACTTCATTTGTTATTTATGATGTTGAACTCTACTATTCTTTGCATTTGGCAGAAATAATTATTGAATCGATCTTTTCGTACGTAGGTTTATTACATTTTATATATGATTATTAAAACGTTTATAATAAAAATGGTAAAAGCTTAATTACACTTATCATTGAGGATCTGGTGCTAATTTGGCGTAACCAAGTTTTTGAAGTACTTCTTTGATCTCAATATATACTGATGCATCTTCTATTGTACTTGAAATCTGAAAAAAATGAACAGATATTTTACATTGGCAAATAATGAATGAATAAATAACATACTCTTATCTTGTACAAAAATGTGGGAATTTTCATTCTTCGTTCCAATATATATTTACTTTTCATTGATATAGAAATTTTTCATCTTTTTCATATTTATAAACTTCAATATGCAATAGAATAAATTTTCATTAATTTTCCGATAGAAATGATTACATTTACCTTAACTAGTTTAGAACGAGCTAAATTTGCGATAGATTTACGGATTATTTTTCCTGAACGTGTTCGAGGCAGTGCTCTCACAGTGGCAGCTATTCTAAAAGACGCAATGGGACCAATTAAGTTTCTTACTCGTGCTACTAGTTCTTCATTAATTTGTCTCTCATTTTTCGTTGAATCTGTATGCAAAGATAAATATGATGGTTTTCACGTATTCAAACAATGAAGTGTAAAATATTTGCATTGGATATTTGCCTTGTTTCATTATATAAAGACACAAAGGTACTTCTCCTTTAGTCGGATCTGGTACGCCGATTACGGCGGCGTCTACAATGTCGGGGTGAGCCAAGACAACGTCTTCCAGGGCAGACGTGGATAATCTATGACCAGCAACGTTGATAACGTCATCATCACGTGCCATCACATAAACGTATCCGAATTCGTCTTTATAGCCAACATCCATCGTATCATAGTATCCCTATTTTCTCATAAATTAAATCATTTTCAGGAAATTTTGTCAACATATTTTTTAAATACAAGAGTAAGATCAAAAGCTCCTGATATCATAAATAAGACTTACCGGATATCTGGAGAAATATACTTCTTCGAATTTCTTATCGTCTTCATAGAGTGTTGACAGGCAACCAGGTGGTAATGGTAACTTTATTGCAATTCTACCTAATTCATGAGCTTCTGCCTTGCAACTGTTTTCCCGTAAAATGTCAACTAGGTGATATGCAAATTTTGTTTGTACAAAACTTTATTTAAACACGCATTATCATAATGAAGTATTAAGCTTACTATGATAACCAGGAATTGGGAGACCGGTACTGTATCTTGGTAAACTAGAATTATGTCCGTATCCCAAACACAATGCTGTAATAGGGTGACCTGTTTCCGATTGCCACCAATTATTTAAAATTGGTACCTTAAACGCTTTTTCTGCCCATGTTTTCGTTTCATAGTCACAGAATTCTCCAGCCACGAATACAGTTTTCAAACTAAAAAAGTAAACATATTTTAATGAACTTTCATTATATATCATTTTATAAAAATACATACGACTTCATAGAGTATTTTCGACCCAATAATAAATCTGGATCGGCACGTCTTATAACGCGAAGTGCGGTAGGTACACAAAATAATGCGTTCACGCTGTGTTGATCGATTAGCCTACAAAGAGACAAACGTTTTATGTGGTCTAATATATCAGATAGCTGAATGAGTGAAACGTTTCATTTCAAGCAAATTAATAATGGAATAAGATTTGTATTTTGATATTAACTGATCATAATTCATGTTATATATTTAAACCTGAAATATTGAGCTGCATCTGGTGTTCTATCAGGTTTTCCTTCATACATTATACTGGTCGAACCATAGATTAGTGGGCCATAACAAATATAAGAATGTCCAACGACCCAGCCCAAATCCGAGGCTACCCACCAAACGGAGTCCTTATCCATACCATAAACAGTTTTCATCGTCCAACAAACAGCAATGAGATGTCCTGCGACTGTCCTCAAAATTCCTTTCGGTTGACCTTTAGTAAGATAGTTTATTTGAGGTAATACTTTTTGTGAAGTAAATTTTATTGCTTCTATTTTCACTGTGAAGTCTTTGTATTTGTTATTCTGAACGAATATTTCCTTTGAAACGTCCTTACAATCAGTAACCGCGCATATAATTAAAAGTACGTCACGCCTGCCTATTTAACTGTTTAATGACTTTTGCGAAGCGTAATAAGAATTTTTATATACATTTGATACAAAGTTTCACGGCGAGTGAAATTCACATCGTATAATTCAAATTTGAAAGTTAATGAGTTTCGATGGAATAATGCCTCGGAAACAATTCAAAATAGTTACACGAAACACATATTCCGGTATAATATGTGAAAAGAAAGGCAAATTCTCTATTATACTGCAACGATAAATTTTACATCTTTCAGTATTGTAAATTACTTATTTCATAAATTTAATATACTTAATTTTATTGTGATATTCCTGTTATAATGTAAATACCAGGAAGTTACCTGTTGTTCCTGAAGTATATAAAATATATAAAGGCGCATTTGCCTCAACTGGTTGACACGAATGAGGTTTCGACCTCTTTATTACATCATCCCAATCGAACTGATCTTCTAAAAGAGGACTCTGCCAGATGTTTTTTCTTTGAAATATAATGCATTTTGGTTTTTTTACAGAAATGAGGTTCATAGCGCCATTCAACATAACAGTATACCTACGCATAGTATAAAATGTGTATAATTATGGATTTTTGCAATGTACTATAATTTCAGAGAATATAAAAATTCGTACTGAATAATTTTGGATGGTTCTAAACCACAACTGGCTGCAATTATTACTTTTGGTTTTGCATGATTTATTCTGGTAGCCAATTCATTCGCAGCAAATCCTAAAATAAATATAATTCTTTGTCATTATTCTTTTAAATAGCTTAATGTTATGATTTAAAATCTCTTTCAGTTTGCAACGTTTTAAATTTTAGTATGTACCAATTTCAATTAATATATATTGTAGTGTATTACTTTTATGAATTTTGAAATATTTTTACCGCCAAATACAACAGAGTGAACCGCGCCAAGTCGCGTAGTTGCTAAAATCGCCATTATGGTTTCAGGAATTAATGGCATATAGATAATCACTACGTCACCCTTGCCTACACCCATATCAGCTAGTGCACCAGCTAATAAGGATGTTGTTTCTAAAAGCTCATTATAAGTTACTTTTCGAATCGTTGATGTTTGAGGACTGTCGTAAATCAACGCTGTTTTATTTCCGTTTCCGGCGTAAACGTGACGATCTACCGCATTGTAACAGGCATTCAATTCTCCACCAATGAACCTATAAAATAAACACAACATATTACTTTCTTTCACTTTTTATTATACAATGATAAATATTAAATACTGATATAGATTCTTAAAGATTTCAAAGAATTCAAATTAAATATTAAATTAAATTTACATTAAATGTGAAAGTTTTATAAAAAGTAAATGCTTACCATTTTGTAAACGGTTGTTTACTATTATCCAATACTTTTGTCCACGGTTTACTCCAATCTACGCACTGTGCAACCTCTCCCCAAAATTTTTCTGGATTCTCTAGAGATTCTTTATAAGCTTCATCATACTTCGGACAGGGAATGTGATGAGGATTAACGATGTAATCTATGGAAAGAGGTATTACAAAATCTTCTTTTAAGAAATACTTTCTTTAATAAGGAACAAGACCGGAACGCTAAAAAATTAATATGAACTATATTATACGATATCGATAAATGTTAATACAGATCTAAAAGGAAATTAGAATTGAGAAAGGGTGCCATCTATCGGTGTTTTATCCCTTACATTAGACTTTCTGAATACACAAGTTTAGTACTTCTTTCATTGAAGATTGATGCTTTGGAAATAAATCATTGACATCTTATGAGGTACAAAATAATTAATTCTATTATTCTCGAACACAGACTACATACATATAATAAAAGTTAATCATTTTACTACGCGTTCAGGGTTAAGGAACGCGTTAAAAGGTTAAGGAACTTTGGACCCTGCTGTTTCAAACCACCTCTATAATAGTATGTACTCTTTAGTTTTATGTATTGTTTGTAAATAGGGCTCATAAAATTGAGGAAAAAAATTATTCGTAAATAATATGTAATTATTAACCAATAAATTTTATTGAAAAATTTAACTGTAAGTTTTAAGAACAAAGATGTCGCTTTTTATAGATGAACTTGACTATGTAGGTACCGGTTAACCAATAAACATTATAGAAGGGAAAACAGTCGTTTTACACTTGTTGAAATTAAGCAGGTTAAGCGCCATGATACAATCCCTAGGGATAAATTCTTCTCAAAGGTAAATAGAACATTTTGTTAAAATAGTTATCAATTAATTTTCATACAGTATTTCTTATAACAGGTGTAAAACTTATTGTTAGAGTAAATATGCAAAAATATAATTTGTGACAATTTGGCGCCCTTCCGTAAACTTAATCGCATGAAGATTCCATTGCGATGTATTAAGGTAACATTGACTTCTATAATCTGCGTCATGTGATTATATTTCATGAATATTTAAAAGTCCCGCGTTGAAACTGCTGTCTTACCGATATTTTTTACCTTCACCAATGAATAATTCATTACAAGTCGCCGGTACCAAGTTCATAGTAATTTCCTATGCTATACGCGCCCCTTTTACATGTCTTCTAAGTGTCTGTGTTTCCGTGTGTATCGTGAATTACGAGTATCGTGTGAAAACAATTTTAATACTTCGTTACTAGCGCCACCGTACACATCGAAATTTTACTTTCACTTTGCTTATCGTATGATAAACCTTAACATATCTTTCTTTCTTCTTAGATTGTTATAACTTGTTCGTTTTTCGAAATGGATTTACCGATGCAACATAAGTTTCTAAAGGAACTTATAACGTTCCAAGACCCTAAGAGAAAATTATGGATAAAACTCGAAAAATAATAACAAAAAAGATAATGAATTTTTGACAAACGTGTTAGTAACATATATAGTTGAACAAAATAAATAGAGTATATGTGCAAACTATAAATCACGATAATTATGTAGGCAGGGGTAAATAATGAGTGTCAGATTATATGAAAAAGTATTGTATTTTGCGCGCAAAAGAATCCAACGTATCTTTTTGAATTCGTAAAAAATTTGTTAAATAAAAGAATTATTAATTTGAAAGTTAAATCGTTTAAGGATTAAAAATATATTAAAATTGGAAAAATATATTCAGAAGTATTAAAATTAAGAAACTAAAAATTTTATAGTTAATATTATATATTTATATAATAGCTTAAATAATTACACGAAATTAAATAAATATGTGACCCAAAAATATCCAATTTAAACATTCATGTTTTTCGTATCATAATCTGACACAATGAATGCGTAATGATCGACATGCGATCTTTTTCGTTCGATTAAGTATTATACAATTTTGTTTACTACGGCTTCCATATAGGAATTTCTTCTCTCTTTCATTTTCCTCTCTGCACATTTAATTATACGTCAACATTTAGTAGCTGCGAATGCATCTGGAAAATAGCAGCTGCGTCAGATAATTTGATCAAAGTAATGGGTATTATCCGTAGACTTCCTTAACAATGAAATTTCGACGTTCATGGAACGGGAACTCTTACACCTACCACGTCGACATTAATCGCACCTGTAAGCGAAAATGTTCCAACTCCCAGAAATCTAATTACTGATAAAACGTGTCGCAAATATGAACGTCAGTTATTAGAAAAAACACCTCAGTTCCAGAGAAAATTAGTTCTACCGCGATAGGAACTTTATGATGATAAAAATGGTGGTTCCTTGGTCTCATTTTCCTTTATCGAAGACTCGTTAAAGACATTATAGAACTTTTATTCAAATGAAGCCAGCAGGGTATTTTTCCATTTAACACATTGACATCGGTTAAAACCTTATGAAAATTGTGGAATTAGTAATTTTAGTCGCTCTAAAATACGTATAGCAAATCAGCTATCTTCGTGTAATAGTTTAGCACACAGATTATAAATATCGTTATCCGGAAAGTAATAAAGAAAAAATATGCATGCTTGAAAACGCAATTTTTTGTTTCCGGTCGTCGACGCATGTCGTATGAAAATTGACAATTCCCGTTATCGATTGTCAATATATTAATATAATCTGAATTTTAAAAGCAGGAATTATACAATCAATATTTACCTAACCCATCATTGTTTTGCAGATCCTTCGAATTGCTGATTAATGTCGGAAAACTCATTGTGCTGGAGATCTGAGACGTAATCGGTATCGATGCAGAACGTACAACACTTATATATCCGCTTTGAAAATGAATCCACTCACGGTTCACCTTAGTAAACTTTTATTTTTTAAATTGGAAGGATTGTTGGAAATATGCTGTAAACCACGTTACAAAACTTTCGTGCACGTGATACCTTAATTATTTTGCGGAATGTCCAACTAAAGGAATAAACAGATAAACACGTCTTTCGTGCAATTCTTCTTGAGCAAACATTACCCTGACAAGAGGCCGGCTATATTATGGGAAGACCAATATCTTATCTAATCATAGAATCCTCCACCTTCAGATTTTGATGGGATTCTATCAAATTGTAGGTCAGCCGAAAGTAACTCCTCCTTAATTTCTTGATCGAGTGTATGTATTTCATAAATTCTCACTGAGGTTCCGCATTTTGAAAAAAATGATAGACTATAATATGACAAAATTTTCCCTCTGTGTTAAAACTACATATATATTCCTTGTACGATACAATAATGTTCGTTGTATCCACAGGTGTACATTTATGCATCGATATGTTATATTAATGATATTAAAATATGTTTCAGCACACAATTTTAACTATACCAAAGCCAAAGAATATGTTTCATCAAATGTCGCACTGAATTCGAATTTATGACAAATTTCGTAATGCAGGCAATTATAATTGTACAATTAACGATCACTTATTCAGGTAATTGAATAATACCGTGTATTAAATAAATGTTATCGCCTTCTATTAAATAAATAACACTTTTTTTACTGTGGCTTTTTTCTTATCTTAACAGGCTCGTCGGTCACGAACATAATTAACAGCGAAAGGGAAAATATTTGCCGATACTCAGAGCAAAAAATTAGGCTCTTTTATTGCGATACGATTTTGTACATTTAATCTTGTACTATCAAGGAAATTCAGGATTGTCGTAGACTAATATTTAATGCTAAACAAAACTTCAGAAGTTGACCGTGTGGGAGGATAACGCGAAAATTTCTGTATATTATTACTTCGTTAACGCAACTGTTATTGAGGACCAAGGGAACCGACGTCTTTGTACGTTCTTAACTTCACGTTTCACAAACTGTAACCTCTCACAGTTGAATCAAAAGAATTTAAGGTATCTCCGCTTAAACTCCCTGAGTATTATTACAAAAGTAATCCATCATGATTAAATTTAAACTCTTTGAGAGTCAACCCCAAGTGTTAAACGGAACTCAAATAATAACTACACTTGTTGAAAATAACGCTCAACTTGGCAAAGAAATCACAGAGTCTTGCAACACGATCGATACATCTATTGAAACTGAGAATTGTCGCTGTTATATTCCAGTTGGTTGATATGTTAAAATGACGTAGTCACGTGACCTATCTACTTCCTAAATGAATCTTGATCCAAGGGTCGTTGCATTTAATTTAAAAAAGAAACATGGTTAATAAATTAAAATCCATTGAATAAGATTCCCACTTTGAGATTTTATTCAACAATGTCTTATTCCGTTTCTTAAATCAATCTTCTAAAATTTTTAAAGTTAAGTGTATTTTTTATTGTAATGCATTTTACAATTAACGACCGTAATTTTTATCTTGAGGATGACTGTCATTAGCCATGTCGTATAAAATCATTCTTCTAAAAAATTCGTTTTCTCCGAAGACAATGACCATAGAAGCGGACAGACTTCATTTCATATTTCTTGCTTCGGTGGTCCTCGTTCTTTGATTCGAATTCTACCTCGACTGTCTAACACATTGGAAAATTGTTGAAGGATGGAATCTGTCCGGACATGTAAAAGGCTGTATAAACATCCTGATTGCTAGGAAAATAAATATTTCTTTTGTTTCAGATTATTTTCTTCAGAACTATTAAATTACTTATGGCAAACGTTTTGTACTTTCTTCTTTCTTCCATTACATATGTTGTTACATCAGGTATTAACAAAAGAGATATCAAATGCATGTGACAACTTTTAATAATACCAGTATATTACCTATAAAGTTATTTTATAACATACAATTGAATGATTTACGATTAATGATTTCCTTGTTTAAATAATTCCACCCTTAAAATAAGAAAATTTCATGTATTAATGTAATTAATTTTTTAACTTTGTAGTATGAACTTCAAGTGAGAAACGAAGAAAATTTCTTCAAAAATATAAAAGGAAAACACGGAATCACGTACAAAGAAACGAAGTTGTATACAAATGTGAGAAGAAACAAGCATAGAATACAAATTTTGCAGTACAAATGGACCTGTTGCTTTTTCGGTGCACGTCCAAAATTTGGGGTAACTCTTTCTAATACGTCTCTCTCATATTCTAAGAATGAAACAATATCCTTGAAAGGTAGAGAGAAAATAAGGAAAGGTAATTTAGAAAAGAGAATATTAAAATTCTATGACAACTCATAAAGTTCCACTAATTCCTTCTATTGTTTTATTGCCCTGTAATTTTTACGACTTTTATCACCTCGTTAAATTTATTACCTCTTCGTAAGTTACTCAATAGTCTTGATCAATGGTGAAATAAAATATCAACAGGTTCAGTAAAAACAAAAACCATTTAAAAATTAAAGTAAAATAAAAGATCAAGGGAAATGCAGTAAGAAGTACCTTTAATATAAAATATATTTTGCAGGTAGTACCAGAAGTTGAAGTATTGTTTATAAGCATTTTTAATGAGGCAATATGAAATTGCGAAAAAGAAGAAATCCCGTAAGAAGCAGTAAGGATGCAAGCAGATCTAATCAAGAGTTGATAAGACGCCTCTTGTCTCCAAAGTTCTGTCATTCAGAACAACTATTTGATCGTTAAAAATCTCGTTTACAAGCTGCGCGTTCAAGTAAGAAAACAGGCTGGAACGAAGGGGGTTGAGTAAGAAAAGACCCCCTGTATTGCGCAACCACCAGCATTTTCATGAAACTTTTATTCAGTATGTCGACAGGAAAATTGAAAATGTACATCAACCGTAGTATGAGAGGGTGTGATATGCGTGCGATTTCGCCTGGCGCCTTATTGAAACGCGCATGGCCAAGGAAACGGCGCGTACATATTTAAGGGCTGATCCCTCGCGAATGTCGCCACTATCATCGTTGCCTTGGATCTTACCACCAACCACCTTTCCTTATATTCTCCATTTGTCACGAAGTGTCCAGTGAGCCAGCATCCAGAAGGACCATCCCCTTCGCAGTTTCTGTGACAGTCGTGTAATATCTTGGACTTCTGTGTTTGTGAACAGGCAACAGGTGAGTAGTATTCTTGCTCCCAAATACCCGATACTCGTTCTATCTAATACCGCAAAATTAAATCTGAAATCAGGATATCGACATTCTTTTAGAGCAGACTCGAAAAGAGGATATTTTCTCATCGCCAAACGTGACAGAAAGTTTGGGCGAGGTATCTCATCGAGCCTTGACGCTTGTTACTTGTTGCATAAGAAAACTTGTCACGTCTCACTATCCAACCCTAGTTAAGCTTTGTAATGAATTTTTTAAATTGAGTTACGAAATGGTTTTCCTTTAAGCTCCACATTCAAGTTCCAAGCTTGCTTTTTATTAATCTTTTAAAACTTTGATTCAATTTTATATTAAAAATTCTGTTAGGTGTTTCACGTGTCTCTTTCATGCAGATTTTACTGCACGAAATTGTCGTACTATCTCTTAAATATTTTAACATGTTCATTGCCTTAATATCACAACTTCTGTAATTTCTGGTCCTGGAGTTACGTAAATTGCACTCGAAGCTACACCCCCATGCACGAATCAATTTTTATTTGACAGATAAAAAGTGAGCTCGTTCCAAATGCAAACATTAATTTTGGTCGACAGCGTTTGTGAAATATTTATTTAGTCTATCTCAAGGAATAGTTTGCACCGTAGTTTGTCTTTATAAAAGATGCGGAGGAAGACTGAACGCATATTTGTGAAATGTTTGTTCATCGAAAGCAATGTTAATATATCTCGTAGTCTTTTTATCCTTTATCTATTTCATATTAGATAATTTATATATAATTATATATAATTTATAATTTACTATTATTTTGAATTATCGCAGACACATATGTTCAACGAACATTTTCCAATTCATAATTTATCTCTTATCTCCCTTCTTATCCCTGATGAGGAAGACAAATGATAGAAATTTAATGCTCTTTAAACCATTGCAACTTTTGTAGTGTTAGATATTGTAACGAAGTAAAATAAAAATGTTCTTGATACGAGCAAATTTATAAAATCATATAATTCCACTATACAGATTTCCATTATCTCCATTTTTTCTTTTCATCGCATTGCAAAGGAGAATATGTTTTACGAGAAATGTCATTATGCATGTCGTGAGTTTTAAATAAATCCCATACAAAGTTCTCACACGGTCGAATCTTTCACGATTATGAAGATATTCTTTGACACGTAGAAGTCATCTCATAGTGGTCTTAAAAATCGGACGGATGCACACAAATTATAACTTCCTCCCTATGAGTTCTGTTTTACAATGGGATTTTCCGAGGAAATTTAATATTCAATTTCCCCGTAAGCGTACCTACCCTGAACTTTTAGATTACAACGATTAAAACTTTAAATTCACATGGTTTAAGCATAATTCCTTATTAAACATTATATTACAACAATCTTTCATAAATCTGCCTAATCCCATACTGCCAGTGTTCATTCATTTTTGAACACTGGCAATATTAGATTAAATGTGATATTGGATTAATTAGTTTCAAAGCTGTAGCCGCAGAATCTATACAAAGTGTATATTAAAAAATTTGTAACGAATATTTAATGGCAAAAGTCAAGAAATAAGCAATTTTACTTGAACTTTCTAAATGATTTATTAATTGCACCATCTGTGTTGAAATTTTTTAGAAAAGTTTAACACGTAGCATAAAGGAAAATATAATTTAATAATAAAAGAAGATTCAAAACGGAAGATGGACTCAGTCTGCTAAACTGCATATAAGTGAGATGTCATAAGTGCCCGTATCATGACTTGTACAGTGCTGATATTCCAGGCAACTCCTTGGTATCTTATAGGAGAGAAATCATACGATGAAAAATGTCATTCCTCGATTTCTCTGCAAGACTCTACATCGTTGCTCCAAATATTTCCACTATTTCTGCTATATCCTAACTGCCTTTGTTATGCGAATTCGTACTTCCTTTAATAATCACGATCACTCACTATCTTTTATATATTTCTAAAAACTTATTTAATACTTAATACTATTTGTTTTCTGAAAATTTATTGGATATTTGATCACTATCTATTTTCAATCTTGCACATTATGCAATACTTGTGTATATATCTTTTTAATTCTATCTATATATCAGTGAGTATGTACATACAGTGTTACACTTACTTCCATCAAATTTTCAAATTAAGTTTATTACAAATCATCATCCAAAGACCTTTCAAATTTCTTCCCTAATTTTCCATTCTTTCTCCATTTTGTTCCAGTCTTCTCAGCATACAATAGAGCAGACTATGAACTACTGCAGTGATATTTCAGATACAAACTCGATTAAGAACTGAAATTCATTTCCTCTTGAAATCCCTCGAGCGTTATCTCCCAGGCTTCTTAATCGATCTGTCACAAGGGTGGTCGAGCAATTGCTCATCAGATGTCTCGGTTCATCAAGATTTACATAGGTCCTCCTAAAACCCCCGTTTGTAAGTAATCCCAATGAACCTTTACACACATTCCCTCTTTCCGATTTTAATCATTGCTCGGTTTAAAGTGTTTAGAGGATAAACGCCCGTTGTTTTTCCATTCGATCTGAAATTTTATGAGAAAGAGGATGCTACGTGAAGGAGAATCGTGGATCTTTCATTGGCAACACGTGCAGGATGAATAGTGATGAAATTAAAGTCTTGGGCGCACGGGAAGATCATAGTAAATAGATCGATAGGAAGAAGAACTTGTTTTTCAGTCGTAACGAGCGCAGTGCCCACGCCTTTATACATTTTTATCTGTTATATATAGATATCATAAGTTAAACAGTCGACTACTGAGCACTTTTATTCTTGTTATAAATGCGGTATGAATTATAGATCTATTTTTCGTACGTCCTTTAATTGTATATCATTTCCAATATTTTTTTAAATTAAGATAAATTACAAATATTTAAGATCTTGTATGGACGTGCATGATTATTTTGAAAAGTAACAGGCAATCGTAAAACGTACAGTGTTTTATTTTATTGGCGTTGAAAGTTGATGAAATTAAGTAGTAAACGCTAGCTTAGGTCAGCCGGTTTCGTATGTCTCAACCACTTTTCTCTCTTTAATTGAATCCACAGCATAAAACTTGCATGACTTCCATCATAGATCTTTATTTACTTCTGTACCGTAGAACAAATTTTTCGATTGAATAAGTAGGGAAAAAGTATCTTATAAATATCAAATTACATTAAAAATTCAGTTCTTTACAACAATGTTCACGTGTGTTTTTTTTTAATATTTCATAGATTAAATTGATTAAAAGCTATTCCAGCTGTTAAAAGATCACATAACTCTTTTGTCATGCAATTATCGCTGACTGTTTTATGTGAAGTAAATTAACAATCTTACATTTCATGGAATTGGAAAGAAACTATAAAAACAATTGGGCAAATTGAAATTTATAAAAACCATGCTACTTGTGGAAATGATTTCCTTTACGAAATTACATTTTTCTCATTAAACAAAGTTTGTTCCTATTTCAGTAGTTGTAAAAAGTTGGTTGTAAATTAAAGATACTTTATGACCAGTAGTTTGTCCTTTTGAATGTTACAATTAATAAGTTTGATTATTAGATACGAAAGTATAGGTTTAATTGAACCAGTAAGATGGGTGGAAAGGAAAAACAAACAATTCTTGATGTCGCCACAGGAGATGGAGTGTACAAGGTCACTAGAGCAATTCAAAGTAATTCCATTCCGTTGATTAATTATTGTTGCGTGTCCGAATTATTTATTTAATGTATCATCTTGACCCTCTGTTACGAAACATATTGCCAAAACCTCTTAAAGGATACGAGTCCAGTGACTTTTCTTCTTTTCCTAATTTCTTACTGCAGTTGCCTTTTTTCTTTTTTTTTTTATTGAAGGAAGAACTTGTAGCTGATGATTATGTATTAAGGCAATTTATCATAAAAGAAACGTTTGAATGTTCTTGAACAAGTTTAAGTTGAAGTATAGCTAAACTCTCGGAAACACAATGCTTAAGCTGGTCGAATAAAATCGAAGAAAACTACAAAGGGTTTAAATTCAATTTCACAGATCCCATTCCGAAAGTTCTGTCACGCATATCGTTTCTTCCTTTCATCGCTGAACCATTGAAAGCACAACGAAGAGTATAAAGAATTATGCCATAGTGGAGCACCGGTTAAAATGTTATATATGCTACGATATATTCTTTGATCTTTCTTTTAAGAAGATAACAAATATTTTCAAGTAAGATCTTTTCATGTATTTCCATAAACAGTAATAGAATGCAAAGATAACGTGTAAGTACTTGATCATTATGTCTGAAATTCTAGAAGTCCTTGATATTTATCTACGCGGTAATCGAATTCAAGTACTTCCGATGATTCATTGTTAATACTCTTGATACCAGCTTTACGTTACTAATACCTTGATGAGGACATACTTGAAGCATTGCTATTAATCAAATCCATGATGAAATCGTTCAAGTACTTTTACTTACACATCCTAATTAGTTTTCCTCCACATTTTCCCATTTTGAAAACATCTCTTAAGTTTTTAAATCAAAATAAAATTAATGGTGTGACTCTTTAATGGATAATTTCCTTTCATCTTCTATCTTTCATCCTACAGGTCGTATACAAGTACATAGCAGCCAGCATTCTTGAGCTTCTTGGCGATCAACTACGACAGAAACACGCCTTGTTCGTCCGTTTCCTTCGATTTATCTCCCGCGGTGTTCGTTTTATATTTAGTTCGAATAGACTGAAAACTACTAAACATTCCAGTCACGCAGCACTGGTAATACGATTTCCCGACTTTGAGCTTACTTCTGAGATCACATTCGAATCGGCGTGCCTTATTTGCTCGATATTCCGATTCCGTCTTGTGTAACGCAATACTTCCCTTTTGCTCTTCAAGGGTCCGACAAACATTGGACGATACTTTCCCAACAATTTTCCTACAAACTGTATGTGTTCCTGATCCTTGATTATATTTCCTTGAAACTTTATCTCTTAGATTCAATTCATCCTTCACTTCCTAAAATAATTCGCATTGTAAATTTTTTATTCATAAATTATGTTATTTATAAATATACTGTTTTTCTTTTTAATTAAACGTTGATATTAAAATATTAAATATGTATTAGAGAAATATACCTAAAATGTTTGGATCTATTATTTAATCAAAGAATTATTTTGCGTAATTTATAATTTACCTAACTTTTAGAAAAAAGGTACGCATAGTTCTTTTGTCACGAGATCGATATTGTTGGCGTTGATATTAAAAACGTCGCATTAAAAACATGACATTGAATCATTAACGGCGTACTTGGAAGAAAATTGATTTCATAAGTTAATTTTCTTGTCGCTGGAAATCCATCTATTTTTTATTTTTAATTTCTCTTGAACTCTCTGCATCCAAAGTGTTCATATACACGTAATCCTTAGTATTAATCTGTGAAATAATAATTTTTCTTATTAATGAATTTTGCATTGAACTATCTGAACAAACAATTAATTCTTAGATACGTAGAATATATTGAAACAATTTGAAAAGTTTGAAAAATTTGGATATTTTAATATTAAAACTGCCTATTTATAATGTGTATTGAAATAAAAAGATACATATAATGATGTTTTTATCTAAATAAGAATCAACTCATAATTGCAAAAAGAAGTCTAAAACTAGTAATTTTCATCTGTTTGATAGTTATAGTATTAATGCAATTGGATAAAAAGAGTACTTTGTATTAAAAATTATTGATTTCTCTTTTTAAGCATAATGGGTTCATCGATTATGATCCTCCTTTCAATAATAACCATCGGGGTATTCTACACCAATGTGATAGCAGCACTACCAACGCGATGCAATCCTGGTTTTTTGGACGAACTTCCACCAAGGATCCGTAAGGTGTGCGCCGCTCTTTCTAGGCTATACGAACTTGGATCAGAAATGGAAAGTTACATTGATGACAAAGAAAATCATATAATAGGTTTGATCTTTTTTAATTTAAGATACTTATAATATATCCAAATGGAAAGAGATATATTTAAGAAATGAAAAAAGAGACGTTTAATACAATATGTCATTTGTAGGATTTCACGAGAGCATCCCATTACTAGACAGCGGCGTTAAAAGACAGGATGTTGATCACGTTTTCCTACGCTTTGGAAGACGTCGTTAGATGTCGTGCAAATGATGCTTCACACTTAAAATCGAACAGTTCGATTCACCGCATCGTCAAGCTATGAAAGAATGTCTGCAGACCCATTTCGATATTCTTACCTGAATTCATATTATATCAATTTATGTTTTTCTCTATTATCGGATAATTAAATTTAATCATAATGATAAGTAAACAAAAGTAATGGTTGTCTAATTAAAATCGTGATGAGTTACTTATGTATCGTGCGACTTCTGGTTTCATTTAGAAACTGTTTAAGGAGGTTTCTTCCACTCTCCATCTCCCTCTCCCGCAAATAAATTCTATAGTCAATATATAGTAATAACTTAAATTGATGAAGTTTTTGTGTACACGAATTTTTTGCTTTCATTGTTTTTAAGAGAAAATAATTAGTGTTATTTTATTTTTATTCTACTTTAGTTTCGACGATGTGGAATTGGCAAAAATTGTTAACGGCAAGTTCTAAATACTATTTAACGATTTTAATCATTTATTAAAATTCAACACTCAGAGTTATAATAAAGATATAAACTAAATGTCATTTTGTCTCATTAAAAAATAAAGCGACACTGATTATTTTATCCTCTTCAACAAAAATAAACAGGATGCTTATAATCAAAGCAAATATTTAATTAGATGACTATTTTATTTAATCACACTGTAAAAGAAAAAATAATTGGTGATTGTGTCAAAAAAAACCGAAAATACATTTTACAATGCACATTTATCATGTGTTTTAAATCTTGCACAATAGGTATTAAATCGATAAGAATAAATCAGTACAATTATCAAACAAACAATGGACAAATGTAAAGGATTAGAGATGTATACATAACAATCCAAAATGTACAAGGTACTTTGTAAGCCATATTCTACCTAATAATCTAATTTTGTACATCTTACATAGTTCTGAATTCCAGAAAACATATTCAACAACTTTAGAAAGATAAAAAGTTGTGAAACTTGAATTGCTTCTCCATAATGATGGAAACGTTTATACAATTTTTTTTTATTATTCTAATGTTTGAAGAATTATAAACAATTTAATTTACTAAATTCTCAAACGTTTACCGACAAGTTAATTTTTACGGATCGACGACATCAATTTTGGTTTATCTTCTAATGGAAATGAATATTTATCCATATTAACATCAATCTCCATACATTAATCAGTTTCAGGACTTAATGTTACATTTTGGAAAAACATTTACTTTTATTCATTACTTTTACAATTAAAGAACAAATTGAATTCCATTCAGATGCCTGAATCATACAGTTTGCATGTAACAGTTGTTTACTTTATTGGACAAAAAAATTGTCCGCAAACTTCATACACAATTCTGAAGGCACCTAATCACCGAAACTACTTTTAGAATTTGTTATACGGTGTTTCTAAAACCACGTTTAATCGAAAATGTGCGTCTCGTAACATAATAATCGTTTTTGTTAGAGAAAGCCGCTTGACTAAATTTACAAAATTTCATAATCTTATCTACGTTCATCGAATTCTCGTATCTTATAGTACCTATATGCTATAGATTCAAATATTTACAAATTCTATCCTATCACAGGAGGATGAGATACAATTCGTCCAAAATAACTAATGAAGTTCATCGATCAACGAGAAGTCAAATCTCCGACGTTGCTTCTCGGTGTGCAGTTGTAGCTATGGAGGTGCAGAATGGGGAGGTTGGGGTCAGCAATTTGAAGATCCACAGTGCTTTTCGTCCGCGAAATAGGACACGGATACCACATCTCCACCGACATTTATCAAACACTGACCCTAAAATTTAATTTCCTTTAGTTGTATTCAATTAGGTAAATTGTATAGAAATAAGAAGTTATTATATATACTTGGTTCTTATGAGGACTATGAAGAAGGACGCATTTAGTCATAAAAAACGCTACCATTGCATTTCCTCCTAAGGCTGTAATGTGCGCACGAACGATTGCTAAAACTTCCATCACGAAACTGTGGGTAAACCCACTTAAACCACCATTCTTTAATAAGAAGATTATTAATTTTAATTAATTTATTACAATTAATTTACTTATTCATTTAATTAGGAAAATACTAACTTCTCTGATAGATGTGCTTTCGCGAATGAAGAAAAAGTTTAAGTTTCCTAGGTACCTTTCTATGCGACCACCCGGTAGATAAGACAGAGGTGTTATATCTACCCCATATCTTCCCTTTAAAGGCACCTGTGAGGAGTCATTTTAATTAAATACTTTATAAATTACTTCTTCTTACTCTAAGAACTTACGTGTTTATGTTTACGTGTTGCATGGATCTTAGATAGTAGTGGTGAACGAGTCCGGGACTTCATTGCTGGCATATTAATTAGGGTAGCTGAATTCAAGTTAATACTAGATGCATTATCCGATGAAACCTCAGTGTGATCTACGTCAAGATTGAATATCATATCGCTGTCATCTAAGCATTCAAGACGTTTTAGTTAGATATATTCAAAGATTACAAGTATAACAAGTATTTATAAAAAAGATTAAAATAAATATCTACCTGATCTTTTAACTTGATCTTTGCTCATAGAATGGGATATTAATTTTTTCTTAGATTTATTTATTTTTACTGGATCTCCTAGCCCAAGAGCCATACCAATTACTGTGAATTGTATTTCATCTGGCTCAGGAAGTGCCAACTTAAATTGCATGTCACATAGTGCACATGGAATCATTCTTCTTAATTTGAAATATACAGACTGAAACAAGGAATCAATAAAATAACCTTTAATTAAAAAGATGATTGTTTGCAATAATCCAAAAATTATTAAAATACCTGAAGTTAGCAGGAATTTTTGTCCTTGAAATTTGAGTGAACATCTGTAAATTTCTCACAATTTCTAAATCATCTAATCCAGGAATTACTTGTGTATTTACTACATGAAAATCCTCTGGAGGTCTGTCATCCATTAATAATGATATTCTATCCATATCTTCAATATCGTCGACTTCTAACACGCAAGTATCCCTTGGACCTACGCTAAAATCTACATCGGGCAAATCATCATCCGATTCATCGGTATCAGAAGTTGTGACACGTCCATTTTCAACATCCTATAACGAATAAATCACTTATTGCTATTTCCCAATTAGAAGAATAGATATAGTTAATAATATACCTACCCCAACTGGTTTGAGACGATAAAATTCTCTGTTTTGTTTAACTGTTTCAACTAAAGTTTTCTGGATTTCAGTTAATTGCTCCTCTTTATGCCAAGAATTTCCAGAAGCAATTTGTGGAATAGAAGGTGTGGGTAATGCAGTTAAAAAAACAGCTGTACCTACAGCCATACCAATAATTAATCGTTCGCCAACAGACACCTGTAGTTTTAAGCCAAATATTGCGTTCATTCCTTTAACTTTTAATTTATTTAAAAGTAAACTATGTAATTCATATTCTAAAAATGGTAAGCAATCTGATATCTCTTTAGCATTAAGTTCTCCTCTAAGATCTTTTTTGGTTTTACACGCGGTAGCTTGAATAATACATCCTCTTCCGGTCGTTAAAAGATTTTCTAGTAATTCTATAGTAGTAAACATCACATCTGGTACTCTAGCGCGCTTACATATAGCGCATTTTGACATGTTCACTCGAAACGGAACACTTGCTTCATTGTACGGTAGGTGACAAAGGCTGCATTTGCTTTGAAATTGAACATCGTGATCCCTGCTTTCTGAGGTGTGCCTTACTTTGCCAGTTTGTGTTACAGTTGGTACAGATGTTTCAGTGTCACTTTTCTCTACTTTTACAGGTACCGGTTTTTGTTGAACTTTATCGCGTTCTGCTTCTGTAGTATTAGCACCCGATCCTGATTGTCCTTTATTAATAAAAACATTGTCTGATTCCTGGTTTGAACTATGAAGATTGATTACAGCTGCAGTACCATATGCATTTAGAACACAGACATCATCACTGCAAAATAGAAAATACCATCAGTATAACAGTAATATACTGTGCAACTAATTTTTTTATATTAATCTTACCAAATACTGGTTTCCTCTTTGTAACCAATAACTACATTACACGCTAATGCCCTGGCATGTGATCGAACTTCCATTCTGACTTCCTTCCACCATGCATCTCGGCTCTCGGGTTCTTCTAAATTGCTTATCCTTTCAAGAAGTTTGACTGATCTTGAGCTTACAAGACCACCTGTCTCAAAGCAGATACTTTATGATTAAGCCCAGCAACGAGATCAAAAAGAAACATGAAGTAAAACATATAAATATTAATATGCTTACCAATATGCAAAATAAATCCTGGCGGGTATTGTTGCATAGTAATAAATGGATATTCTAGCATTTCAAATGCATCTCGATTCATAGTTCTTATCACGGCAGTCGATGTTTTTAATAATCCAGTCATTGATTTATCATTTGCTCCAAATGAGTTGCCTATAAGATACATCACTACTTGTTTTTAATTGTTATAAAAAAGATTAATCTAAGATAAAATTATGTACTGAAATATATATTATAAATATGTCTTCTAAGAAAAGAATGTCTCATAAAGTGATTCTTTGTTCTGCAATATACTCAGCAAATAATAGGTAAAGGAGGAAATAAACAAAATAATCTTTCAGGAAATGATAATTTAACCATACATAAATTAAAAAAAAAAAATTACCTAGAACCTTGCGGAATCATCATGAACTATGCTATTTTTGTTTCAGGAATTTCTTCTTTGCTGGCTATAACTCACTTTATGAGGCACCCTGTAATTTGAATTTTATCCCATAATAAACTACCTACAGATCAATGCATTTTACAAATAAAATGCAGTTGTAGCACTATGTAAAAACAACTCCAATTATGTTCCTGATTCATTAAAAACCATAAACTTAAGTTAAAGTTTAAGTCTTTGATAAAAAGTAAATATGTTCTACATTATCTCAATCAAAAGGAGTTTAATCAATATATACATTAATCAAAGTACAATTAAGAAAGCTCACCTTTTGGAGTAACGCTCAAATCGGAATCACTGGATCTTCGATGTAACGAGACAGTGGGTTGTGCCTTAGTTGTCGGTAACTGACATATTTTTGAGACCATAGAAGGAACAGCCGGAAGTGGGTAAGATGGACTTACAGATGCCTCATCTTGTTGCCTATGATCGGGGGGAGGAGGGGACACACACGAGTTGTAAGTCATATTAGCAGTGTTAGTACTATTAGTTAATTCATCCTGATCTAATGCTTCTCTTATGCTATGACTCTCAAGTACCGCATGATCTACAGATATCAATGATGTCGAATGGTTAGTATCTTTTGGCTTTAGTTGTTTCATTTCTATGGTACTATTATTATTTCTAATCGAATCACTGCTCTGAACACCTAAAGTTAATTCTTTCGCAGCAATCTCATGAGTTTTCGGATCGACTGTAGATCTTTTGGTTATGAAGTTATCTTTTGAATGAAATGATAATTGATCAGTTGTTCTGCATAAATGTGATTGAATTAACGTATCATGAATGATTATACTCTCGAGAGAGGAATTATAGGAAGAGGTGTCCGGTGTAAGTGCTGGTACAGATTCATTTAAAAGGGAATTTTTAGAGAACGAAGACACGCGCATAGCTCTTACACGTTTGTGATTCTGGAGGCGTTTTTTTAGAAACTGATTATGCAAATTCTGACGTGAATTCCGAGAAATAAAATTTCTGTATACTTTATCTCGTTTCTTCCTTCTAAAGTGACTATCGATGTTACTATGATGAGGTGGATGCACCATCATTTTGGTATCAATTATTTTAATCAAATCTAACATACGACGTTGCCTATCCTTATGCATCAAATCAAAAATTTCGTTGCCTGAGGACTGTATTAAACTTTCAATACTGGACGAAGTTTTTGACATAGTTTCTGGTGTTAATTTATTTATCATATCTTCTTTTGCATTTGATACAACAGTAGAGTATTGATACTGTTGTAACGACGGCAGTGATTGTGTTGATAAAGTTAATTTTAATACATCCCGCTCTTCTAATCGTTCAAAACGTTGTTTATCTTTGAAAGAATCTTTTGAAATACTTTCATCTACTTCTTCGATCACAGAAGGAAACCTTCGATATCTATCTATTGGTTTTTGTATTGCTATCCTATCTTTATTCTCATTGTCACTTACATTTTGTAATGGACAATATGCCGAGATAGATATTTCAGAATCATCGGCATAAGATAATTCATCATCTTTCGCATTGTCCTCATCGGTTGAAGTATGTTCATATTCTTCTACTACAGAAATTTTATCATTGCATTGTTCAAATTCACTGTATTTTTCGCAATTAATAATAAGATCAGTTAATTTCTTTGCTGCATCAATCATAGAAGAATCTGATTCCTTATCTTCGGAGAAAAATGGAGGTCGAATTTCTACAGATGTACTTCTTGCAAGCGGAACAGTAAAGTCTTGTGAATTATCGATGCTTTGTTGAGTTTGCAAAACTTCTCCAGTTTTCATATTTTTATTAAATTCCGCTATTGACGTTTTCGGAACATCATTTTTATTTTCCAAATGTCTAGTCATTTCGTAATTAAGTGTCGATATTTGATTCGTAGATAGACACTTAATAAACGAAGGAGATACACTTTCTTCGCGTAGAGAACGCATATTGCTACTTGTTCTGTACAATTTCATTTGCAATGACTTTCTTTTTAATGGAGGGAAAGTATTCGCTCTACGAAGTTTTTCAGTAAACTTATCAATCGCTTTCAATTCTTCATTAATCGAAAATTTGGAATCAATTAAGATATTATAATTGGCACTATCGATTGAAGATTCATCTGAGAAACCATTAGAACTGGGTGTGTTTTCTTCAAAGGAGGAATCATGTTCTTTTTTCACTTGCATTTTCCGTGTAGGAACATAAGTTTCGTTTTTAAAATCGTCATCTTTTTCATTTTCCTGATTGGTATATTCATTAACATTTTGACGTTCTTTCGTATCAGAAGCGAAAAATGTTGTTGATGTTTCGTAATCTTCTTCAATGCGGTTACACCTGTCTTAGTTTTATTGTCCTTAAATATTTTTTCCTTCTTTGGATATTGTATACTTATAATAGAGGATCTAGCTGAATTACTTATCCGAGGATTACTAGATTTACTTTCTGTGTCGCTTGTACTAAACAATCTTTTCAAATTTTTCCGAACATCCAATATATTTTTATTGCTTTCACCTCTTTCGTCTTCTAACGCTAGCATCATTCTTATAGACGCATCTTGAACAACCGATTCAGTCAAATTTGGGTAAGAATGTATGGCTTTCTTCAAACCATCTGAATTTGATAACTTTTCAACATTTTTCATGTTGCCTAATTTTCGACAAGGACATTCAGACTTTTTTATAAATCGTCTGGGATTTTTAAATACCTTTAAACGATGTGGTAAATAGTTCTTTATGCGCGTGCCATGTGTACTCACAAAAAGAGGATCATGGATATGCGTGGGAGCAACGGGATATAGCGGCATACTCTCATCGAGTCCTGTACGTTCCTTATGTGCTTTGTATTGTGAAAAGAATGCCCTATATAGACACATGCAGATAGATAAAGAGAAAAAACCTAATTAGTTCATATATCAGAATCATAAAACTCAATATTTTTCATTCAATTAAAAAAATTACTAATTTTTTATACTATCCATGATCAAAGTTGGATGCGCGTGTAGCGTACCTAGTTATTCCCAGTTTATTGTAGTACTCCCTTTCCTACACACACTTCGTCCTGGCTTTAATGCACGCGCATCAGACCTCAATCTAGCTTCTATATACCGGGTGTCCTAAAAAAATGATATGCTGATTAGAGGTTTTATAAAATATCATTGCAACTTGCAATCTATATTTATATATTGTCAAATGCATCGAGAAATGAAATTTTTTTCATTTAAATAAATAATAAATACTACATAAACAGGATACATCGATAAAAAGATTGTAAAACATTAATTCTTTTTATACAACTAATAATTTCAATGAAATAGGACACCCAATGCATAGAAGTTCAAATAGGAGCTAATGCACTTGAAGTATGTGTCACTGATAAATTGTAAATGGAAAATTATCAGAAACTATTTTGTTCATTTGTACACAAACGCATCAGACTTTGAATTGTTTGAAAATAAAATCATAAATACATATTAGGATATCAAATGCTTGTTGATTTAGTGTTAATATTCCTTTTTTATGTGATCAAATTTAATTTCTATTTTATTATAAAAAATATAAAAAATTGATAATTTTTTAATTAAAACAATACTTACAATGTTTAAGCACTTAGTTAATAATAAGCCTTAAATAAAAATTGTATATTTTTACAAACAATATGTAAGAAGACAAACTTCATAGCTCAGATTAAGTAATCAGCATTATGATTCACAACACAGAACACTTCAATACATTCTTAGTAGTACATTTACATAATGTACAATACATTATTTAGTACTATTATATTAAGAAGCAGTTGATAAAAAGAATATAAGGATTAGAATATAATTAATGCAGAACTGGTCTATGAAAGATTGAACTAAAATGCAATATAATGAACAATATTACATATACTTACTCTTCTATATTGTCAGATGGGAAGCTTAAAGTATCTTGTAGCTTCACAAGTGTAACAGCTGTACCTATACCACGAGCTACAATACCAGATTCACCTTCTAGATCAAAATTTTGTAAGTACCTAATTATAGAAAAAACATGTAATAAAATCTTTCTTAATCAACATTTTAATGTTATATCTGTGATTTACCCAATAACAGCATTTCCACCAAGGTCTAAAGCTTTCAATCCAATTTTTCTTTGTACTTCTCCACTTAATTTGAAAAATAAGGTTTGCCTTGCCTCGTTTGAAGCTCTAGGTGTTCTTATCTTATCAATCCATTTGTATTCAGGATCATCACTAACAACTAGTTCTTCTACAAAACCATGTATACTTTGAGTATGATATCCATGAGGTATATTTGGTGCTGTAAAAATATTATACTATATAACAAATATAATAAAAATAATTTATAATATTCAATATATTTGCTATATATTTACAATAAAAAAATTGTACTCCACAAGAGGATTGTCTGAACTTATTAAAATCAGAGAATAATTCTACTTTAACTATAATATTAACTTCACCACGAATCCCATGCATTGTATCATATACTGGTATCCATCCAGTCATAACAGAACCTAAAATATAATATTATTAAACTTATTTCAATTTTCATTTTTAACGTAGAGTAAATACATACCACTCTGTGAACCAGCATTGGTATTCATTGCAGCTTCTAATGTCCATATATTTTTAACTGTGGGAGGAACACCAGGTAACAGTAATGGATTTAAATTTATATAAACTTTGCCTATTGCATCGTTTGCAGAATAGGTGTCATGGTCCATTAATCTGATCTGCAATGGCTCATCTTGTAATTCAGAATCATCAACTTCAAACCTATACCATTCTGAATTCCACTGAGGATTGAGCGATTTTCTGCATACATCCGTTTTAAACGTTATATTACCAAACTTCAATTCAACATACGCATCTGTCGTATCACCAGAACGATCCATTACTGGTAAATTACGACCCGCCAAAATTTTCACTTTTATCTTTCCCGGCATCGTAACAAATACCTACTTCAATGAGTTGCTGTAATCAATATATTATAATTTTATTAATTCTATAAAAAAAACTTGGATAATATGTTATTTTTATTCTAAGAAGGGTGCATTTATTCGTGTGTATATTGATAGCAAAGGTTATGTTTTAAAAAACATTATTTCATTAAAATACTATAATTCTATAAATATAATACTCATTATATATGAAAAATAATTTTATATTACATTAAAATAATATTATGACGAAAAATAATACTTACTTACGTCAAAATAATTTGTAAAATTTAATGTGTTTCCGCAAAAAATTCATTTGACGTGTAACTTGTTATTTGCCATATTATTGTATAAAACTTTAATTTAGCTAGTATATATTAGTATTATATTAATCATTTTAGTGTAAATTATTTAAAATTCTGTTAAGTAGCATTAAATTGATGTTTGTTTACAATCATATCTTTTAGGTAATACATTGCGTATTTGTTATCTTCACAGAAAACTTCATTAGATGTATTAACAAATTTCTTTTATACGTTCTTTAACATACGTAAAATAATATATAAATAATGTTTTTGCCTATAGAAATGAATAAAATATATAAATTTCTACTAACGGTGTTAGTATTAGTGTTATTGATTACTTCATTGTTAGTATCTTTGAGCTTACCCTATTGTTTTACCAATAACGTTGAAAATCCAAATATTATCTGATAGAACATTATAATTGGAATTTGGATAACGCCCAGATTATTGCTCTTTACAAAATTCATATGGTTTATCGCGTTAAATGGAAAGTATCGTGTAATTTAGAATTTCTTCTATATTGCATACTTCTATTTTAGGTTAAAGGAAATTGCGAAAATTATACTTCAGTTTCAAATTTATAACTTTATTACTTAAGCAGCTTTAATTTATTGTAATGTGCAAATAGTTTAATAAAACTTGTATTTATATCTTGATTTGTGATAGTCTTCCCCTTTGTAGGAAAACAAGGTTATTTAATAACTGTTTAATACTCGGTATTTATATTCAATTGTTAACCCAATTATTAAACAAGAAGAGACATTTAAATTAAATACAATTTTAACTTTTTCACTGATGTAATACTTAACAAATTTATTTTTAAATTTATTTGAGCAAACTTGAACATATCTCGAAAAAGTTTTATAAAACTAAAACTATATGCAAAATTCTAATCTGCCCATGCGTTGAAAATTCTTCATATAGTATTGCCCTGCAGTCTAGCAGCATTTAGCTTATGCCAATCTGGCAGTATAGAGGGCAGTCTCGAATTCATCTATATAGTTGGCTAACAAAAAAGGACACCATAGAAAAGTAATATGTCGAGCACGAATGAAAGTGAAATTAGTGAACGGTGGTAGGCAGTTCTCCACCCGTTTACTTCTCACCTGGGCGTTGTCTCCTCGAGAACGAATATCACTTTCCATTTCGATACGCGATCATGGGTGACAATTCCATGAGGTTAGGTGAGTCGGTTGATCGATTTCTCTGCAGTTGTCAATTTCTGCAGTATTTCGTAAATGCATTATTTTTGTTAACATCATCATTTTACATATGTAGAGAACTATGAAGTGCTTAAAGCTCTCTACAATTTCAAGGCTATGTTTGCGAAAACCCTCAGCTTTCAGGAGGGTGATTATTTTATTCTATATCAGACCAATACCAAACAGAGAAATTGGTGGCAGGTTGTGAACAGAGACGGTCAAATTGGATATATCCCCTCAAATTATGTCACCACTGTAAAAGTAAATTATTTAAATTGTAATAATAAGAAATTAAGAATTTTTAATAATTAAATATTTTCCAGGTATCATCTCAAATATTAATTGAATTTCTAGAAGACTGCATAGAAAATGTAAAGGCTGAAAGTAAGAAACAAACTGGATTGCATTTAGACAAGCAAGATCTTTTATTAAGATTAATAGAGGAGAAAAGACAAGCAGAGTCTAATAAAAAACCTAAGAAGCAAGCACCAATGCCACCTGACTTTGGAAACACTATGCCTAGCAAAGAAATACGTTCATCACCTGTTTGCAATATTCAAGAGAAAGATGTTAATGTTGCTCCAAGCAATACCTCATACATGACAGCACAGACAACTGTGCATAGTAACATAGAACAGGAAGAACCACCAGTTGTTCCACAATGTCAACGTACAGTTATAAATGATCAAAGAGTGCAGTCCCTTCCTCATCAATCTTCCTCTGAGATACAAAAAGTTCAACCAGAAGTTCGTAAAAGTTCTTCTCAGAGCAATGTTCGACAAACCCCCAATAGTTCTCCTATAAAGAAAAAAAGTTCATTATGTGATATTAATTCTCATACTGCTTATCAGTTGCTTGATCAAGTACGTAGAAATACTCAATTAAGCTATGAGATGTCAAAAGTAGCAGTTACAGTAGTTGTTTCTGGACTGCAACAATTGTTGCCACAAAATGTGAGTCATTATTTTGATGCATTATTGCATCAACTAGAAACACCATTCACAGTATCACAAATGAGTATAGAGGAAACATATGATGCCAATAGATTGAAAGTGATTTTTACAGAGCTTACTTCTTGTAAAGAAGATTCTCAACAAAGAAATTGGATGCTATATGAAGATGAATCTATTATTGTTGATTATATAAAGGAACTTACATCTATATTGGTATATTGCATATTATATTAAAAAAATTAATTATTCTTTTTTCAAATAAATTATATAATTTGTTGATTTCACAGACTAATGCAGATGCAAATGTATCTAGATATGTTTTACAACAGAATCAATATAATGGTGTTAATGTATTGATACAGTATTATCAAATGGAACCAAGGTGGACTATTAGGCAATTGCTATTACAGTCATTTGGAGTAATGTGTAGTCTAGATTCTGTAATTTTGACTATAATGTTAAATAGTATATTACCTATGGAACTAGCAAGGTAACATTTGGTAAATTATATTAATTTACATAACAATCAGTTAACAACTTAATATATGTGTTTAAATAGAGATATGAGGAGTAATCCTAGAAATGTAACAAAACTAAACTATTCTTCATTATTGCTTACTATGATTTTTTCAATGGGTGAACCCATGCCAGTTACACATTTGGGTGAGTAAAGTAGGTAATGCATTATATCTGTTGCATTATTCCTTGACTTACGAAATTATGGTATTTTTAATGTTACAAAATTTAATTATAAATTTTATTACAGAACAATTGGGACCGGATTTTATAGCTTTTATTTTGGATTTAATAGAGAATCCACCTGATATGGACTTGGAAGATCAAATTCCGGATTTGTTTGTAAATTTGATATTATCGTACAATTTACAATTTACAAACTCGGAAAATATAGCTCTAAACGCATTAAAGGAAAGAACAGTGGCAAAAAACTTTACTGAAAAAATATTGCTTTTATTTAATAGGGAAGGTAAGATAAAAAGATGCATATTTTACGCAAAACAAACTTACATTTTTTCAATTCTATAATCTTTTACAGAAGATCCTGTGCGAATATTTGATCATGAACCACCGCCACCGCATTCTGTACTAAAACTGTTTATAGATTTGTTTAGTAATGATGTGACAGCAGGTCTCTTTTATACAAATGATGTGAAAGTTTTAATCGACATTATATTGCGTCAATTGTACGACATGTTCCCTGGTGATAAGGTATCAATGGATATACAAAATTTGATTGCTAGTACAAAAACAAAAAATATGATATACTCATTGATTTTACAGCGTAGACAATACTTGGAGTTATGTCGAAGAGTACTTCGTACTTCCAGTTATAATGAACATAAATATCGTTCAGAAGATTTGTTGAAATGTTTTACGAGGTCTATATTAGTCATAATGTTATTATATCATAGTTGTAATGATAATGTGACTATTATTACAATAGCACAAAAATGTATGTTATAGAATATTCTGCGAAGAGACAGGAGAAAGTCAGGAAGATCAGCAATCGGTACGCGAAATTAGCAATGAATTTCCACATTTGTTTAAAATGTGACATTTGTTATCTCCTTCCGACAATAAGGATTCGGAGGATGATAATTTGCAAACTCTTGTGTAAGAAAATTCTGGTATGTACAATGGAAAGGAGTGAAGAAGAATCAAGTTACCGAACAAAGAACTTCTTTATTTTTCTAATACTTCTATTTTGCAAATATTTTGCTCAGCTAATCTAATATATCAGAAACGCACACATGATTCGCAGAACTGTAAACGCATCAGATTATATTTTTTTCTCATTTTAATCTTTCTAGTGAACGATAATATTTATTCTAGTTAAAAAAGGATACAAAAAAAAAATAAAAAAACATGAATCAGCATTAAAAATTATTTTGTGCATGTGTATGCACGTGCGCGCGTGTGTACGTATGTGTGTGAGTACGACGGAGATACATTTTCTTGTTCTAAGCATGAGGACCATTGGATGTATATAGAATCATTCCAAGTACCCTAATAGAAGTCAATAAGTTAGTGTACATGAAATAAAGTAGTTTGACTGCACGACTAAGTCTCGAATTAAAAAATTATTCGAATTATCGTTCTGATGTAAAAGGAAAAAGAATTTAAATACATATATGGGAAATCTATAAAAGTTCTCTAAAAATTCTTTAATGAGAGAACAAAGAATTTTAATTCCAATTGAATCAGTTATGCTCTTTGTAAATTAAATAGTCTAGTCTGTGGCCGGGGTGATGTAAGTCATACGTTATTTCCTAACTTATGTTCGATTCTCTCTCTTTCATGAACATAATACATTAACGTATGTATTCGAGTAAAATTATAAATTTATTTAGTAAATTTCTTCACGCGATCGTGACCATAGGATTTTAATGACAAGTTCGTCGCAATAAAGTTTCATAGTTTATTAGTGCCACTATTATAGTTATAGTTATTGAACTTTCTAGTCTATTGTTAGTGACTCTATTTTTTTAAAAGTACTATACTGTGTTATGTTTACGACTATTGACATGTCAATTATAAAAAAATCTGAAATTATTGTGATTATAAATCAAATGTTAAAGAAATAAAAAGTCTAGGCAATCAATGAGTTGATTTAGTTTTTTCCCTAAATGATGTTAGAATTATAATATTAAAGCAATCGTGGTTTTAAATGACTTTCATTGAGGAAAATAAATCTCAAAATCTTTTTAGTGATGTTTTATTAACAACAAATAAATACTGTCCATGAAAAACTTAGTAGACGCGATGAAAATGTATTGAAACCCGTGATTCGTTACTTTTGCAACAATAATAATATTCACGATTATGTGTACGAAACAATTAAGTTACGACACTTATTGCAATAGGAGAAAAATATGCAGACAAGACCATTCCCGTAACACTGAAGCCATATGTATTTTAAGTTGTCCAGAGATTCGATGAGCTTGAACAGACGAGAACGCATGACATTGGAAGACAATCTTCACACGTTTTTAGACACCATTCTTGTTTGCATTGCAGCTTTTTTGGTTTTTCTTTAAAAGACACGCAGAGAATTAGTTTAAAAGTAGAACGTGACCGTCGCACTTGTATTGTCTTTGAGTCATATTAATGAACCATCAACATGTCAGGATATTTATTCTCCAGTCATCATCTCCATAAATTCTGAAACAAAATATTTAAATTAGTAAACAGGTAAAAAAGTTTAGTAGAAGTAAAATTTGTATTCATATTTTTAATTATTTTAGTTAAATATTTTTTTATTTAAGACTTAAAAAATTAAAAATATTTTATGCCTTCTTTCGTTTTATATTCGTAACTTGAAAATTGGCAGGAAATGACATTGACTATGAAAAGTACAGATTACAACTACAATAGTTTGTAAATCACTTTAAGATGTAAAGATTAGTAACACGCAAAATATAGCATGTCAAGGAATATTAACAAGTAACCAGTTTACAGTCAATCCAATCAAACCAAACAAAAGGGAACAATTAAATTTTCTCTTGAGTTCGTAGATCCATATGCTTTGTAGCTTCTGGCAATGTTACATGAAAATAAATTATCGTTGATACGCGATGCAGTTTATTTATTGTTATAGTAAGTAGAGAAAGATGCCAAAATTTTTTAATCGAAGTTAGAATTGAACTTTTAGGTGTAATTTAGATAATTTGTAATTGTTAAAAAATCAGAATTTCGTAGAAAATTTTTATTTTCTACGGTTTAATGAACATAAATAATTTAATTTATTTTCTAGTGTAAATTTTATTATTCACTTGACATTCCTTGCTAAAAGGAATAATATATTATTGCAATAATATTCAGTAACTAAAAATTGCATCAAAATTGAGTTTTTAGTATCAAGAACGATTACACTGACATCGCGAATGAGTATATATGTCAATAGTAGAATATGGAAGAAATGACGGTTTGATTCGACAATCGTGTATAAATAAACCACAATGTAAGGCAGATGGTTGAAAGAACACTGGATGAGAGACACGTGCTGCTTCCCTAGCATGACAATAAATTATGGTACTATTTATTTTACTGATTATATTCGAATATGGTACAAATATTTATAAATAACGAATCGAATTATTCATATGTTTTAAAAATACTTCAATAAAATTATTTTAATCGTAGTTTAAAATGATAATTTTATAACCTATAAAATAAGATAAATTCAGTTACCAGGAGACCATGAACAATAGTGGTGTCATATTTTCTTACCATCGAAATCAACGGTGCCAGATCCGTCAGAGTCGATCTCCTCGATCATGATATCTAGTTCTTCATCTGTCAATTGATCATCCAATTCTCTAAGGATCTCGCGCAAGCACGTAGTTGGGATGTAACCATTTCCTATGAAATATAAAAAAAGATCTAATAATTTTGAAATTCAAAACGACTAGTTTCCTTGAGTACCAACCATTGCTTTTCAACAGCAAAACTGAAAGACATGATTTATTATCATTCACCGGTAGTGGAGAAAATGTTGAGTGAGTAGTCACATCAGTATAAATCTAAAAGCCTTTGGTTTGATCGTAATTCATGAAGATTTGGGTGACGAAATGAGCCCAATTTTTGGCCGGGTTCCCAAAGGCGTAAGTCTTCTCGAATTCGGTCGGCTTTCATTCTCATGAAATGAAACAGAGAACGGCAATGCTTGTACGCAGCCGGTTTCGCGGAATCGGTTATTCTCGGCTAATCAATGTATCTTTCTTTATTCTTGTTTCGCGCCTTTTTATTCTGCCTTCTCCATTCATTTCAAGCACCAATTTATTCACGATAACTATAGTACTTTATTTCTTGTTTATTTTTTATATGAAAAGTAAATAAATGAATATGCTTATAAAAAGAAATGAAAGTGAAAAAATAGGAATGCAAAAGTGTTAATGGGTTGTTTATATGGAAATAAGGTTATACAAAAATGGAGTTGCATATGTACGTGGAAATTAGATTTAGGAAAATTAGATATGGAAATAACAAAAAAATTTGTTGAAAATTTCAGGAAAAACTTTCTTAGCTTACACAAAGATGATTTGAAATACGAAAATATCCGCAAAACAAATATGATTACTGATTTTTTTATTATATTTTCTGCATCTTGATTTTTACGAGTACAAAATAAATTACATATGGTTATGATCCAAGAAAATTATAAGACAATAGAAAGGAAAATATATTTACCTTCTTTGTCGTAGAGCCTAAAAGCTTCTCGAAGTTCTTTTTCTAGGGCTTCAGCATCTTCTTCAACAATGAATTTTGCGGCCAACGTGACGAACTCCTCGAACTCAAGGCGACCGGATTCTATCAATTAGAAACAAAATTTCATTCAGAAATTTATATTTAACCTGTAGATTAATTAACGCTCATTATAAATTGATAAAATATGGAAGTAGTTGGAAAAATAATTAAAACAAAATAAGTTTTGTATATTTAAAGAATTTCTTATCGGTATCGAACTTATACTACTTACTATCTGCATCAACTTCCTCGATTAATTCATCTAGAATCTTTTTGTTAAAAGGTTGACCCATCAATCTGAGAATGTCGGCTACCATATCAGTGGGAATGCTACCACTCTTCTCCCTGTCGAAGCTGTCAAACGCTTTGCGAAGTACTAAAAAGGAGTCATGATTAAATCATTTTTTAGTAAACAATAACAATGACGAGAAAACATATTTGGGGAGAAATCTAATTGGTACAAAGTGGTATTTTATCGTGTTAAAAGCTGTCTACAGTACGGTTACGAATTTAGAAATCGATGTTAATGCCCTTTCACTCGCGATTCTGGCTCGCAGCTTATTTGGCTTGATGCACCATCGTTCACGCTGGTTAAAGCGTTTATTTATCGTTGTCAGCTAGTAGCGTGAAGAAATTTTAATCTAATTTATGAGATAGTTCGTTTTCTAGTAGTCTTCGAAAAGTCATCTATCAAAAAAAAAATTTTTTATCTTATTTCTGTATGAAAAAAAAAAACTTCTTGTGTTAGTAAAGAATGAAAAAGATATACAAGAATATGCATTAAGTATTTAATTAACAAGGGCAAAACTGGAAATATTAGCAGTCATTTTTTTTGGATTAACTTTCTTTTAAGTGCATATTTTTTATAATAATTAAGTAAAAATTATCGTAGAATTACAGCCTGATAATTAACAGCTTCGCATTAACTCAAGAAACTGAAAAACCATATCAACAAAGATTTCTTTCCCACCCATACATGTCTACTAGAAGATAAATGTCCTCGTCTGCGATTGTAGTTCGAACGTCTCGCTTTTTAGAATCAGTGAGACGTTACGAGTTTCTATTTTTCGATCCCATTGGAGGATCTTTCCTCTATTTTTACCGATCCGATTCTCACCGATCAAATCGTCACGCGATACCTCCTCATAATACTAAGACGGTTCTGCAGCTATACATAGTCAGCCTATACCGGCTGCCCCCAATCGAATTGAAGCGCAAATAAACTCTGGGAAACTAACGTTCAGATAACTTATTTGACCCGTTTATTTGTCGTTTCATGTTCACTTTTTTCTCGTTAAAAAATTCATTGCAGACTCAACATTGAAAAATATCTTGGAGCTTCCGTAAAAAACATTTGTACCCTAAAATCTCTAAACCAAAGCATGGAATTATAACCAGAGAAGATATAGAATTATCAAGTGTTTCTAAAATTTTTTATCCAAGAATAACGAACAATTAGTATGCCGTATATTTTCTGACAGACAGAATCTATCACGTGACATTAGATATTATGTCATGAACTTAACATTCCACACAATGAGGTAAAATTAAACATTTGTTTTGCCAAAAATTTTCTAAATATTTTCCACTTCCTCACATAACAAAGTGAGCTTTTCTCCGTTATTACTAAGTCATTTTAACAAATATTAGAATTATACAGTTCTTAAACAGAGTTTCTTTGTTCTCAGGCTGGCATTCGAACAGAGGTCCGTTTCCTGCAGAACAAAACGTAGTTGGCTTTCGACATAAAACGATGAACAGGGCATACCTAAAGATAGGCCTTCGTTGCCTCGTGTAACACACCACGGCGGGATCTTCCGGAACGATTAAACGAGCCCCCTGTCCGCTGGCGGAAGGGACAGAAAGCCGAAAGGGAAACGCGACGAAGAAACAGCGGGTCTCAGCTAAATTTAGCTCACGGTGTCCAGTAAACATGATACGATTTCGACGCGATTGAAATACCAGAAAGCTAAGACTGGCGCGTCGAGTTGTACCATGACTCTGTTCGGACTTTTATTTTTGAATTTTCATCGAACCGTTGATTGACTCGATAGTTGGAAGCTCACGACTGGTGGATCATTGAAGGATCATGGGGGACTAAATTTGGATGTATGGTGAATCAGATATAGCATTTTCTTGGCTCGATATTTGAGAGACTTTGCGGGAAAATGGTTCAGAGTTTCCCCAAAAATGAGATAAGTACAGAAAATGATACGTGCTTGATGTTAATTAACAATAATAAAATATCGATAATATTTATAGGTTAGTTTTTAACGACTGGTTGGTACATACCAGCAATTTGTTCAGGGGGAAGTTCGTCGGCCTGCGAACAGAGAAAAATAAAATTCGATCTGTGTCACTGATCGAATGAGAAAAGGACATTTCATTTGTGAATCGATCTTAATCAGTTTAAGTAATGCTAGAGGACATTCCGTTGCTCTATTAGAATTAATTCCAAAAGAATCAGTCGAAGAAACTTCGAAGTGAACGTGCATGGTTAACTAGTGATCTTTCCAGAAAGTTCGTGCATTATTTTTTCTTTCATTTTAATTCATATCGAATATTACTTTCATTATTATTATTACGATCAATTGTTACTCAGCTAACACCAACAGGTGCAATTTAATATGATTGAAGACCTTGTCCCGAGTTTTGCGATGCTTTGAATTCAACGCAGTAGAAACGATCGTGAATGGTCAGACATCAGGCCATGTCCCTTCTTCCTGTCGATCTCACGTATTAATTAATAATTTTTCTCATTTTATCTATAGCGTGTACTAATTATTACAATTTAGTTTGATCACGATTAAACTAATAAGACAAGAGGAAAAAAGGAGGCCTGAAAAAATTCGCCATGTAGGAAACAATCACGTTTCCAGGACCTCGCATCTCTGGACCAATAATTCCCGATTTTGACCGCTATTAGTTCGTGACCACTGTTATTGTTTAGACAGAAAAAAAAATTAAAACAAAAGTCAGAACAGGCCTGAAGAGATATTACGGTGAAAAAAAGAGAAATAAAGAGAAGAGAGAGAACAGTGGATGCAGGCATACCGCTGCGGAAGTGGAAGAATCGGTATTTCGAACATTGTCCTTATCAATTTACACCTGTTGCACTGTGGATACATTAAACACGTGTAATTGAAACGAACCAGGTGTGGAATACACTGCTCGAAATAATTGGATTATCGCTAGTACAAAATCCAGTAGAAAAGAAAAAGGAGCCTCGATTAGGAGGAAGCGATTCTCAAATTACTCTGAGCAATATATCTTCTGCGTTAAATATTCAAAATTTCAATTCATCCAATAACCACGAAGTAAGAGTAAAGAGTGAAGAGTGAAGAGAAACCACAGAGATAAGGCGAGGCACAGTGATGAATTAAACCAGAAAGAGAGAAAAAAATACGATAAATAAATAGATAGAATATGTAACAGGAAAACGTGTATGTTTACCAGGGCGACGACTTACGATATCATCAATAGAACATACCATGGTGGCGCGAGTCTCGTTTTACTTTTTTTTTTAATTAATAAACAAGTTTACTTAAAAGAAGAAAACTTAAGGAACACTGGTTAAACGATCAAATATGATAAAGTAATCGTTGTGGAGAACGCGAACGACGGATCGTTATTCGCGACGAGGAAAACAGAAGTCGTGGCGGTTCTGTATGTGATTACAACGTGGTGGTATGGTTGCTGTCTGTTGAACACTGTCACGAGGAACAGCTATCGTCGCGGTAATATTCGAAAAGGAGGATATAGCGGTTGCGTGACGATGCCGGACCGCACCCCGCAACCTCCAGCCAATCGTGAGCTCCTTCTATCTGCTTCTTCACGGGCCTTAAAGCTTTTGGAAAGGCGCTTGCGCTATTTCTGGGATACAGGCGCTGCCGCGAGGCTCGAAATCAGGGCCGTCTTTTCGGTTCCCAATGCTCCAGCTTCTGATCCTCCTTCGTTCGCTTAGATATCCTTAAAATCAAATGATTTCTTATTTGTTATTTCTTCTCTAGTTCTATTCGTATATGATAAATTATTTATGTATATTTTTTTATTTTAGATTTCAACTACACTTAGTGGAGATATGATCATTATTTCAATTACTCTAAAGACTGAATAATTTAAGCTCTGTTAAATTTTAAAAATTGATAGGATATCGGAGATTTGGACACAAATTACTTCATAATACGTAGAATTTTTTTAAAAGAAGGCAGAATAAAAATCTCGTCACCTCTGGGCAGCTGTGATAGTTGTAAACGGATTATAAAGGGGAGAGGGAATATTTTTTATGAGGAAAGTATCGTGCAACATCGTAAATAATTCGGGATTGAAATTATGTAGCAGAGGAGAGTAGTGAAATGTGACGGAATGGATTCCTTTTTAATTTTAGACGTCCACTGGAGCAACTTGTTCATTTGAATCTCGTTCATTGAGACGACTATGCGTCTCGATCGTGAGTACGTCTTCTTGAGAAGGAGAGAACGATATTGCTGCACTGGTACGAAAATAGAGAATGAAAATTCTGCAGTCAGAGTAAACGACAGTAAAACGACAGAGACATACGGTGATAAAGTCGATGTGAAACTTATGGCTTGGAATCGAGACAAGACCTTTACGATGCAACCAGAAAACAAAAGGAGTAATTTACATGTAGCTCAATTCTATATCACGTAATCATAGTCTTGTTTTGTGAAAGGACTAGAACTATATTGTTGTTTAGAACACATTTCTCGGTATTTACGCGGTTCAAATTAATCACGTGTCAAAGATAATGGCGAAAATTTCCGTCGCTCAAAATAATCGCGAGCTGAATTCAGTCTGAAACTTCTAGTGCTTAAACTAATTTGTGGTACAAGTACTGAAAGTTCTATCACTCAAATTAATATCGCGTTGATCTATACACAAACTTTGAGTTACTATACTACATTCCAATTTTCAAATTAACTGTGAACTTGATCTATGTTTAAACATTCAGGTTCAGATTAATTACAAGTCGATCTATGTTCAGTCATGATTTTTTATTTAGTCTATTGGAAATCTGTTTAAATTGGTGCGTATGTTAATTATAAATTTGTCTAATATTAAGGTATTCGTATTAATTGTTTTCCTGATGTTTCGTTACTCAAACTTATTACTATACCTCAAATAATGATTTAACATTAACCAATTCGTCTATTTAACTAGTGACGAAATATTGATCGTGTACTAAGATCAAAGATTCCATATCTGGATTTCACACTTGAATTCCATACATGAAATTTCGACAACAGCCATACGATTACTTTAACATCAAAACTATTTAATCAAAATCTATGGTAAGTATGTAACAGGGCTGTTATTGATAGAACATTGCCGGATAATAAGAGGGGTTGGGCAGTCCGAATCATCCGCAAGAATCAACGACTTGTTCTGGAGAAGATGGTTTGACGTTTGGAAAAAGTCCAAGTTTCATGCAGTTGAGTAGTACACTGCATAGTAAATGCTGGAAACTATTATTTATCAGAGATTCAAACAACCAACAGATGTTTAGTCTGGCCGTTGAAGAATTTGAGATTTCAGTAAGCTCCAATTCTTAATGTTTTTTGCGTAATAATCGAATCTCAATTTATCCGAAGAAAATTATCAGAACTACGTGAATATCATGTGGTGATATAAATCAAACTAAGAAACCGATATGTCTTTGCCAAATGCACAGCTATGATTGTGCCAATACGAATTTCTCATGTTATAAAAATCTTTGAAACGTGCAGGGTTATTTCATGATGTACATAGTACACATAGAAACGTAGTAGAAATCCTAATAAATATTAATCTGCAAATCTTTCATTTCTAAAATATAGTTATTTTAAATCATCATACAATTTCATAGGAAATATTCATTAATATTATTAATAATATATAAGCACAACAATGTTTATACAACAGGATACATATGATAATTACAGAAGATCATATAAGTGAATGTTTGCATTTTCACTTTTGCACAGGAATAGAATATACAATTTGGCGAGAGATTTTCCTTCGACGGGTTATACTCTGGCATAGATCCAAGTTAAACAAGCAAATAAAGCATTAGAATGGCTCACGTTGGACTGCGTATAATGGATTACAATCTATGATCCGTTATAATTCGTCATCCGCAATAGAACCAGTTTAATTAATTTGTACGAAAATATTCCACTGCTGCAGCGCAAATATTGATCGTATTGTAAAGAATTTTCCAATCGCAAAATTTTCTCAATAATTCATTGATATATATAGGCGTATACTTTCTGGGCATCTTGACAAGAAGTGTAACTAAACAAATGATGTGAAAGTAACGTAACTTTTCATGTAATTAAATATAGGAAACAAATAATAAAAGCATTATTATAACAATTAAATTAGGTATACTGAGACTTAAAATACTTTTTAATGATTTCGTTTTCTACCCTGATTTAGTAGTGCAGCGAAATTATTAATGAAATTATTATAAATAAAAATGATTTTATTACATATATCCATCATTTATCAAAACAATTCTAATCTTACAAAGGTATCTGATGATTTTAATGGTTACACCACACATTTCATACAATAAAATTTTATTGAGATCCAGTTGATAATAACGCTAGCAACGCACTCGTCGCACCCACGGAAAGTATATAATTTACAGCTGGTGTAAATGTTTTCAAGATGTAGAAAGATGATACAATTACAAGAGCTAGGAATAAAGCATTATTATAGAATATGGAAAATGTTGTTGCTTCATAATCAGCTACTTCATTTTTCTTCCATAAAATTCTGAAAATTTGATCATTATACATTTCAGTTTCTAATTAACTTTACATTTAATAAGTTTAATATATTTTGAATTTCATTATTCTTTACCTTTCATCCTTTTCTTTTTTGCTCATTTTCTTGTCTTCTGCTAATTTTCTACTCATTTCCTTTGTAACTGCATCTTCCCTTTTTACTGCAATCTATTAAAAAGTACAAATATTTTTTAGTAAATTCCAAAAACATAAGTATAATAATATATTTCTTACAAAATTATATTAATAAAACATTCTGTTATGAATTTATTATACCTTATGCTTCAACACAAATTTCGTATTTTTATACGCGAGCGCAAGAGCGTATGTACTCGCTAATGTAACTAAAACAAAGGAAATTAAATTGGCGTAGATGTCGATCAAATGAATCCTCCAAAAAAGCCCTATAACATAAAAATTGAGGTTATCTCTAAACAAATTGCAATTTTCATATAATTATTTATTTATTCACAAAACTATAATAGAAACATATACTAAAATTCTTCATAAAATTTATAAATGTTAATGAAATAATAGTATGAATTGTATTTATAAACTTTTCAAGAATATATACTCACAGATGGGAATTGCCGAAACAATGAAAGCATTGCCATAAAATAAAGCAGATGATTTCGTTGATACATTTCTTGAGAAGTCTTGAAGAAGGAGTTCTTCTTCTTTTGTAAATGCTTTTGATTTTCCTGACATCTTTTAAGCCGTTTTCTCAAGTACTTTTAACTTATTCCAAAATAAGCGTTACACTACTTCCGTACAAATTGAAAATAATATTGTTACCTTTGTGCACACCAATAAGAGCCGACTCTGTGGAGGTGATGTGACAACGTGTCCGCAGAAACGTCATATCGATGGATGCACAAATTCTGCCATCTGAAGTATTTTCCTCTAAACTTTTTGTTCGGTTAGGAAGTAATCTACCATTTTCTGTTTCTTCTACTTCTTACAGATTTCAAAATTGATTAAAAAGTAGTTTTCACAAAGGATTTATTTAGTTGTCATTTATTTATTTATAAAATTATTTTAGTTAAAATTTATTAATTTCTCTACATAATATCAATAAGAAAAAAATCGTAAAATTGCTAATGTGCTATAAAGTAAGTTACATAGTAACCATTGCTCTTAGTATAAGTTCTCATTGGTTAAGCCCTTTGTATACATTCTAGTGATTGGTTGCTACATTTGCTGTTCTCTGATTGGTTGTATTCAAGTAAATTCGAGTTCAAATAAATTCAATGGATATTATTTAACTGTCGTTTGACTGTGTAAAGTAAAATAAAGCATCGTTTCTCTTCCTTCTTCTGCGAGTATTGTGATCAACTTTATTTTATGACGAAAGCAAAAACAAAAAATGTATTCGCATATTAAATAAATTTATTATTATGAAATAATTAGGTAATTTAACAGTAAACAAATAATTTATAAACGTGTGATTACAAAGGACTTGATTGTATTAATTTGGGATACGAGGTTTGTTTTATTAGATAGTTGTTTGCATTAGATAGTAGTATAGTTCGTATATAAATTTCTTATCACGAACAATGTATTTTAAGTTTTATGTAATTTTATTTAAGTAATTGAATTTGTATTATTGGAAATGATTTTTAAGTAGAAAGTGAAGCAGAAAATAAAGAAGCATGAACTCTAGAAGAGGAATAAATTCGTTTAATAAGAATTAAATAATGCATTAAAAGTTTTGATTTTGCATGTATGGGTTTACTTATATATTTTTAAATTATATAATTTCTTTTTATTATTAGTATATTAATTAATAAATTTATATAGATGGAGTCACGCTTGCCAAAGCCAAAAATTAATTTAACGAAATCAGTTAGCACAATAAGTATCAGCATGAAAACACATAATCAAAAAATGACAAAAGACCAAAATGATCTGCCTCATACAAGCTCTAATGGTGTTTCTGACACATTGACAAAAGCTAAAAGTACAATCAATATTGCTACAAAGTGTACAAATGAAAATAAACCACCATCTAAGCAAAATCTAAGTAGATCAAAGACTATGTCTTCTATTACCACTAAAGGTGTAAAAAGATCAGCTACTGTTCCCATTACTCATGGGGAAATTAAGAAGTCATTTGCTAAGCCTCCTGTTAAATCAACAACCATGCAACGAACTGGTACTACATTAGCAAATAATACTACCATCAAATCTAGTCAGATTACTATGGGCAAAAAAGTACAGAATATCGCATCTAAACCTTCTAAATGGGACTTAAAGGGTCGATTGGCCTACACAAGTGATGAGTTGTCTAATATACGACAAAAATATAAAGAAACTTCATCAAAGTATAATGAACTTGAAGAACAAATGAATACATTAAAGGCAAATGAAAATGTATATAAAGCAAAAGCAGAAGAATATGGAACTTTGAATAAAGCATTGGATAGTGAACTTAAAGAACTAAAAGTAGAAATGAATAAAGTGCAAGAAGAAAGAGAAAATTTAACAAAACGTTTGAAAGAATCAGAGGAATCATGTAAAAATGTTTCAAATATTCTAGAAGAATTTAAAGCAAAATGTTCTTCTCAAGAAACAATATTGCTAAAACATGAACTTGTAATAAAAGACTTGGAAACAAGCTTAGAAGTTCAAAATAAGATCAATGAAGAACTCAATACAGTTAAAAGTGAATTGCAATCCTTGGTTCATACAATGGACAAAGATCGTAGAATCCTACATAATGCGATACAAGAGTTAAAAGGAAATATCAGAGTATTTTGTAGGGTTCGTCCCAGGACTTTAAATGAGTTTGGAAAAACGTATGTATTATATTTTTAAAATATTTTATGAGTTTAAAATGTAATATATTTCATAAAAAAATCATTTTTTTTGTCAACAGGATGTGTGCTATGAACTTTATAGATGAATGTACTATTGAAGTGGGAAAATTTGATGGCTCTGATGCAGTTAGTTGTAGCGGAAAACCAAGAGGAACCAGACAAGAATTTTCTTTTGATAAAGTTTTTCCACCAACTGCTAGACAAGAAGATATTTTTGAAGAATTAGCTTTGTTAGTTCAGTCTGCCTTAGAAGGGTATAATGTCTGTGTATTTGCATATGGCCAGACTGGTTCTGGTAAAACATATACAATGGAAGGTTTACCAGGCATTGAAACAGAAGGTAATGATCTGCCTCATACAAGCTCTAATGGTGTTTCTGACACATTGACAAAAGCTAAAAGTACAATCAATATTGCTACAAAGTGTACAAATGAAAATAAACCACCATCTAAGCAAAATCTAAGTAGATCAAAGACTATGTCTTCTATTACCACTAAAGGTGTAAAAAGATCAGCTACTGTTCCCATTACTCATGGGGAAATTAAGAAGTCATTTGCTAAGCCTCCTGTTAAATCAACAACCATGCAACGAACTGGTACTACATTAGCAAATAATACTACCATCAAATCTAGTCAGATTACTATGGGCAAAAAAGTACAGAATATCGCATCTAAACCTTCTAAATGGGACTTAAAGGGTCGATTGGCCTACACAAGTGATGAGTTGTCTAATATACGACAAAAATATAAAGAAACTTCATCAAAGTATAATGAACTTGAAGAACAAATGAATACATTAAAGGCAAATGAAAATGTATATAAAGCAAAAGCAGAAGAATATGGAACTTTGAATAAAGCATTGGATAGTGAACTTAAAGAACTAAAAGTAGAAATGAATAAAGTGCAAGAAGAAAGAGAAAATTTAACAAAACGTTTGAAAGAATCAGAGGAATCATGTAAAAATGTTTCAAATATTCTAGAAGAATTTAAAGCAAAATGTTCTTCTCAAGAAACAATATTGCTAAAACATGAACTTGTAATAAAAGACTTGGAAACAAGCTTAGAAGTTCAAAATAAGATCAATGAAGAACTCAATACAGTTAAAAGTGAATTGCAATCCTTGGTTCATACAATGGACAAAGATCGTAGAATCCTACATAATGCGATACAAGAGTTAAAAGGAAATATCAGAGTATTTTGTAGGGTTCGTCCCAGGACTTTAAATGAGTTTGGAAAAACGTATGTATTATATTTTTAAAATATTTTATGAGTTTAAAATGTAATATATTTCATAAAAAAATCATTTTTTTTGTCAACAGGATGTGTGCTATGAACTTTATAGATGAATGTACTATTGAAGTGGGAAAATTTGATGGCTCTGATGCAGTTAGTTGTAGCGGAAAACCAAGAGGAACCAGACAAGAATTTTCTTTTGATAAAGTTTTTCCACCAACTGCTAGACAAGAAGATATTTTTGAAGAATTAGCTTTGTTAGTTCAGTCTGCCTTAGAAGGGTATAATGTCTGTGTATTTGCATATGGCCAGACTGGTTCTGGTAAAACATATACAATGGAAGGTTTACCAGGCATTGAAACAGAAGGCATGATTCCTAGAACGGTATATATCATCTTATACATATATTTTAATTACTGCCATATAAAATTAAATATATATATTTTTTTTTATAATTTAGGTGCGACATATATTCCAAGAAATGAAACAATTTGAATTACTTGGTTGGAAGTACCAAATACAAGCCAGTTTTCTTGAAATTTATAATGAGCATATTGTTGATTTACTTGATTCTCAGCCAAAGATGCATGAAATTAGAATGGCTGATAATAAAGGACACGACTTGTACGTTAGCAATCTCAAAATAGAGGAAATTCATAGTCCTGAAGAATTACATGAATGTCTTTTAACAGCACAGTGTAATAGAGCAGTTGCGGCTACCCAGTCGAATGAACGGTACGTCATATTTTCTATTTTAAAAGTAGAAATATGATAGGTTTGTATATAATTTGAAAATTTAATTTTTTAGATCGTCAAGATCGCATTCAGTAGCAAGAATAAAACTTATTGGAACGCATCAGACGAAAGAAGAGGTTTCAATAGGAAATCTTAACTTAGTTGACTTAGCAGGATCTGAAAGGTTAAAAGGTGAAGAATCCATACGATTAGCAGAAACGAAAAATATAAATAAATCGCTGGCAAATCTGGGAAATGTCATCCTTGCTCTTTTAAAAAAACAGGAACACATTCCATACAGAAACTCAAAACTCACTCATTTACTAATGCCATCTTTAGGCGGTAATTCGAAAACTCTGATGTTACTAAATATATCACCTTTAGACGAATGTTACAATGAAACATTAAATTCGTTGCGATTTGCTAGTAATGTAAACAGTTGTAAAACAGGTAGTGCAAAAAGGACGCGAACAATTTTACAGAATGCCGCATAAAGTTCTACGAAACACCATTGTTACAATTACAAATTTTTAATATTATCTAAGTTATTTTAAACGTTCGAAGAATCTCTTTTTTATATCTTCATCTTTTTTTTTTAAATTGTACCAAAAACTGTAAATAGTTTAATGTAAAGTATATTCTTAATACAGATATTCGGTACATTCTGTTTCTTTTAGTTGAATTACAGTTTCGTTTTATCCCATTTTAATTATCAAATTTTCAAAAAATTTTATGTAATAAAAAAATAATTTTTGAACTATTATGTTCTTTTATAAGCTTTACATGAAAATTGTTTTCATGAAAAATTTTTTATAAATAATTGTAATACGTATTAGTATAATAAATAACTAATTTGATTTGCTTTGATTTTCTCTATTTATAAATTATACGTAATTGTTGTTCTTTGATCAAAAATATGCGATTTAACTAAAGAATATTTCATTTTTTTAGTATATTTAAATTTTATAAGTTTAAAACAAAAATTTCATCCAGATAAAAATATTTTATTGGAAATGACACATGTAAAATAATTAATTGTAAATAGTTTTTATACGAATCATATAACTTGCGGATACTTGTAACATGCATGGATAAAAAAATTGAGATTTCTTTAAATTTATTAAGAATTTTTTAAATTCCGGAGAAGAACTAACAATACCTCTTTGTATGACCTTTTTCGGTAAAAGATTGTCATTTTTTTTATCATTATTTGAAGTTTCCCGATTACTTTTTATATATTTCGAATTTTTACATACGAAATACTTCGTCAATAAATGATTTTTGAATTGTTGATTAATGAAGTATTGGTAGAGTTCACAATTGTTGAAAATCAGCAGTGTATAGCTACTAAAAATAATTTCATTTTGAACATTATTTATACGTGTATCTGACATATTTTTATTTTTGTTGTTCAAAGTCCATTTAACTTCTTCATCACCAGAACTGAATATCCCTTGGAAGTAATTTGTATTAACTTCAGAATTAGCAATCAATTTAGATTCTAATACAGTAGAATAATTTTCATTTGCATCATTTATATTCAAGAAAATATTTTTTGTAAAACTCCTTATAAAAGTTGTAACATAAGAAACAATTGAGTAAATGCTGCATATCCTGTGGAATTATATTGAAATTAAATAAATAATTACTTATTTTATACAATAGAAAATTTGTACTTACATATTACTCCATATCATTATCATTCTTTTTTCGCATTTATAACATATGAAAAGTATTACGAAAGATATAGATACAAATACGTACATATATTGGAAGACAGTTTTTAATATTAATATCATGTTACAAAAGATATTTTTACGTGAAGTATGTAAGATATCTTCTATAGTCTCTGTTTGTGTTGAAATATTATATGCAGTTACAAAATCTAAATTGTACAAATAAAACAACATAGCTGACCGAAAAATATTATGTTAATTAAATAAATTTATTTTATAAAAATGTAACATTTACCTTGTTGTCCTGAAATGATTGAATGATACATATTACTTGTACATAGAGCTATCCATAATCCAAATCCCCAAAGAAACAAAATATTCCACGATATATAATACGAGTGTTTTTGCTTAAATAACTTTAAATAACGACGAAACATTGCACAAATAATGGTACTTAAGAACATCTACGTTTGTTAGTAGTAAATAGTTGTCCATTACCATTATATTGCATTGTGTGCGTTACTTTTTTAAATGAGTTGCTATTCGAAAAAATGTTGTAATGTTTATTCAAAATAAATTTTGTAAATATACATCAATAATTACATCAAAAGATTACATACAAAAAAAAAGACAATCTATGCAAGATAGATATCCAACAATTTCATGTGTATCATTTGCTGTATTACCTATTTAAATGTCAACAATTCAGAATCTGATAAAAAAATATAAATTAATATTATGAGAAATATTTTTAAGGTATTGATTAAAATTTGGAATGTACAATATTTCGACACGTCTTGATGCCTTGAACAAACAACTTGTTATTATTTCTAAATTGCAAAGAATGGAAGAAAAATATAATTTGTATCCTCATGAGATATGTAAAAAAGTAAATACAATATAACATATAACTAGATTTCCTAACTAGATAGGAAAATAGTAATGTATAATAAAGTTACATATTTTATGCAGTGCAGTATATACAATAATTTTAGTAAACATTGTGATTGCGGCCATCAAATTTTGTCTTTGAAAGAGTTATACAATAGGCTCAACTGTACTGAAGAACATTTACCATGTGATAATAAAAAGAGAATACCATGTAATTTAGGAACTTGCAAAACACGCCGAAAATTACATTTCTATAAAAGAGCTACATTAAATGAAGGTATATCAATGTCACTAGCCAATCTGAAAATAATGTTATATTAACATAAAAAAATATATTGTTAATAAAAAATTATTTAGTAGCTGAGACACGTTACAAAGATGAAGCTAATATAAATAATGATGTAATTAATAAAGAATTACAAGAGCCAGAGAAACAAAGTAAATCTGATCAAGTAAATTTAACTTCACAATTTTATAAATTATATACTCAGGATAAAATAATTGATACATACGAAGAGAAAAACGAGCAAACTATTCCTACAAAAGATAATTTTCATGTTGCATTGAGTACAAATAATTTAGGCACAAATTGTATGCAAAATGAAGCAATAAAACAGAGAAAATCACAAATAGGAATAGATAAGGATGTTACAAATGAATTAGAAAAAGTAGATCATATCATAGGAAACATTTGTGTAAAAGACAGGAAAATTTTCGAAATAGTTCAAAAGGTTTTATTTACAATAATTATTTTTTGTATATTTAAATTGATATAGCACTTAATTTGTAGGATCTCTTAAATGAAAAAAAACGCACTAAAGAACTTGAAAACAAATTGAAATCTCTGACTTGCAGTTTAAATTGTCTGAAAGAAGACAGTGCACAGAGAGCAGCTTGTTTAAAAGAAGCATTGGAAACAGCTGAAGAACAAAGAAAAGTTGCGATGGATTTAGTGAAACAGTCAAAAAATCAAACAGATTCAGTTAAAACAGATAGAAATGAGTTATTGAATGAGATTACAAAATTACAAGTATGTAGATGCAAAAATTGATTTTCATTAAGTGTAAAATAATTATCCTTTCAGCAACAGATAATCGAAATTACACATAAAAATACAGATCTGATGCAAGAACGTGATGAATTGAAAGGTAGATTACAATCTTTATCTGAGGATGAATCTAAAAAGTAATTTTTGTTATGTTTGATATAAATGGGAATGTAAATTCTTGTTTCTTCAATATGTAACATAAGAATCACTTCAGATATTAAATACATGCTTCAATCATACAAGGTGTGAAGAGGTTGAGAAAGAAGTGAATAGGATGAAATATGCTGTTAAAGAAAAGGAAAATGCTTTGAATAGAGAGAGAGCAGAATTTATGGATATGATTTTAGAACTTACAAATGTAATTAATATTCAAAAAAGGAGAATATGTGAGGTAACTGGTATATGTAATAATCAACAACATAGTATGGAACAAAAAAATAAACAATTATCTGACAAAGTAAGATAAAAGTATACATAATTTAAACAAAAGGAAACAAATTATCACTTTGTACTGATTTAAATTATATTCACAGAAGATTGAGTTATCAAAGATAAAAAATATGTTGCAATTAATTACCAAAGAGATGAAAGAGAAAGTAGAGGATCTAGAAAATTGTTTATGTGAAGAAAAAAAGACTTGTAATTGCCTGAAACAGAAATTAGAAACTCATGAAGAAAATCATTTATCTGAATTGAGAATAAAAGAAAAGATTATAGAGGAGCAAAATAAAACAATTTTGAAGCAGAAGAAGGTATTTTATTTATCTTAAAGATAATTTACTACTTTTCAATCATTTATTTTAATAATTATTAATAATTATTAATAAATTATTTTTCAATAATTCTTAATTTGAATAAAAACATTATATTAATAAGTACCCATTTCTGTCAGTTATTACATGAGAGTGAGGGCATGGTCCAGCAAGTTGCATCCGAATTTAATCAACTTAAAGATGAATTACACAAAGAAAAACAGAGAAATGAATTTTTGCAAATAACATTGGATAAAACTGATAATAAATTAAATAAAGTATCACAATGCGAAAAATGTAAAACACTTCTAGCTAAAATAGATTACTTGAAAGGAGAGAAACAAAAGGCAATTATCATTGCAAAATTTGCTTATCAGGCGTTACATCAATCTACAAGAGAATATAAAAAAAAACTCATCTGTGAAAGACAACAGCATAGATACATGGCATTGATTATTGAGAAGAAAGATCATGAGATAAGATGTTTAAGAAATCAAATGTGTCAGAATGGCATGAGAAATATTTATAAAAATGAATAGTTATATAACATGCGCACAATTAAATTTACTTAGAATTATTTATATCAAAGACTTTTAAAATAGTCAGTACAACTAAATACCAATTAATAAATTACAAAAACTTGATAGTATTTATGTATATTATAATACATACATTCTACTTTGGCAGCTTATAAATAAAGCATAAATATGGATTTACTACATTGTAAATATATACAATACATCATGTTCATTGAATATTGTTGATTATTTAAATTTTAATTTTGATATTCTTACTCTGATCTCAAGAAATAATAATTTAATATTTTTCTTATACCACAAAGTATTATAATTTAAGTGCATCTGCCAATTTTTATCTAAGAAGTGTTTGTAAAATACTGACATATCATCTGCGGTAATCGACGTTTTCCCTTCTGCCTTTAGTGTTTCTTGAAACTGTTCACGTTCCTATGATACATTCAACAAAATAAAATTTGAAATATTTTTTGTAATGATATCAAGTAACACTATGTCACACCTTCATAAAATTATTGTTATGTTTCGTCCAAAAATTTTGATTCCATGTTTGTGTGTCTTCTCTAGCTTTTCTGTATCTCTTCTCTAGTTCGCTTTCATTCTCAGATTTTGCAAAAATTATTGGTCTTAAATTCGAAATTGGATCAGGCGGTCCAATTAAGTCAATAGGAGTTTTTAGGTTAGGAGATATTTTCTAGTTAAAATGGAAATATTGAATATACGCAGTTTTGTCAGAAGTTATAATAACGTAAACAATAAACAACTTACATTACTGTATAATCGGATTATATTGTTACAGCGTTTTACATGCGACATTGTGAATTCAAGTTATTTTAAAATTTCAAACATGATTCATGTGGTTATATTTACTTTATTCATATACTTCATCCACGTTTAATCTCTCATCATCTTACAATACAATCTTATACTAAATTCGAGTTAACAATATTCATATGCAGAATAATAAAAGAATAAAAACAATTTTTACACAACAAACAACCTTTTATTAATATAATAACGTAAGCCTTTTTATAAATATAATCTAATAAATCTAATAATTCCATAATTTCATTTACTATATAAATAAAATTCTATTATTTCTGTAATAGATCTGAATACAAATCAATTATTTATATATTTGGATTTTATGAAAATTTTCGAAAGACTGGTATTGTATTTTCAAAAAGATATCTTCTTTCATGATAACTCATTCGATTAAATAAATCAATAAAAGGAATATTCAAAAATTCATTGGCAGTCTATCAATGTAAGACATTTTGTATTAACCCTTTGACTAGGAAGGCGTATATATATGTTGTCATAGATCTATCGGTATATACAAAAAGTGTAAATGTACACCGATACAGATCTATTAATATATACGAAAAGCATACATATATGCCTTCAACATATTTATTGTTTTATTATTGAATCGATGTAGTACTGAACTTATTGTTTCACATCGTGCAGTAACTGCAAGCAGCTAAATAAACATTTTTTAGGCTTATCTAAATGAAATTTGCATTTTTATCAATAAGTATAATGATGTGCTCTAGTCAACGGATTAATCCTTAAAAAAGAATTACTTTTTCCTGAATTACAAGAAATTCGATAAAAATTCTATAAGATGACCAATTTCGAGAAGTTTCTTGCATTAAAGACTAGAGGTTTTCTTGTAAAAACATTCCTTCTATATGCATAATTGATGATTTCAAAAAATACACCTAGGCATGCGTTTATTAGTATACTGCTGATATTATAAGTTGTATTAATTATACGTAGTCCATGCGTAGATATATTTTCCGAAACAGTGATGTTCAATCACTGCAAATGATCATTAATATTATTTTCTAAAAACGTTTAATACCTAAATGTTTTATACCTAATTTAAAGACTTCAAATATGCTGCATCAAACAAATCAAGTTCATTTATTAAATAATTAGCTTTATTTCGTAAAACTTTAGCGCTACTAGTTGCTTCTTCAAGTATACGTACTGTACTTGCAATATTCTTTAATTCGCTATCCATTTCAGATGTTGCATCATCTACTAAATGACACAAACGTGCAAAAGTGCTAGACAATTCTCTGTAATTGTATATAAACAGCATTAAAATTAATTTTCTAAAAACAAAGTTATTTAAGTAATTTAATAAAATAAAACTAAAACTTACTGTTGTACTTGATGACTGCAATTTGCAGATGTAAGATCTACTATTAACTTCAATTTTTTTGTAGCATGAGATACATACTGATTTTTAAATTCACGTTCTTTTGCTTTATTAGTCCATGTTAATCGTTCGTAAAGATATAAAGCACCGTATATAACACCAGTTACAGCTATAAGTCTCCAACCAATTGTTTTCAACATCTTAAAAAATAGTTTCAGTAAAATAAAGGTATTTATAATATAGTATTAATAACGAAGAAGATTTATCGAATGTACTCACAAATCCAGCAACTATGAGCCCTCCCATTGTACCTTGTGAAGTTATAGACGCTACAGCAATTTTAGTAGCCCATGACCAATCATCAGGTCTTGGTTGATAATTTGGGGTACTTGACATAAATTTTACAGAATCAATGCTTTCTGTGGGAGACATAATTGCAGGTGGTATCTACAAATAAACAAATTAAGTAATAATTTTATTATCACAGAAGTTAAATAAATTGTTTTACCTCTTGAGAATAATTAGCGATAGTTAACTTTCTTTCATGTCTACTTGCAAATCTATTAATTATAGCTGTAACTCCCCAAGAGAACCGAAATTCTAGATCTTCGTGAAAATCTGCACATAAATTATCACAATTTAATCTGTATAAAATTTCGAATGGTTCTCGCCTTGGTAAAATATTTAATGACATTTGTTTCTTATTCTCTGGCAATAAACTTGCCATTCGTTCTGTCATTTCTCTTTGTGAGTTTTCAATATTCATTGCCAACGCGGTGCTGAGTCTTGCTCTTAAATTAGCACCTATGTAATAATATAAAATTGAAATTTGTACACAATTATAGAATGATAAATAAATTTAGAAATAATAATACCTAAACCATTTTCTACATGCGCATGAAGTTCCCGTTTATATACATTTAAGACTAGAGAATCTGTATGAAACGGTACGCTGAATTCATCAACAAGTGCAGCTAATCTACGAATTTCTTCGCTTAAAGCTTTAGACACTTTTTGCTCTACATCTTCAACCATATGATGAATTTTGTCTTTCATTTCCTGAGTTAGCAACATTAACTGTTGTTCTGTGTAATTTAATTTGTCATGGACGTCCTTTTTAATATGCAATTGTTCACTTTTCATTCGCTGTGTTCTTTCTAGTATTTCATCTAGAGTTTGTCGTATTTCTCTGAAAAAAACATTTTTCATTTTATACATTAAAAAATAAATGTTTAGATAGTATTGAACAAATAATAAATTATTTACGTAGCAATATGTTTCCCGCGTTGGGAATGCTGTTCAAATTTTGTTTTTACCGCAGACTTCGATATACATTCTTCAAATTTTCGTTCGAAATCTTGAAATTCGAAATAACGATTTTGAAATCCTTCTGCTAGGGCACCATCTACAAAAAGAAAAAAACAAAAATAGAACATATCGAAAATAAATTGTTTGTAAGATTTATATTTAAAATATGAATAAAGAACCTAAGAATCTTACTATGGGCAGGTTGGCCACGTTGTTCTTGTAGACGAGCTTGAAGAGTTTCTTTTGCTGAAATGAAGAAAACTCGTTCTTCGGCATCTTTAGGTGAATAAACTTTTAATTCTTTTGATAAGAAATCGACAGCCCGCTCTTGATGCTGTGCTCTTACCTACACAAATGTACATTATAAATAAACACAAATTACATAATAAATTGTAAAATAACATAAAAAGCAAGAAGCCAGTATTAAGATTTCTGTTGTATATTATAAGCATAAAATTAATGCGACATAATGAATTATTAAAAGAATATTCTATTTAACTTTATTTTAGATACATACTTCTTCATGCATAGTGCATCATTGATTTTATTTTTAATCAAAAGTATATATGACAAAATAATATCTTATAGCCAACAAATATAAGTTCCACTATAAATAATAAAATTTATAAAATAAAATAACTTACCTCTTTTTGCTCTTTGACCAGCTAAGAGATAAATGGGGTATTATGTGAATTACTTGAATAAAGCTGCCACTGCATACAGCTATTTATTAATGAATTTGTGCTTCATATATATTTTTAAATATTAATATTAAATTGTTTATAAGCAAACAAATTTTGAGACAATAACCTTAATATGTAGTACCAGCTTTAATAAAAAAGACTTTAGAACCGTTTTACATAAAAAGTCTAATTCATTTTTAACAAAATAGATTTAAAAACACTATTTTAATTACTTTGTTATAATGCTATTATAAAATTTGTATTTAAGTAATACCTATTTGTATAACTTCATATAGCACATACCTGTTCAAAAAATTCTGGTTCTAAAGCAGATGCATCCCATCTATTATTTAGGATAAAAATATTTGGTTTAGATAATTTTGTAGACACTTTGTGGAAGAAATTTTTTTCCTGTAATTATTCCATTATAAACAAACATAATTTGAAGTAAAAAAAAGAAATGTAGAATATAACAAAAATGGTTACTTATATACTAAATTACTTACAGTCACCATTAAAGTAGATTCTGCATTAGCTACTAGAACAAAAACATCCGCATCCAAACAATGTTTATCAATACATTCATCTAAATTTGGTGTCACATCTACTCCAGGACTATCAACAAATACTACATCATCTCTTAGTAGTAAACACTTTTCTTTTGGCCAAAATATTCTCACTAAATGACTTTCACATAACTTTTCTTTACAGAGGGCATGACCTAATTGTCCAACTGATTGGACAGGTTGTTTCTCATTTGATCCTTCTGTGATTAAGTAAGATTCACCATTATCTGAACCTTCAACTTGCAAAAAGCAGTTTGTTGTATGTCCTATGCCACTTGGCAAAATTTTATCACGTAACATTGCATTAATAACTGTACTCTTTCCATTGCTGGTTCTATAATATTTATACAATATATAATTTGAGACTATTAATTATTAATTTGAAATTATTAACTTTAACACCAATTCTATCTAGATACCTTCCAAAAAATGCAACTTTCATGTGATCCCTTTTAAGTATGTCTCTGATTGCATGAACCTTATTAACATAGCTTTCAATTCTTTGCGCTTCTTCTTTAGTGACAATATTACGATCTGTTTGCAATGCTATACAAAAATTTTGATAAAGACATTTAATATTATAACTTAGTTGTCCTATTCCATATGGAGTGAATTACTTACATTTCATAAATCCTACAGTGTCTTGCACGTAGTCTTCTATTTCCACAAATATGTCATTGATCTTTTTCTTGGCTTTAACAAAAATCTGAAGAGGAGAATTATCAGTTCTTATATCTGTTGATCTCAAGTGGCTGTCTCCTCCAATCATAGACATTGTACGATTGATGTAAGCAGCCATAACTTTTTAATTAATTTATTGTGTATGTAATGTATTTGGCAAAGTAACAAAAAATACAGTGCAATATTTTAGGCAGGACGATGATGTAGTGCACAGCATGCAGGATCAACTGAAATCATAAAAAGAAGCAATAATTAAGTACCTTCTAACAACAATTTTTATCTACAGGGTTACATACATATATTATGCACAGTTGTATAAACTTAAAAAATACATAATAGATAATGAGTTTCCTTCTGAATCTATGTAACTGTACACAAAATGTATGTTAAATATATAATAATACATATATTAAGCAACATTATAACTATTTTATTCAACTATGAAAATGAAACATAAAAAAAAATATGGGTTATTCCAATTATAATTACTTGCAAGAGTGAAATTCATTTTATCAAGGACCATATAATATAATACATTGAAATGTTCTACATCATAGATTTTAAATTTATATGTTTCAAAAAGGTAAAAACTTATGTTTTAAATTTATAGTCATTAGTATACATTTACTAATATATGTACATATAACTGTCTATATGAAATCTACCACACATATTAAGTGCTATGAAACATTTTAATATGCATTAAAACCTTTTTGTCTTTAGTCATTGAAGTGTCCTTTGTTGTAATATAATATATGAGATGTAAGTTTGAATGCCTCCGTTAGAGCCCAAATCTTCTAAAACAATTATCATCATATGACAATATTTATATATCTAATTTAACATTAATGTATAAGATAGTTTATATATTTTGTGAAATATTCAAAGGAAGATGTTTACCCGATTTTTCTATGTGGTATAAGTAAATTACATAATATAACATTATATTTCCATACTGAATAAATTACTTAAGTCGTCATTTATATGAACTGTGATATTTATAAATTCAACTAATTTAACGAACATATTATACAAAATGATTGCAACAGATCTTTCTACGTCTATTTATTTTATTCTTAAAATGATAATATATTTCACCATGCACATTAATTAAACAATAAATATCATCTATTTATTATTAAAAAAATTGTATTTGAGGAAAATAAGATTTGTTCAGGAAAACCTTAAACATATTAACAATTTTAAGCGTTCGCTGAAACTTAACCTCTAACAAAACTTCATCTACTTTACAAAATTGCAATCTTACCGTTAATAATTACAATTCTTTTAATATCATATTTTTAATTAAATATAAATTTAATTATACGTAAAACAGTGATTAACATTTCAGTATTACAAAATTTTTCAATAAATTACTGATTAGATCGAAGAACATTGGAATAAGTTCACATGTGAACTGATTGGAAATGGTAACAAACACGTGACATTGAGTTAATGAAGACTTCTTTTTAAATAATATCGCGATTGCTTATAATTTTTCAATAACATTAAATTTTCCAAGATTATTCCAATTGAAAAATTGTATTTCTTTCCAAAAATTTAATTTTTATAAAAAGTATTGAAGTATTAAGTTATCTCGATAGTTTTGAATCAACCGCCGAGTAATTTATTAGTATATGAATTTATTTTTAATAATATTATTGTTGATAATTTGAAGAAACAATAATGTATTTATAAAATTAGCGTATGATTATTTTTTTCATTATATTTTATTTAAAAAAATGTTATTTTTGATTTTTGATTTTTGCGTTTCGTACGGGACACATTTTCAGTATCTTGTGCGCATTATTTAATAACATGGCGGATATGATTCTGTTTCACGTTGCACGCACGAGGCACATTTCTACGTAGAAGCCAATAATTAACTAAGTAGTAAGTGATCGAAATTAAGTTTGATGTTACACAATACTATCTTCTGATGCGATAAAATGACCAGCGGATTCGTACATTCCACGAAAGTCCCAAGACTTTATAAAACTGCTGCTAAAATCATTCAGGAAGTTCGTGAAAGAGGTAGAAGTCTCAAATCTTTGATTTACGAACAAAGCCATCCTGTAAGTGAATATTTATGGTAATAAACAAAGTATGTAATTAAATTATAGAATAAATTTACTTAATATGTAATTATTTAAAATTTATTAAATAGTTTGATTATTCTTTTTGATTATTTAAATGTATTACAATCACGTGGCCTTCGGAAAAGTGCATATATTGTTTTATGAGTTATAATATTTATTTCTATTACTGTTAAATAATAATATTATCTTTATTTCTTTAATGGTATAGAATGTATCCGCAATATATTCTTTATGCCTCAATACATTGCGAAAAGAGGAACACTTAAATCATCTTATAAAAAAAACTAATATTTTGGTGACTGAACCTCGTTTGGATGTATGGTTAGCAAAAATCTTGATAACAGAATTACTGTGGGGCAAAAAAACTTTAAAAACTGAATGTAAACCTGTTTTAACTATACTTAATTATGAACAGAAATTACGGAAAGAATTAAACAATATTAGTGATATTGATGCCCATCAGACATCTCATAAAACAGGTAAAATATATTATATTTACTTATCAATAAATGTATATTATGTTTACAGAAATGGACCATTCATATACAGGGAAATTAATAGCCACGTCTGATCTTGTATTAGAAACATATTAAATCAGTTTTTTTGTAAGGGAAATTGTGCATCTGGATTGATGGTTTTAATCATCCGTAACAACCGAATACTTACTAGCCGACATCCTAGAATTAAAAGATTTTTTTCTTATATGCATAAAAATCAACAAAAAGTAAATCACAAAGAAAGTTTTTCAGATCAGAATAAAGATCAAGCATCAGTTATGAGTTTTGTAGCTGTACTGAGCAAATTATTCTTATATAGCATTGCTATGTTTACTCTACCATTTGCTGCATTTTTTGGAATACAGCATGTTATGAAGGTTGAATTTCATATAGATAGATTCACAACAAATTGCATTTCTGTGTTTGCTGCAGTGATAGCAGTTAATGCAATAATATTTTGTTATATTTATCAGGCATATCATGAACCTGATAATGCTACTGAAGTTAAAGCAATTATAAATTCACCTTCTAAAGATAGTCTGAATGAAAAACTTGATTAGATGTCAAGTGAAAGATTTTAAATGTAACAAGAAATAATTATTGTATTTATTCTGCATCTATATTAATAACATATTAATATTTGTAATAATTATATATAGTAAATGTTATTTCTATATTTTTTTATTATAATTGTACAAATATAATAATGCCAGTATTGAATATAGTAATTTACTATGTATTTAACAATAAATAGTTCAATAAGAAAGCACGAGTTTTACTTGATATCCATTGTAAAATGAAATACCTTTATGTGATTGCTAAAGAAAAATACCATTTTTTCAGTTAAAAAACCAAGATATGTTCGTATCAACACTTTGTTAGTCACACTAAAAAAAGGGATTGGTTATTTTCAAGCAGAAGGATGGTCTTTCATGCCAAAATGTTCGAGTTATGTAGAACATTTAAATGCTATCAAAAATTTAAGAAAGCCAAATTTCATTCAAGATTTCCATTTTCCAGAATTGCTTGTTTTTCCATCTGACACAACTTTTCATGATCATCCTGGTTATCAAAATGGAGAAATTATTTTACAGGATAAGGTAATTTTTTTTTGAATAAGTAAGTCATTGATGTTTTCACCATTTCTTTTATTTTTTTTTATACTTTTAGGCTAGTTGTTTTCCATCGCAATTGTTAAATCCAAAACCAGGGTCTGTAGTACTTGATATGTGTGCAGCTCCTGGACTGAAAACATCTCATTTAGCTGCATTAATGAAAAATTCTGGGTAAGAGATTTGGGTAATTTACTACACTGGTTTTTATATTTTATTTGTAAATAGTTCTTACAATTTAATTTCATATGATGCTTACAGAAAAATTTACGCAGTAGAGATTGACGAACAGAGGTATGAAACATTATGTGAACAAATTAGAATAACAAGTGCGTCTTGTGTCGAAACTGTTAATAAAGATGCGTTAACTTTGGAAGAAAATGAGTATTCTAATGTAGAATACATTTTGGTTGATCCAAGTTGCTCTGGTTCAGGTAAAATATTTCACAATTTTGTGAGAGTAAAAATTGTTCATAGTTTGCAATAAATTTTTTTTTATCTAGGTATGGTGGAGAGAGAGGCAGTATATGGTAAAGAAGAATATGATCCATATCGTCTTAAACAATTGCAAGCTTTTCAAGTGTTCCTTTTGCGGCACGCTCTATTAAATTTTCCGAATGTAAAGAGGGTTGTTTATAGTACTTGCTCCACCAACCCAGAAGAAAATGAAGAAGTAATAGATGAAATTCTTGAAAATGTACAAGATGCATACAAACTTGTTCCTCTTAATACCCTGTTAAAAGAAGACTGGCTAAATTTTAGTTCAAAGAAATATAAATGTTCAGACAAATGTCTTTATTCCAATTCTGAGGTAGATCTTTGTAATGGCTTTTTTGTCGCTCTATTTGAAAGAAACTTTGATATACCTTTGCCTGAATATAAACTTAAAAAGAATGATGCGAAAAGTAATCAAAAAATAAGCGAAACTGAAGTGTTAAACGTTCAGAAAGTAAGTACAACACGGAAGCGAAAAAAGCGTGGTAAAAAGAAGAATGGTAATCAAGGAATTTCTAAGAATGAAAAAGTGGGTAATAGTATTTTAAACGTTTCCTCTGATTCGATTAAAGAATTAAACAATGATAATGATTTGATTCAAAACAATGGCATTGAACTTTCTCAAAATGACGAGAAGGAACTTTCTGACAATAATGATGACGAGCCGATAATTAAGAAGAGAAAAAAAAAAACTGTTCGAAAGATCATGAAGTTGCCTCACAAAGGACTGCTATTATCCACTAAATTACAGAAAAAGAAAAAGAAAATTCCTTAAAAATATAGTTTACTATCCCTATACGTCTCTATATTCTTGTTATGTAAAATGTGTTGAAACTCTTTATATTGGATTCACAGAGGCACGATGAATTAAAAAAGTAAACAAAAAATTGTATGATGTCCTTTTCTTCCCTTATATTATTATTTCTCCACGTAATTCTTCTTCAGTTATTTTTACTATTATTTCGGATAAGATCGACGTTTTTTTATCGTGGTAGTGTCGCACAACTTTAGACCACGGCACGGAAACTTAAGCACGTATCACGTAACAAATTCTACAGGATTCTGTCCTTCAATCCAAACACGATGAAAAGGTTCATGATAGTTTTTACATATTGTCCCAAAAAAGGTAAAGGAAGTTAAATAAAATAATTTAAATGAAACTATGAAACTGGGTTTTATTAAATATCAGGATTTAATTGCTTGTTTTTCCAGTCCTTTTCTTTTTAGTTTCATTTAATATGCTGATAATGAATAAGGACATTTTGTTTAAAAGAACGGATTAAGAAGTTATTTAACAAATTACCACATATGTGTGCTAGCATTTAATTTAATAAAACTTTTCTTCATAACTTACGAACCCGAAAATAGTCTGTTCCAAATTCGTAAATCTCAACCTCGAGGATACCGTTAAAACGTTCTTGATAATCCTTATGATGTACATGATGTTTCCTCGATGAACGATGAAAAATAAGCCTTTGCCACGTACTATGCTTATCTTGCTATTCTTGGAACCAAATGCATTCCATGTGAACACTTTGAACGAACGTGTCACGTTGACCTACAAGGTCTTTGAATACCTTTTGATAAGGATCTTTTGATAAACTAACTCCTTATGAATCGTGGTAATATTCAATGATAATGCGATAATGGTAATTACGTATATACAGTATAACTTTACAGTCGTATCATTTATTACATGTAACATTGTAATTTGATATGATAATTTCATAATTGTTCTCGAATAAATAAACAAATATATTTTTTCAACGAACGTAAGTAAAATTATTAAATTTAATTCAGTTTAACATTATGATAATATTAAAATGAACTTTAACGTAATTGTAGCAATTTATTATTGTCTACTAAAGTTAGAATTGTAGCAAAGCAGAGAGGAGCATGAGCAACGCTAGTTAATGTATCACAACAAGCGTATATCCTAGAGGCAAGGAAGACAGCGATGGCAGCAGGATAAGTGGAGGCCACTCAACTGTAAAGTGAAAGCTTCGAGTAGGGTGGCATAGTGCAAAGACGATATCACTGTAATGATTGTTTCACTCTAAGACGCGTGTCACGCTTATAAACGCGCAAACCACTATTTATTATCCGTACCTTTTGCAGAATTAACTTAATTTCCTAGTATGAATATCAATAATAAAAATGACCATTGATAAAATATATACTGTTAGGGGTGAAAGATAGATGACATTGTTCCCTTTTAGTAAAAATAATAAAAATGTCTGAAGCATTTATTCTTCTTTATTTCTTTCTGTGTTTATCAATGAGCATTGATCAAATTCAACTCAACAAGCACGCACCTTTTTGACGTTTATGGGAAAATGTCAGAAATCGCTTAGGTTTCTTATCCTTATCACGAATGCGACGCTTTACGATGTTCTGAAGCTGAAAAGAAGTAAAAAAGAAAGGGATTAGGAACTAGCTTTCGGCCACTGTCTTTTTTAGTTTTATCGTAAAGTCGATATCATGAAGGGAGAGGTGGGTCTCTTGCTTTCACTTCCTACCTGGTGAATTTTCAGGTATCGCGTAAAATCATCAAGACACGTTTCTTTATCCTCACGGATTAAACAACTTTTCCCTTCTTTTCGTGGTTCATTCCTTAATTCTGATATCTCTACTTCCGCAACACGAATTGCGTTGACATGCTTGGGTCCCATGAACTTTGATAAGTTCCAGCAGATTTCAAGCGTGACAATAAGTACTTTGGAAAAAAGAATTATTTTTATCTTATGTCCTTCGTATCATGTGTAGCTAGTCTAACACATCCTTAAAATGGTAGATCTAAAATTCTAAAATTCCAAAATTTTAGTCTCTTAAAATAAATAATGCGATTAAAAATATAAAAGATTTGTAAATGAAACATATTTTAATCGTTAAGTCAGCGACTCTTTCCGTCTTTATTACATTTTGTTTTGTAGTATTGCAAACAAAAATAAGCCTAATGAACTTCAAATAGACTAGAGGGAAAGTTGAAATTCATATTCACCGAATCTTGCTGATTCACGCTTACTGTGATATATGAGCCACTCGGCCGCTCGATTACTTAAGTGGTTGAGGAACGAATCTGGTCAGCCGCCTTCCGCGGCGGACACGCAAACCCCACTGAAGTATCGACTACTCGCCATACCGAGAAGGATATATTATAAAGATGACCATGTAATACAATAAATTGACTCTACTATCTGAAACTACTAAATAAGCACAGAAAGATATCTTAGAAAATATGTCATAAGATTACATAAGTATTATGGAATAATGGTAACAAGCTTATAGAAATTTTGTGAGCCTCGAAAGTCGACAAATATTCTAGTTGCAAATTTTTATGCAAAGAGGAGCGTCGATCGAATGTACAATATTAACATTATTGCCTGTTTCGTTCGACCTTCGCAGCGGCCGCCGCCTGTATCTTGTATTCATATCGTGCATTCTGCAATTCTTAAGCTTCATGCAGCTAATCATCCTAGTCGCCGTCCGATAAGCACGATGTTTCTAGCTCGAAGTAATGTAAACCGTCAAGGGATTGTTAAAAAAAGATATTGAGCACGGGAGAAAACTGGAGCATGTTGAACAACTTCGGGTCGTTTCAACTTTTGAGCTTCTTGAAACTTCAACTACCGTCGTTATCAAATGTTGTCCTATTTTCTTTCCTCTGATAATTGTATCTTCGAAAACAGTTTCTTTTTTTGTTCCTCACTTTTACGCTGTAAACTGTCATTTACTTCGTATCGAACGTTTCGTTTCGTGCTACTAATTATTAAAGTTCCACTTCACTGACCGTCCAGAGTCTCTTATTACATGTTCGATTCATCTCGAGTTACACGGTTCAAACGTTCCCAGGCGAGATTATAATTGTTCAATATTTATGCCGTATTAAACGTCGTCGATGTTGGACATCGTACCGGCGTATGCAAATGAGCCACGTTTCAACGTGAAATCTTTAAGTATGAAACAGCCATGTCCTTTCTCAGAAATCGCAATCTTCTGCACGCAAAATGCTTATACCCTCTATAGATTCTCGGCTTCTGGATTTTCCAAAGTCTGCCGCAATATTCTCAATCCGTTTTCTGTTTTGCAACATGTTGCGAAATATCACGAATCACAAGCCAAGCTGTTTATAAATACCCTTTTCTAGAGTTTACTTGTCGTACAGTATTACACGAAATACCTACAAGAATAATCTTCGACTGTAAATATGCTATTTATTATCCATCTTCATTTTGCATTTTTTGGATTTCTTAAATTTGCCTGTTTTTTTTTAATGGTCTCCAAATTTGAATCCATCATCGATCGATTTCTGTCCATTGTATTTCCATCGATTACGAGTGGGTGGCTGGCGATTTGAACGGAAGACGAGGCTTGCGCGTAGCTTCCTGGTCGCGGTGCAACAAGTTCGGTGCTCCTTTCGCCGGCGTCGGTTCACTGACACGGGACGTCGATGCCGGCAAACGTCGCCGGGCAGGAGAACGACGACGTGGACAACGACGGCGGCGCCGAGGTAGCGTGGTTCGTGGCTGTCCCTCGGAGCGACACACTCGACGTCGAGACGCCATCGTCGAAGGACGCATGAATATGTATACCATCGCGGCTTAACCGGTGTTATCTCGCGTCCGAATGAGAGCTGGTGTCGATGAACGATCAATCAAGACGGTGTTTTGTGCTGTTTCGTCCTTTCGTTTCCCTTACTTCTTGCTTTTGTATTAATATCGGTGATTACAATCTGCAACTGAGCAGGTGAAATATTATTTTGAAACGTGGCTAGGGAAAAAGAATATGTTCCCCTTTTTATACTTGGTTTCCTTTATTCCGAGTTATGGTGGACGGTGACCATGTTGAACTGGAGAATGAAGTGAAAGAAATCGATGGTGTTGTACTTCCGGTGGGCAGACGCTGAAAGCCGATGCGTAAAAATGAAGGAAGGCTGATGAAGCTGTACTCCCTTTAGTTCACGATATACTTTCACGATACATCTGTATGAAGGAATTAAATTGATTTATGTCAATTTGTTTTGTTTGATAAAATACGAATTATTGTACTATCCTAAGTTTGCACTAACGAGATAGTGATACAATCGGAAGATAGTGATATCTTCGACTGCAAATTCCAAACGTACCTTGGCGAGTTATTGTACAAAGTTCGTGACCTTAACTCCTCGAGGAGTAGCCTGGTGTTACGCAACGTAATTACATGACATTAATCTTAAACTACGAAGCCCGCGTCGGGTCCGTAACAGTGGATCATTAAAGAAAAAATTGTGAAAGACTTCGATCTTCGTTCACTTGTACATGATATTTAACGGTATTACTTAATTAAAGAAGATGATGGGATACGATCGATTGATCTGCAGTGAACTGCAGTTATAAAATAAAAGTGCATTGTAAGCAGGGAGATCGATCGGGAATCCCCGGCAAATCACGCGACACGTGGACGTTCTGCCGGCATATAGGAAGCTCTTTTCGTTTTTTATCGTCGCTTCTCCACCGCGTGTCATAGAAAAAGGTGGGCGTAATAAAACGGAACCTTGAATTCTTGCGGAGGTAAAAATCTCGACGATTCATCAATTTTGACAGGCAATTTCACGGTAAACGACTGTGCGGAAGAGAACGCTGGCTGGCATCAGTCGGACGTCGAGGTGAGCAGCAGTAACAATTTTTCTAACATTTGCGTCTATCCTGAAGATAAATTATTCCCATTATTAATCACATTTAACATGGAGAACTTGCAGCAATGTTCGTAAAGTAAGCTGATTAAGTTGGAACTATAAATTACCGTTTGTGCGACTTATACTTTATAATTTATCAGTATAATATATAAATACAACTCTTGTATTTCCTGGGAGTTATAGCGCTCATTAATATTCGAAGTAAAGATCAAATCTCCTTAGAAATCTTTATGACTCAGCCGCTACTGAAGGGAAAATCTTCTAAGAGACATCGATATGTTCGAATAAAAATTCCTCTATCCACAGGATCCTTTCGCCGGTCTCAGCCCGGCGAGATCGGCTAAAAGTTCAGAAAAGCGGAAGAGAGAGGTGGCAAAGGCTGGCGGCCTTGCGCCGATGATCGTCGCTGAAAATCATTCGAGTTTGCGTGCCGGCTC